TAATCATCATCATCATCATCATCATCATCAACTCGTATTATAATAATGATTGAAAATGAAATCCTGTTGAAATCTACCATGACTACTGGCTAAAATATACATCAAGGTTATTGTTATTATGTGGCTGTTAATCGTCTGCTAAATTCTATCATTAATGAGGGAAGAATTTTAGGTAGAGGTTTATTAAATACAATACAATTGTGACATAAAATAAAATAAATAGCATCGTTTCCATTAATAAAGCCAAAATCAATATCATTATTCATGGATTACAATGAATACGTATCGTTAAAAAAATTTTCATAAAGCTTGCCGCATATTTGTGAAACAGAAAAAAAACACAAAACAAAAAACATTGGTAACAATGCAAACAAACATTTAGATATTTTGCCATAGTCATCATCATTGATATACAAGTGATTGATGGCAATCAATTTGATTCTATTTGACATTGGTAACATTCATTCATCATCAAATAAAAATTGTGAAATACGGTTAGTTGGTGACAAGTTAATGATTGACCAAATAGACATTGTGCTACAATCCAGAATCAAGATCATTTTCTAATGATAATTTAGGCTATTGATCTAGGTATGAAAATTATTATTTATCGAAAAATTCCACCTTGACCTTAGAATTAATGGAAAATTTTTACTTTTCTTTGATATCATCACTATATAATATATCGTCAACTTGAATAATATCCTGTATTTTATTCTTAAAATTAGCATCCGGAGAGTGAAATTTTTTTTTTATAACTTTAATAAAAAATAATCATATCAAATTGTCATCACAGACTGCTGTCATATAAACCAAACGTAAAAGCTATTATTATGTTTATCACACTCTTATTTGTGTGTGGTGATGGCAATGATAATTTTATGTTGTCTTTTTTTGTTTGTTTGCTTGAAGCTAAAAAGAAAAAAAAATCTTCCCCGAGGTTATCAAATGAAAATGAAGACAATTTTAAACAATTTCATATCAAATAAATTATCTAAAAGAGAAGAAAAAGAAATTTTTCGCCAAACCAATTTCCGGTGTTGTTATTTATATTTATTAAAAAATAAATCAAATCAAATAATTCCAAAGGTAAAAAACAATTCAAAAATTCATTATCAGGTACATTTTCATTTTAATTTGGTTATATAGGATGAAAAAGGAAACAAAAATCAACAAGCCATAAGTCATGAAAACAAAATTTTGTTGTTGTTGTTATGATTTTTAGTGTTGATATTGGATTATGGGAATTATTATATTCCGTAGATCAGCATTATCTGAATTGTAAATATTATATGCTATCAGATTTTCATGGATATCGTTTGTTTATGATCTATGTGTGTGTGTTTGTGAGTTATATTCGACTTGTCTCGATTCGATTTGACTTTGAACACATTAAAAAAAATATAAATAAATAAACGAGAATCGATCGTTTATCGGAGTTCATCGCCACCTTGAACACGAATAAATGAATAAATGACCGACCGACCGAACAACCAACCATCACAATGATGATGACGATCATTATCATCATAAAGTTAGACTGAACTAGAAATGGCCGACTCAAAATAAAAAAAAAACCAAACTGAACATTACAAAACTTAATCGTCATAAGATGCAACTTTTTTTTCTCCAGGAGAAAGGACATACTCGTTTTTTTTGTTGTTATTGTTGTTCATCATCATTGATGGTAGATTAAGATGATGATGACTTTTGTATACCAGCTGCTGTTGTTGTTGTTGTATTGCCTGTAGGATGGTAATGATTATGATGTTGATGATGATAATATCAGATAGATATCGGGCATTTGTTTTTTTTGATAGTTAAATGCAATAATAATAGTAAATTCCATTCGTTAATCTATAGCGAAAAAATGTATATGGCAAACCTAACTACCTACGCATCCATCTATCTATTGTAATTTTGTAATAATAATGATGACGACATGATGATGATGAACTGTGATCTAAGAACCTGACACTGACGATACCTTCGAGAAATATTTATATATCTCATCATATTTGAAAAGAGATGTGTATATGGATAAAGCAAAATGAAAAAAGTTAATGGACTTGATTGTGAATGTTGATGGATGCGATACAATCATCATCGGTCAATAATATTCCATTTTATATTGAAACGTATAACAAAATTTTTTTGAACAATATTACAACGAAGAACGGTAGAAGGGGAAAGAAGATAGATGATGTGCACTTGAATCGCATATTTTTTTCTTGTTATTATCTTTTCTTCCAATATGATATACGAATTTATGATTTCGGTTATTGATACGCACGAACATCATCCACATCATGCGTGAAGTTTTTTCTAAATAAAAAAATGAGAATTTCATCTAAAAAAATTGATTATTATCTTTGTATTTTCATGCATTTTCACAGAAGCTTTGATGATATAATTGTTGTGTTTATGTATAAATCCGAATGATTCGGTTGTCGATCTTCGGATCGACAAATGGACAATAAAAACGTGAAAAAAATAATCAAAACAATCAACTAAAACAAGAAAATTATTGCTTTGTATAGCAAATTTTTAACATTAATTTGTTTACTAAAAATGCCTATGGAACTAAATTTGGCAAAAAACTTGAAACAAATTAATGTTTATACATGAATTGTTAATCAATAGAATTTCGAGATCAAAACAAACAAACAAATAAAAATAACAACTAAAAGAAAAAACCGGAAGTATTAATCTAACATTTCACACTTTCAATTTTTTTCCTCACACTTCTTAACGAATATTTTATTTGTCTAATAAAAAAAATGGTTTCGCCAATAAGGGTGTCAATGATAATGATATCAATGATTGAATATACAATCATAGTAATCATCTCGATTATTATTAAGGCTGATCATCATCGAATACAACGATCCTCATATAATTATGATGATGATGACCGAACTTGATTATCGGCACCATCATCAACAATAAATGATCTAATAGAAAGTCATTTTTTAGCCCAATCGAATATTTATCGATCATGATGATAATGGCAACAAGATAGTAACGATAAGGATTTCCTGTCAGGTAAATGATGATGATGACCTTTTTCGTGGTCAAATAGGATAGACAATCAACAAGAATAATGAATGCACACCAGATGTGTATAAATTAGTTTGCCCTACGGGGCCGATTTTAAGATAAAATTTAAAAGTTCGATGTTATCATTGCATCTGTTGTGATGGCTTGTTTGTTTGGAAAATTTGTTATAGCGATACTACGGCCAGAACAAACTGCTAACCAGATGCGTTCAAGACTTGTTTAAGGATATTTAGCTTTTTTGTTAACTACTTTCTGACATAATCACAAAAATAGACCTTCCAGGTAAACTGTTTGATTGTTTGAAATTTTAATTTGCATGATATTGATATCCTCCCCCACTTGTACGTTACTCCCTGTTGATCTATTTATGGTTATGATGATAATTACATCGTGTCTAATAACCCAAAATGCAAACACATATCTTCATTGATAATCATAATCTATTTATCAGTTTTCAAGTGTTAATGACTGATGATGATATTAGGATTTGATCGAGCACTCTTATTATCACAAATATCAATTTGCCTTGAGGTATTTCAATCGCAAGCACTAGCAGTTTGGTAGGTCGAATAATTTTTTTGAAGAATTTCAAGGTCATCAGGACACACGTTAAGGAAAAAAATCAACATCCCCATTCCTTATTAAATCTCATTGCATGTCAGAAAGAATAATGCCATAAAAGAAAATTTCTTTTCTTTTTAATTAAACGGATGTGATTCATTATAAATTTGTTATCCATATTTTCATTGAAACATTGAACTTAAAAGAATCCATCATAAACAATTTATTCATTCATTTCGAACTATCAGCTTTAATGATGCTGATGAGGCTCGATACAACTTTTTTTTCCTAAAAAAATCCGAACAACATTAACAAACGACGAAGATGATGATGATCATGAATGTTAGCATTGAAAATCGCATCATATAGAAAGTGAGAATGAACTCTGGTGAATGGGTTCAAGGTTGGATATGATCGGTGGTGGTTGATGATTTCGATTGCAATTTTCTTCTTATTTGTCTTCATTGCTGATCGTATTATGTATGTATGTGTTTAAATGTGTATTCATGTACGTTTTGGATGAATGATGACTTAATGACGATCCGAATGCCATATCATTCCATTTCTTGCTATGCAATACAGCACGAAACTTTTCGAGAGTAGAATTTACAAATAATTCCGATTCGATAAAAGGCTTCAAACATTCCATAATATATAGATCGACTTGGTGGTTGATTTAAACTAGTGTCAAGTTCGGTGAACGAAGCCCCTTATTTATTCTCCTTCTATATATAACAAGAACCATAGCCACCATCGATTTTTTTCAGTACAGAAATTCATTGTCAAGGTTATTGGCCCAAAAACCATCCACCCCCTCAGACCGATCATATCAAACTACTAAGATCTTAGTTTTAAACGATCCAAAACACGATTCTCGATCAATTTTCAGATATTAGCGACAATGTAGAAAGTTTTTGTATAAAATTGAGCGTTTTCAAATATGGAAATACCGATGAGACAACTGATTCGTAAATCCAGCACTTCTATTATTTCAATGCAAAAAAAATCACAAAACCCCTAAGCTACTAAACCATTATGATTCCATTCAAGATTCCACCAACTGCTATTATATTGTACAACAAAAAATTAAATTCAATACAATGCAATTCAAGATTTTTTGTTTGTTTGGTTTATTTGAAAAATATAATCATTAACATAATAATAATAATAATAAGGAATGATTTTCCATCTAGCACAAGCCTTTAAAACATGGCAAGGATCAGGCAGATACAGACAGGCAAGTTCTCTGCTGAATATCAATGATGATTTCAGGTTGTTGAATGAAATCGTTCACCATCAACAGAACGCCAACATATCACGTAGACAATTTTAAAAAATATGATGAAAACAGAAAGATAATAATCACATGTTTGGCCTGACGACTGCAACCATTTTCATCTTTTATCATGATCATCATCCACGGCGTTGAGTGAAGGCGTCACTATTTTGTGATATTGTCGAATTGAAGAAATGTCCACCACCACTGCCTGGTGGTTGGCCAAAGCCAGTGGCCAATGATGAATTGGTATTTTTATTATCGTTGGCCAATGAATCAAAAGAAGGCATCGGTTCATTTTTGAATGCCATACTGCCAAATGAATGGTTTGAATTGTTGAATCTGTTGAGGTGTGCAAAAAATGAGGTGAAAAATCGATAAATTAACTCAAGAACAAAAAAACTTACGCTGAAAGCATGGGAGAAGTTTGTTCGCCACTGAATGCTGTCATACTGCCAAAAATTGCCGATGATCCGAATGTAGGACTACTACCGAACAATGGACTTCCTCCAAATACATTAGTTGTCGGTAGTGAATGAGGCGAACTAAATGATAGTCCCGGTGGTGATGCATTGGCCAGTGGCTGAAATGGCTTTTCTGGTTGCTGTTGTTGGCCAAATAATGTTCCGGTTTTTGTTTGAGGCGGTAATAATGATTCGGTGGATGGTTGCTGCTGTCCAAAAATATTGTTTGATTGAGTGGTGCCTCCAAAAGTAAAATTTCCAAATCCGCCTGTTGCTGTCGAATTGCCAAAAAAAGATGAAGTTGTTGATGTTGATGCTAACGGCTGACTGAAGGAAGGATTCGATGATTGAAGATTACCACCAAATGGTGATCCAAATATCGAATTTTCTTTTGTTGTCGTGACTGCCGCAGAGGTGTTGGTAGTTACAGGGTTTAATGATAAACTCGATAAGGTATTATTAAAATTAAAGGTTGGTTGTGATTGCTGAGCCACAGTTGTAACTGCGACTGTTGTTGCAGCAGAAGTTGTAACTGCGACTGTTGATGTAGCAGAAGTTGTAACTGCGACTGTGGATGTAGCAGAAGTTGTAACTGCGACAGTTGTTGTCGCTACTGTTGGCTGCTTGGATTCACCGAACAACGAACTGGAAAAGGATGGAAACGATGGTTTTAATGCCAAAGATAAAGCTGAAGATGATTGGATATTAGCCGAAGTTGAAAGAGAAGAAATCGTTGTAGTCGATGTTAATGATATTGTTTCTTTGTTACTAGTGGTTATGGGGACCTCTGTCTTGTTCTTGTCCAAATCATTTTTTTCAGCCAAAGATGTAGAAGATTTACTCGTATCATTTTGCTTAAATAGGGTTCCGCTGAAGGTCAAAGATGGTTTAGCTACTGAAATGGGAGCGGTAGTCGTGATGTTTTCATGTTGTGGTAGTTTGAAAGAAAATGTTGGAACTATTGTTGGCGATGAATTTTGTTGTGATTGAATTTTACTGTTGCTGGTCACTATTGGTTTGGTTGTAGCTGAATAAATCGACACATCCGATTTTGTAGTAATTGATGTCGCCGGTGTCTGTTGTGATAGCTTAGGTTGAATTAGTTTATTTTCTTTGTTTTCTGTTATCTTATTTTTTTCATCGTTCAAAATGGATGATGATATTGTTCTAGTTTTTTGTTGTTTTTGGTCCATCATCATGCGACGCTCTTTAATTTTTTCTAATACCGATGCAAAACGAGATTTTTGATTGGTATATAATGAACCATGTCCAAGTTGCACAGGACGACAGACACGAATCGGAATTGAATGACGATTTTCTAAAAAATTTCGCAAAGATATTTTACGACCAGATTCCATGCACTGAATTATGATTGGTTCGCCACAATAATGTTCTTTGCTTTCAGCAACACTAATGTTGGTCAGATTCAAATTTGTAACAGCAGATGACTGCGACAATGAAAGTTCGCCCAGCGATCGGATAAAATCCTGTAAATCCTTGCCATCTTTACACGACGAAACAGATGATGATCCATTCAGAGTTCTATGTTGTTGGTTGACAAATTTTTTAATCAGATCTTGCAATTGTAATTTGAGATTTTCAATCAATTGTTGATTATTGACCAACGCTTTGCATACAATAGCTGTGACATTCTTTGATTTACCACCACTGATGATGTTGCATTCGTCATAATCGTTAGATTTTTCATCAATAATAAATGACGTATGAGGCCGAGTTGGTGGAGATCGAACACGAATGGTCGAATGATGATTAAAAAGCGATGTAGATGTTTTCGGTGATGATGAAGTCGACCCAAGCAGCTTTATTCGTTGCAACCATTCTTGCCATTCTAAATCAAATTTGTTATTCAATTCGCGCAATTGAATTTCGATATAATCTTTCAAAGATTGTATATCTTTCATGCGACGAGTCGTCAACGGGTCAAGACTTCTCCGTTGCAATATGTGCCTGTATTTAGGATCTCTATGACGTTCCATAAGCGTACGGCTTTCCTCCATCAGATATTGAAGCTCAAGACAAGAGGTCTATTGTAAATTATAAAATGAAAAAAAAACATAAAGATCAGCATCATCATTAGGTCTTTTAAAAATTAAAGTCAACAAAAAGATGGGAATTCAGACACGTTAATAAAATTGATGTGTTACCTGAAGATCGTTGACATCGAGATTTAATGAACCATAAGATGATAGTATATTTTCCAACATCTCAGTAATGAATTTCGATTCGAATTTAATTCGCTCTTGTTTTTCATTCGTACCTATTGCTGTTTTTCGCAAAAGATTTCGCAATGAATGCATGGATTGTCGTAACTGATGGTCGAATTCTTTTATGTTGGTCAGAATTTCTTCATAATATAAATCTTCGATGTTACGAACTATTTCATTCTCTTTCTTTTGCAGTTGTTGTCGTTGTAACTGTGTCTCTTTTGATTTTGCATATTGAATCGATTCTGGTGCCAGAGATTTTTGATCAAGGCCCGATGATGATGTAGACAAGAGATTTTGTTTCGAATGAAATTCCAGGGTGGTAGTTTGATTTGATCCAATATTCGATGCCGCCGTAGAGGTAGGTAGTGACTGATTATTAGCTTTAACCAATAAGCTTGATGATGTCGATGATTTGAGTGTTATTGGCATAGGATCCGGTTTTGACGGTGGTTTCAAATTAGAAGCTGTAACGGGGGAAGGTGCCTGTGGTTTAACACATTTAGGAACTGTAGGCACTTTGATGAAATCAGAACCATTTTCATAATCAATTAGAAATAATGTCAAATGTCCATAAGAATTATAGGCCAATACAAAAGGTTGATTGATTCCACCTTTGACGACCGATGTTGAAAGTTGAAATTGTTTTGGTGTACCATGTGCAAATGATAGTCCACGAATTTGTAAAGATTCATCTGCTTCGGAAAACATCAACCGATAATTATCATCATTGGTGATTTCCGACCAATTATCGGCAGCAGTTAATTCCGGAGAAACAGAACCAATTATGGCAAATTCGCTTGATTTGTTTGTGAACATAAATATCAAATTCTCCAAAGGATAAATGTTTCCTTCGAATGGTTCATTCATTTCGGTTGGAGATTCAAGAATAAGACGGCCAAAATCAACGATTTTCATTACGGCATCAGCACCAGTTGCTTTAGATGATGGTATAGAAACCAATAAATAACAAGATTCGCTATTTTCATCATATCTACCAATGATAACGAAATTGAATGTTGATAGCCAGAAAATATTTTTGACATGAAAACACTGAAAACTTTCGGGCAATTGAATACGTTTGGTTTCCTGTAATCCATTACTGAGAACAAGATTTTGGTCATTAAGCTGAAATTTGTATTGGACAAAACTAGCAGCACCATGACTGATTACAATTTGTTTGCCTTTCGGGCTCCAGCAAAAAGTAGAAACATTACAATCGTTTGAGTTCATTTGAGATAAAACCACTACAGTTTTGCTGGGATAATCTCCGATATAAATGATGAGAAAAGAACCATCGGTGAGAGAACAGGCAAAGATATTATCATTCATTTCTGGATGCCAAGATATGAAACGGATTTTCGCTACTGTATTGACAGAAAAGTTGAAATGATTGAATGGAACCGTGCTTTCTTTGGTTTCTTCAAATGAATCATTATTATAAAAATAAATGAGTGTTGATGGTTTTATAGGACTATGACAAGCGACAGCCACTTTGGTGCCATATCCTTTTCGCGAGATTGATAAAAGATGCGAAATGTGTACCTCATCGATTTTGATCACAGTTTTAGAAGAAATATTCGTATCCACATGATTCAAAAAACTTTTACTCCATACATCAAAGTTCAAAAGGCTAACAAGTGGCACATAGATTAATTCATTTCGACAGCATACAAATACTCTTTGGTTACGATGTTCGATAACTAAACAGCTGCCTGATCCGTCCTCATTTTCCGGCGTTATTCCATAGCTTTTTAATTGTATGAATCGTAATTCCTGAAAAACTCAAAATCAATACTTGTATTAAAAATCCAAAACAAAATAGCAACCTTTAAACATGTTAATTCAGATTGTCGTATAGTAGCCATTGAAAAATGAAAAATACATGAAACATGAAATTGTCAATTTTAATCATAAAGATAATCAATCGCAGGAGAATAGATTTTTATTTTACGAATCATAATAAAGCGCAAAGGCTGATCGCATGTAAAACATTGCATAAATTGACGCCCGGCTGAAATATTTTCTTTCACCATTCATTCATAAATGACGTTTGCTTTAATTCAACTAAAAGAATTAATCAAATCAACAAAAATTATTCATTTAATAAAACCTTTAAATGTCTTTGTTTCCAATATGTGTAATTCTGGAAAATACTCTGAATAAAATAATATAGTGATTTAGCATTTAGATAGCATCGCATCATTAGGAGAATTATCAATATCAATTTGATAGGATAAAATGCAAGATCTATGTACAAAATAACATATAAAACAATCAGAGTAATGTGAAGTATATTGATCGACCGTAAAAGTTTGTGTTGCGTTCGAATCAAAATTTCTCGAGTTGACCATAGATAGACGAAAAAACTGTTCGGTTTTATCGTTACATTGTATTCGCATTGGCATCGATGACAATTGGTAAAACCTGTGCTTTCAATCCATTCAACTAGACATTGTCGATGGAAATTACTTTCACGACAGTAGCATAGATTTGACACAAATCTTTGTTCCAAACGATTGACATTTTCTGGCTTCAAACACAATCGACAATATTGAAGTCGTTCCATTTTTCTATATGATTAATAATATTTGGTAAAAATCGTTTTATAAAACAAAATTCTTAATTTTAATTTTAATTTTTAACAATATGCCAAGTTCTGCCATCTTTTGTTCCAGGATCTAAACTGGAATTTATGTTCAAATTTTTGGAGCAAATCCGAATTTACCAATTTTGGAGGGTGCTATTTACTTGACTTTTTTTGGGGTGTTGACAAAGTGCTATTTTGCTAAGGTTGAAAAGCCGAGAGCCGAAAATGCTGTTTTGATTATCTATTTGCTGAATTATGAAGTAGCCATAATTGTCTGTAAATGGATCATTTTGCGATCAAGAGCAAGAGAAAATGGTCAAAACATCTTTCGCGTTTTTAATCTGTGTCTTATCATGTTTTCTTCTCACCATTCAATTGATTGCATTCAAATTGCTAATTAAACAGGCCAAAATTGAAGAGCCAACAGCTTGGGTAATTATAATTTATTATTTAGCAAGACATCAATAATTTGAGCATTTCGTTTAGAAACTCCTCGATCAAATAACTGTAGCCGCACAGCAATATAAAATTCCATTATTCGTTATCGATCGATTGTTGCTGAATTATATCCAACAAGGTGACTATCTTCTTAATGCAGAATCATTGCCAAGAAATTACCCGCTTAAAAATGTCAATCATCACCACTTTTCTTCGAAACGCAAATTTTACAGTAATTTTGTTTCATATCATCAATCATCTAATTCATTACTGTCAAAGAGTCGAGTATGCAAATTGTTCTGCAGAGGTGAAAGTCGCCTAACTCATCTTGGTACTTTAGCCGATTCGATTTCACCTGAAACAGTTGATCATTTCAGTAATTATCTTAAAGATCATTATGGTCTTAGTGTGATTACACTGAAAGATATTGATTCATCGCTGTTGCACTTAAATATACACGTATCAATTCCAACGCATATTGTCATCGTCGATGAAAAAATTGATATCCGAAAACAATCACATGTTGTACATATCGTCATTTTCTATGATCGTGTTCAAGGTGATAATTGGTGGCAAGCACCGATCAAATTTAATGAAAATCATGAACGAATTCTCCATCGACAAGGTCTTAAACGAACCGAATTTCGCTTGCCATATTCAAGTGCCATCTATGACAAGTACGTTTCGTGTTTGTTAAATTTTTTTTCATGTTCAGAATGTTGATATTTTCTATTAAAGAACCGAAATACTGCGGACAACTATTGATGGTTTGAAGATTTTTCTTCCACATCCGCCCAAATCATTCCTAACTCCTTCAAATGATAAGAGATTCATTGAATGTGATCGTCGACAATCAATTGAATTCTACAATGAAAATCCCAAAGATGAAACTCCTGAAGCAAACAATTTTCGAACAAAAGCTCAAACATTGCTGACAAAAGCTCGACAATTAATTGAACATGAATTAGGATTGCCATTTTGGTTGAGTTCAGGAACGTTACTCGGTTTTTATCGCCAATGTGATTTCATCGTTTACAGTGGTGATGTCGACATCGGCATGTGGGCCGATGATTTTAAACCAGAAATAGTTGATCTATTCTCCATAAATAATATTCCATTAATACATTGGTTTGGTCGACCGAATGATTCACTTGAATTATCATTTTTGATGGATGATCTGAAATTGGACATTTTTTTCTTCTATCGAGAACAAGATCATTATTGGAATGGTGGTACTCAAGCTAAAACTGGTCTCAAATTTAAATATAATTTTCCAAAATTCACCCTTTGTTGGACCGATTTCATTGGTCTATTGGTAAGAATTCCTTGTGAAACAGAATCATATATCGAAGCTAATTATGGTAAACAACAATGGCGAATACCACGACGTGATTGGGATTGGAAATCTAGTCCGCCTAACGTTCGACCTAATGGTCAATGGGATCCAAGTGAATGGTCTGAAACCATAAGGCTGATTCCGATGCCCAATGTATAGTGCAAAAAATTTCAAAAATTTCCATTTTTTTTTTTGTTGTAGATCATGCACATATAATTTTTTAAAAATCTAGTCACAAGAACAATTTTTGTCAAAAACAATCATTTTATTTAGTGAAGAAAAAATAAATATATCTCTAATAATTGTGTTCATAAAATCTTAGATTTACATGGCAAATGAGCAAAACAAAAAAATTGATTCTTTTACGAATTTTACGAAAATTAAAATATTGTACATTGTTCATGATCATTATGATTAGATGATTGACCAATTGATACGGCTCGTAAAGGCCTTAGTTGATTATGATTTTCATGATGATTTAATTGCTGCTGACTGGCCATCGGAGGTGGAATTGAAGCTGACGATATTGTCGATGATGAACATGATGATGACATGATGTTTGTTGTTGTTGAATTGGTTTCGGATATTGACAAAAATTTAAGCTTATCATTCAACTGATTGTCCGGGCCATTCGGCGTTGTCGAATTGGATATGGTTCGCAGTATAGTCCCAGGATAAGCGCGGTAGTTTTTGATGGTTCCGTTGCAGTGATTAGACATTTTGAAATCATTAATATTGCTAACCATGGTTCCGCTATCATTCTGATCATCATTATCATCAGAAGCTAGAATGTTTGCAGGTGGATCTTCGAAATTTTTCAGAGTACAATCTTCTGAAATTTCTTCTAAAATATTATCATGATTGAAAGCTTCATTAGTTAAAAGATTTTCATCGATGTAACATTTATCTGAAATAGGTAGATTCATACCGATTGCTGATGACATGGCAGCTCTACCTGGCATCGCTCGATTTATTGATTTTGTTCGATCTGAATTCATCGGCTTTCGTGAATTGTTTTCAGAATCTATGAACAAAGTAGCACCGTTGTGATTAGCAGCTGTGATAATCGGTGCTGATAACGGTGCAGACATCTCTTCACATTTATCAGATGTTTGTGGCTGATGGTGATGATGAGAGTGTTGAATAAAACTATTACTTCTAGTTCGAGGATTATCGGTGGCTGGAAATTGATTTTCTTCAGTCTGATTAGTGGCACGTAAAAAGCGCTTCAATTCCTTAACAGTGACCCAACATCCGGCTACTCTAGCCGCTTGCAACAATCGAGATACACATTTAGAGGCTACTTCTGGTTTTTCAAGATTCTGCAACACAATTATATAGCTGGATGCTGTATCAAGTTGACCTTCGAGTATACATTGCTGAAAAAGATCTTTAGGCGACCCGACAATTGAAAACAAATGAGGCCATAATGCTAATTCAGTTTTTCTTGCACAGTGAATGACTGTTTGAAGGAAAACGGGAAAAGCTCGAATGAAATCTACGACTCGAGGCAATAGCGCATCAGGTATTGGTTGTGAACTACTAGCTTCTTCTTCTAACACTCCGTGTAACAAGAGTTCCAAGGAATGAACAAAATGTGGTAATGTCGAACAAGTATTTGCTATCTCCCAAGCTCGATATCCTAAATTGCGACGAAGTAGTTCCCTTAAAATGTAATGTAGATAGACTTGTGATGTACGTTTGACAACGAAAAATGGTATAACGGAAAACAATTGTTGACTATTTTTCTGTTTTTGCTGTGATAACGTAGAGAGATTCGGTTGGGTGAAATCCGACTCAGCACCAAGAACGATGGCTTCACGAAATCGAATAGCTAATGGATATATTGCTGATCCGATTTCCCGAAAAGGTAACATGATTCTTTTCGATATGTATGTATGCTCGTTATCATTATCACTAATATTGGAATCACTTTTTCTTGTTAATGAGGAGCCATAGGCCCTTATTGAATGTTCAAGCGAAAGCCAAATAGCCATACCATGACCGCCACAGGACAGATAAAGTGATGTCTCTAAATGTGGCCGCAATTGCTGTTGAGATAAAACTTTGAAACTTTGCTGTGATGATCTGAGGAAAGCCTGTAGTTGAACATCATCATGTGGAAGAAGCCAAAGATTTTCTACACTTGAAGCAAGTTTCACAACTTTTTTAAAGCGGATCACCTGGTTATTATCATTACTGTTAGTGGGAACATTGCTAATTTTATTGTTTTGGCTTTTATCAGAATTGCCATTTTGACTATGGTTAATATTTTGGTCACCAATATCATTTCCCTCATCTTCATCGTCCGAAGAAAATGGAGGCAATTTCGAAGTATCAATGTCCATTTCAAGCAACAAAACTCGGCCACAAATATTGATTAAAATTGAATGAGAACGTGATACAGATGATGATGATGATGAATTTTGTCTAACAACACGATGACTGATTGACTCGTTAACTGCTGTTGTTGATGAAGAAGAAGTAGATGATAGATGATGCATGTTAAAGATTGAACTATTGTACATGTCAACATGAAGATCCGTTAAAAGGCACAATGTAACACAATCGGGAAATATTTCCAAGTTATTCACAACGACCCTTATGGGTGCTGAAATGTTAAGATCATAATCATGAGAATCTTGATGATGTTGGTGACGATGGTTGATGGTCGAATAATGATGATTTCTTTTGAATAAATGAAGATCATAAAGATAGATTGTACCATCTGAACAAAGGGCTAGCAATCGATTTTGATACAATGATAATAATTGCACTTCATAATCAACAGAAATAATTTTGGCATTTGAATTGTCCAGCTTGTTCCGATGAGAATAGGCTCTGATTTCCGAACTAAAGTATAATAATGATAAATAATTTGTTTCAAATTAGATGACAAAACTTACCAATTTTCACTTAAATTATAACAACCAGCAATTAAATAATCGTAATACCAAAGAAAACCACCAGTGACAGTGACATCTCTTTCATGGTTTTCATTACCAAACAATTTCCATCTGCGATGAATTAGAGAATACATGGCTAAGCCATTGATTCCAGCAATAGCAATATTCTGTAACGTTTGATGATCAATAGCGAACAAACGAATTGGCCAATTTGTTTCCAGATAACTTTGTGGCAATGGAACAGTTATCCATTGAAATGAATCAACAGCATTCGATTCTTGCTCGGATAAAATGACGTTGCTCAAGGATTTTTCTTGTTTCAATAACTTCTCGCGGTCTATATTTTTTTCATCGTCATCAAATTTTTGATTTTGAGCAATCAATGATGAGTTTTTATTTCCACCAACAAAAATTCGGTCTTCCGAAGCCAAAAGAACGGCTTCAAGATGTACAGACGAGCAAGGATTCACAGCTAAGACACTTTTCGCTAAAGATAATTTGCACACTCGATTTGTTGATTCATTTGAGTTTTCACTGTAAAAGCGAATAAATAAAGGATTCAGATTAAAATATTAAAGAATGCAACAAACAAAAACTTACCGTTCCACCATCCACAAATGGAATCCTTCTTTGCCGAACACTAGATCAGACACTTTAAATGGTGTTTGATTAAACTCGTTTCGGATATCAAGTGAATTATACCAAGAAATTGAATAGATGAGCAAAGATCCGAAAACCGACCATAGTGCAAAATCACCATTTTCCCAAATCGTAGCCAAAACTGTGGAATCCGGAGTCCAACGAAGCGAAATAAGGGGACCGAGAATTTTTTCGGCATCAGGATAAACGTTTGGTGGAAGGATCATCCGGAATGAGATGACAAATCGTCGATCCACCTCATCAAAATCACAGGCAACTGCTTCAGATGAAAGTAATCCGAACACAATAAATGCGTATTTATGATTAATAGCTGTACATAGGGCATTATCTATATGGCCTATCATTTGCAATTGATTGTATGTCGTAGTCGATGTTTGTTCGTTTAAAGGCAAAAATGCGCCGAGTCCATTAGAGAAAACAAGTGAAAAACCACCAATGATGGTCGAATATTTGAAATCAATTATATGATTTGAATGTGATGACGAAGGTAGATTTAGTTCTGGTGATTTTTTCGCCATCAAATGATGATGATGGTGATTTTGAGGCACAGAAATATTCAAATGAAAGTTATCATCTAACTGGCCATTCCATTCGACTCCACTTAACAAGCCTGATTTGGTTGCAATGACCATCTCTTCTTCAGCAGCCATTATGCTAAATTTACGTACAAATGTTTTAGTTTAGCAAAACTTAACCATAAAAAACAAACAAACGACATACCACGAAATTCCGTCATTTATTTTTAGTGAATTAGTAAGCTGTATGAATAAACAAGGAACCTTCTTCTCTTCAAGAATCGAATCATTGGAAATGCTATTCCTGCCGAAAATAAAAACTTTAAATTTTAACAATTGGGATTTCATCAGTGCTCACTTTGGTTCAATGATTGGCATAACATCCTGATCATTTATAATCACTTGATAGAAGAGAAGAAAATCATTGGCAGTTTGTATGACAATCTGTGTCGAATCGGAACGCCAAACGGCAGAAACATTTGGACCATATTTGCTTATCGAATCATTTGTTCGTTGATAATGAACAATTTGAACAGCTGGTCGACAAAACCAAATGGAAAAATGCGCACCAGATAACAATAAAAACAATGATTGATCACTGTTGGCCAAAATTGTGTCAATTCGATCACATTTCTGATTACATAGATTTAATGTTTGCGGCCATCCAATTGGAAAATACATTTTTAATGAGTACTTGTTTTGCTAAAAAAACTACAATGTTGAATAAAATTTTCGAATATGCTGTATTGAAAAAAGATTCGCAGATTCGTAGTGTGTCGACAAATTATCATCGTGAAAATAGTATCACATTGTTTTTATTCATTCATGGTGAAACTTTGATTTTGGATCAAAAATTAAAAGAAAACATTAAAATCGTACAAAGGAAATCGTACAGCTCAACATAAATTTTGATATCCAAAACATTCAACATACTTACCTTTTGCTAGAAAAAATGTATCTATTTAAGGAAAGTCCAGAAAAAGAAAATTTCTGATTTAACATTGGAAAGAGTAAATAATTTTTTATATATTGTTCCTGTCCTAAATTCAAGGTACATTCATTCGCTCATTGATTGGCTCTTTTTTTGTTGTTGTTATTATGAACGGCTTTGTGTATTGGATCGGAAAAAAACAAACTCAATCGAATCAAAAATAACAGTAACGATATGAATATGATGTGGTTGGAAGTAAATATCTTGTCAGACGAGTTATATTTTGATGTTTTTTTCGAGCACTTAGAAAATTTTCTTATTCTGACTTTATGTGAATGTATGCGACGAACAGATGAAATGGTTTATTCAGAAGCCAGCTGTGCCATTTTAATAATTATCTCTTTTGCATGCAAACTGTTTGTTTGTGTATTGATTGCATTGATATTTATACATTGGTTCGAAGCGTAAAAAAAACAATCCGGCCGCAATCAAAATAATGATGACACGAAAAGTTCTGTTCAGATAGTACGTTTAAAATGTTGCGTCTGTATAACTGTACTTTGATCCGTTATCCGCGTTTAGTTGCCACAAATTTTTATTTTTCAAAGAAAAATGAATTTAATCGTCGAAGACCTATTTAATCGACCCATTTCTGAGGACTAAATAATTGATTGATCAAATTTTAAAATTGCAAAATTTTTAATTTTGTGGCTAAAAAATGCAACGAAAAAATTTAATTACATTGTAAATGAATTTTTAAACTTTATTAGATGCCTGTTCAATATTATTGGTAGGTAAAATTTGTGTTGCAATATCGGTATCACAACTATAATCTTTACCGGTAATCGATCGAATCATATTATTATTGTGCACATAATATTTGCCAAAAACATCATTTTTAGGTATATTTGGATAAAGGTAAAGAAGAAAATCGGCAGATTTGATCGTATGTGAAACGGACATTTTTTTTAATCGTTCCAAATCCCAGGGTAATAGTTTGTCGAATTTTCTGTTCTGAACATAAGCAACGGTGATGGCACCACAAAATGTTACACTGAATCTAATCAAAAATGTTCCATCTATACATCCTTGTAGCAATTTCTCCGACATTTCCGGCGATATGAATCCATGAATGAGGCCATCTATGAACAATTGTTTAAGATGATCACGAACCAAAATAAGAATCTTGTAGAACCATTCGAAAAATGTAAAATGTCTCATCGGTAATGGTGTCTTGGCAAATTGTTCCCAAGTTATTACATCGTTATTATACTCATTACCGCTCGGTATCATTGTGCGAATGAAATTCAGATGTTCTTCGCTAAGGAAAACACCCACATCTTTGCAAAATTTTTGATTCAAAACGATGGCCAATTCTGGCCATGAAACTGAGGAACGGGTTTCAAACATTTTTCGATTTTCTATTGCAAAAGCATTATCCCAGAAGATTGTGGCGTATGAATTTCTATAATCTTTGCGACTGAGTACATTTATTGGCAAGGAAAATGTCTGCCATATCATAAGATGAGAAGAAAATCAAATTCTAAATGAAACGTGAATTCTTGAGCGAATAATAACTCACATGTAATGTAAATTTCAATCCTGACATATCAATGTTCAGCCAGAAGATAAATTTAAATTTATTCTCCGTCACTGGCACAGCTTTAGGATTATGACCGCGACGATTGATATCCACTTTAAGGTTGCTTGTAATTGTAATAGTCAAGATTTCGTTTTCTATGTTTAATATCGGTTCCACTTTGTTGATTATGTTAAACGATGATTTTCGAGGCCGAATCGCTTCTAATCCTTCATCTATAACTAAACGGATTTCATCTTCGGCTAAAAGTCGCATATCAAATGATTCAAGCCATTCCTGAAAATTGTGTGGTAACTAGAAAATGGTTGGTTGTCTAAGGTGACATTACAAACTTTAAAAGATTGTTCTTACCAATTGATAGCCAAAGAGTAGACCGATTTTCACCTCAAATTTTGCATTCGAAATGATAGTCAATGGATCATGTTTCAAAATATTCGAACATGGTTGCTCTATAACTATGAATGCATTTTGCAACAATGATTGCAGTTGATTTCCGATTTCATGCGATAAATTTGAAAACCATTCATTAACATTTTCATTTATCATTAAAAAATTCAGATAGAATTTGATGATGATTGTATTGCATCGCTGAATATCATCAAAAATGGACATATCAATTTGTCCAGTAATAATCGATTTCTGTTGTGCACTTTTCCATTGATTTAACAGGTTTATGATGTACCATTGAATCTTAATTATTTCTGTTATGATTTGCTCCATATATTGACACAATTGTTGATAAGGATGACAATGTTTTTGTCGATTTATTTCATCAAAGTCTTCAACCAATTTATTCAACCCATTTTCCCATTTGATCAGGTCAATTTTTGGAGATTCATAATCCATGTTTCGTGTTAATTATTAGTAAAATAGAAATTTATGTAAATTTTAAGTCATTATAAAAAATGTCATCAGCATTTTATTGTAATCAAGTATGCAAGTTATGACATTGCATTCATCACGTGAAAGTGATGATACAATTGATAATATTGACCATAAAAATTTATTACCAGTCAATTAATATTAAAGTAATTTGTAGAAATTTTGTACCTAATCACCAAAAACTTTAAGTAAATAATATTTTATCAAAACTTGTTATAAAATTGAATGCATATTTGTCATCTGGAGAGAGAATGACGCCATCACGTTCTAATAAAATTGCCATCATACCGGATTTCTTTGCCGCTTTTGCTTCTATTGAATTTGTCAAACGAATAAATGCTTACTTTGAGAAACAACTTTGCGACTGATAATAACTAACCTTCCGAGACGTCCGTAAGGAAAAGAATTTCATTGGCAGATGAATCAATTTTTTCGGTGATCAATCTATAGCTATCGGCTGATTGTTTTGGACCAATGTTTGTATCAAAATAATACGAAATAAACTGAATGAATAATTTTAAAAAAATTAATAGTCTAGATTAGAATAGTGACACTGACCGGTGTCAAATCTCCATGACAACTATGAGAAAACAAAAGTTTTTGAGCCAAAACACTTCCGGAGGAGTAGATTCCAATTTTAACATTGAATTCGGAAGTCCATCGATGAAAACATCGAAAAACATCTTCGTATACACTACATGAAAATTCAATTAATTGAATTCTATGAGATTAAAACTTACTGTCCAAGAATCTGTCCAGTTTTGTAGCCATTTTCCCAAATATGTCCCTGTAATTGCTTTAATGCTCCAACTTTTCGATCATGATCCATCAACCAATTGACATAGACGCAAACGTCGTCAATGTTGAAAGTACCATTATTGTCGATTTCGTGACCAAGCATTTGATGGTCAATTAAATCCTTATGATATTGTTCAAATAAAAGTCGAACATCATCTCGAGTAGTGTCTGTGTTCCAGGTTTTAATCAAATAATTGCGAAGTTTTGCACGAACATATGGAAATAGTTGTTCTTTTACAAATGTTATTGCCGTAGTTGTACCTTCGATATCACATAGAATCACCTTTGGTTGCTTGATCTTTACAGAATCTTGATTTTTGCCAGACATTATTTCAAAAATTTGTGTAAATACAAAGCCTAAACTTCGAACTGCAAGTGGAATAACGAGCTATTCCAAAGTTCAATTTTTATTTATCCAAGTTAATATGTTGCAAGTTTTGACAACACGAAAAAAATCAGTTTTTTAGCGATAATAATCAATTATTTCTTAAATTTTATTAATTAAACAAATTGGCTGAAAATATGTAAAAATAATAACAAATTTACAGTCTTCCTCCCAATTATTAATGAGTGCGTGTGCATGTATTGACAATGAAAACAGGTAGACTTAGGTAGAATTTAAAAAAAAATATGAAGTGTTCATATTAAATTAACCACCGGCTGGGGCAACATGTCGACGAATGAAAAAAAGTGTAGCCAAAATAAGAGCTAATATGGTTGCAACATATAGGTCCCAATCTTCACCGAGATAATTGTCGACCAGATATGATACAAAATTAATTGGCGTATAGAATAGATCTTTAAATCCAAGGTTTTTGATGTGATCATAAAAATAGACGAAGAATAATTTGATTAGGGCAAGTGCAACTGGAACTTGAGCATCGGTGGATGTGACGGCCGCCAAATCATAATATCGTTTAGCCAGGTAAATATCTCTTTTTAGACCAAGCCCCTTTTCATACATGTAGCCTAAATTGAATAATGCCTGAGCATTGTTTTGCAATTCCGATGCTATCCGATATTGATTGGCCGCCATTTCATAATCTACTTTTGTGCCTAAGCCATAATAATGATAATCACCCAATTTGACTCGGGCTATCGAATAGCCTTGAGATGCTGAACGGCTCCAATACATGAAAGCACGATTATAGATTTCATGTTTATCAAAAAGATCTCCAACTTCATCCCGATCCAACATGAATGCTGCATTGCTTTGAGCTACTTCATAGCCAAGTTCGGAAAGAACGGCATATTTGATAAACGCATTAGAACGACGACCTTCTTTATAATCGTTGTGTGCCTAAACAATAAGAATATTAATTTGAGATCTCCAACATTTTTCAACATACTTCCATAAGCAAAGTTCCCCATTCGCCGCGTTCGCAGACAGATTTGAAAAGTTCTACAGCTGTAGAACACGATTGAAGAGTACCTGTACCTGTTGCTTGCATTTCGGCCAAATGATAGAATGCAATTAAATGTCCAGATTGCAGGGCCATTTTGAAATATTCGATGGCCGCTTTGTAATCTTTTGAAACACCATAGCCATTAAGATACATTATACCTAGATATAGTTGGCCATCTACCCAGCCTTGCATAGCGGCAGCAGAGAAATATTTCAATGCCATTTTAAAATCTTTGTTTACACCACGTCCTTGGAGATACATTATTCCTAATCCACTTTGCCCAATCGGATTCTCTTTATCTGCAGCCATTTTGAAATATTTCAATGCTTTTTCAGAACTTTGTTCGACAACTTTATTTCCTTCCAAATACATCTAGGATTTATAATCATTTTTTTAAACTCTATAAATAATTCATCATGATTAATCTTACCTTTCCCAGATATGCCATAGCATTGGTGTTGCCCGATTCTGCAGCCATAGTAAAATAATGAAAAGCTCGGTATTGATTTTGAGCGACACCACGTGCGCCTTGAAAATGTAATTGGCCAAGACCAACCTGGGCACTAATATCGCCTTTATCGGCCAAAAATTGGTAATACTGAATCAAATCATCATCAAGTGAACCGTGATAAGGACCGGAATTCTCCGCTTCGTCTAAGATTCGAATCCGTTGTATTGATGGATTATTTGAAAACGTATAGCTTTGCTCAACTACTTTAGCCACTTTACGATAATAGGACAAAGCGAATTGACAATTGGATGCGACACTTATCCCTGACCAATAGCGATAACCAAGTGCCATCCGGGCATACGTATGATTTGCAAGCGAAGCGAATGTATAATACAATAGAGCTTTTGCTTGATTGGCTTTTACCGGTGGCAATCCAATGGCATACATAAATCCAAGATACTGCAACAAATCATAATTGTTAACAAAAAGTTAGCAAAAAAAAGTTTCATACCAGATGCGCTAGACTATTTCCTTTAGCAGATAATTCTTGGAAATATTCAAAAGATGTATCCAAATCAAGTAGAGGATTACCATAAAAATATGTGATGGCCAATTTCAATTTCGCTTCATCACTGCCTTTTTTAGCCAATTTTTTTAATGTTATAACGACTTCTTCAGGTGATTTTTTTTCAATCAATTTATCAATGTCTATAGTTGGCGGACTATTATTATCATTATTATCGCTTGTTGTTTTTTCATTTGATCTATCTTGATCATTGAATGCTGAATCATTGACAACTGTATCAACGCTCGGCGAAAAGGATTTAGATGACGAAGATTTAGTTACTTGGTGATCATCACTATTATCACTAGATGAAATGAACACATCTTTTTCATCGGAATTGTTATCAGTTGGTACATCCGAACTTTCGTCGGAAATATCAGTTTGAACATCACTTGTAGTAACGGTTGGATTATCGAGGGATGATTCTTGATCATTAGAGGAATCATCTGAGATTGCTGAATTCGATGCCGACTGAGGTGGCTGAGAATGAGTCGCGAAAATGAAGGAAAAGAGTACAAAGATCACAATTATGAGTTTCATCATTATCAAATTCAGTTATTTCTATGTTCCATAAGATCGATCTGATGTTGGTGGCAATATCGATCGTTTAATAAGCAACAATAGAACATTGTATGTTAATATTAGAACAGCTATTTCGTTAATGCACTTATTGTGTCATGATTCGATTATAATTAAAGCAATAATTAAATTCATTTATTCATTTCGAGTAAATTGCAAATTCGATACAAATTACGCTTAACCTATCAGGAAAACTACACAAGGAATTCGTGACAATAACGAAAAAATTGATAAGAAATGGCGATTCTGATGTCAAATGGATTTATTACATCAAGTTTACAATGAAAATTGATGGTGATCGGATTACCAACATGCAAGTGAAAAACAATTACGTGTAGTAGTCACACTGTTTATGAAAAGTTTCTACTTTTATTCAAAATATAACACAAAAAGAATTTATCGTAATAAAATCATCAATTGAAAGACTATTTAGACAAAATTTGGCTTTCGACGTTAAATAAGAATGGATAAAGATTTTATTTCCGCAAAAACGTTCGATTTCGAATATCATTTCCATTTTTGATTAGCTACAAACGATGATGAATATCAATAAAAAAGACAAAGACCAAGATTACGAAAATCTTATTCAAAAAGTTTTTGAATTCAAGTGCCAAAAATATCTGCACGAAAAACGAAAAAAATTACAAGATGACCCCGCGATTAAGCTTCGAGAAAAAATGCGTAGGAAAGAAGCTGAATATGAAGCTAAATTGTTGGGGAAAGACGCAGAATGGAAACAAAATCACAAAGGTAAATTGATTTTTGCAATTATCATATTTTTGATTACTTACTTTTAATTTAGAATTGAACAATTTTCTGATTGAAAATTTTCAAAATCAAAATAAAATTTTAAACAATGTTCGAAAAAGATTAATCAAAACAATACCAGCCGTCGAAAGAGATCTAAAAAATTTACTTCGAGAAGAACAAAAACTGGTTCTATTGATGGAAAATAAAATGCAAAAATTTAATATGGAACAACAGTTTTTGGTCGAAAAGCTGCAGAAAAAATTGAACAATGAAGAAATGACTTGGCTGAAAGAATTTATACGTGATTGGGATGAACAAACGGAAAACATTGTTCAAATGGTAAAATTTTATTAACTATTTTAAAAGAAATTTTACATTCTTTACGAATTATAGATGCGAAATGGTTTTGAAATTAACCCCATTGACTTGAATGTATCGTTTGGATTATGTCCGGAAATTGCCGTCATAGAACCTACATTTAATAAGAACGTAGAAAAAACGGATGATATCAGCATAAGCAACGAGGAACTGACCCCATCTACAGGAGAACCAGTTACGACAACAATTGAAATCGTCAAGCCAAAAAAATCCGTAAGATTTTCCAAAATTTTAAAACCAGTAAATCGACAGGAGAAAGCTGAACCAGAAAAAAAATTTTTCGACGAAAAATCGTTTGAAATGTCCAAAATTAATGAATCCAACAGCAAAATGGAATTCAACTTCGATGAAGATAGCGACTTAACAAAAAAAGATACTTTTGAGGATTCAAAAGACAATTTCAAGACTGATTTTGCATTCAATTTCGAGCAATCAATCGAGACAGTTGCCGAGAATGCAGTGGAAAATTTCATGTTCAACTTTAGCAGTATGGAATAAAGCTAAAACGAAACATTTGAATTTTTTCATGATTTATAATTAATTTGTTTCATTTCATTTACACAACTATACAAATAATTTAGTATCGATAAAAGTAATCATCATGTTATATAATGAAATTTATCTATTATAGTTTATTAAATGTTGGAAATTAATATCCATTAATCATAAAGTTGAAAAAATTAATATGTACACTTTACATTATATTTACATGTTATACACACCCATCCATAAAATTCAATTTTTTCGACACGGTTTACCTGAAAATGAAAAATTAATTTTTGCATATCATTCAATTTTGTTGTTGTTGTTGAAACGAATGACATAGGGAACCGATAAATCCGTTCATCAATCAAGCAATAAGTATGAAAATAAATGATTACAATCACTTTAAAAGAAAGGGAGAGATATAAAAGACAATTATTGAATAAATGGATGAATTTTTTTTTCTTGGGCCGAAAAAAATCCAAAGGCAAAGATCCAAAGATTTGTGTGTATCAGCAGTGACTGATACAAAGACGCAAACCTAAATAAAAAAAATTAAAATAGAATTGTCAACATTGAATTGAGATTCAATGTATTCAAAGAAATTTTTTCCGAAGAAGTCAAGCCTGAAGAGATATAAATAAAACAAATGATCAACATGAAATTGAGAGAATGTGCCAGTTGTAAATTCATTTCAAAAATCTCCTTTATTATCAAGAATATATGCAAGAATCAAACATACATCACGGATCATTAGAGAATTTATAATTAAAAAAATGAATAAAATATCATAAGCTAGAATACTTGAAATGTTTGCCATTTATTTCCAATGATAAAGAGAGAAAAAAGAGACACCAAATTCTTATCATTATTCAATAGAAAGGAAAAAGAAAAAGGAGAAAAAAGGTTTAGAGTTTATGTATTGAAAATGTTCATGTGATCAAATCGAATCATTGAAAAAAATGGAGAAGGGAGTGAACGCATCCGAAATGATACCGAGATCAATCAGATTGCTTAGTTTTCATTTTTTTAATGAAATTTAAAAGTGAAAAATGTTACTTCCTCCTCCTCTTCAACTTTCAGCATTTGGAAGAATGATCCATAGATGAGAGATAATCATATTGGTATGAAAATGACAAATTAGTTTAGTTTCGATTTCGACTTGACTTTCTTCATGGACATATTTAAAAATATTTGATTAAATTGAAAATGAGGAAATTTATGTGTTTGTAGGCTAATAAAAATCCTTAAATGTGTTTATAAATAAGTATGGATCAAGAATTCTTGATCATCATAACCAACAGAAATATGAAAATTGTTAAACGAAAAAAGCAGCAAAAGGAGATTTTCTTTCTTCAGCAAAAAATGTTTTTGTTTGTTTAAATCCAAAATGATTAGTGCATTTAAATGTGTTGTCTAAAGTCTTCGCTCATAATCGTCCGAAATCGGATGGTAAATATTGAATGCACGATGCAATGAAGAATTAATAATATTAAAATGTGATTAGTAGTTCGTTATGTTAAAAAATTTAACGGTTATTAGAAGATTTGACAGCACACATAAGTACACACTGTTAAAGAGCAATTAATAATAACCGACATATTTGTTCTGGTTATTCATAGCGCCAGCACCGGCACCACCACCATAAGATCCATAGCCACCAACCTGAGGAGCCATTTGAGGACTACCATACATTTGTGGCTGTTGTGGTGGCATTGGAGTGCCACCGGTAGCACCACCTCGTTGTATTCCACTTTTCATCTGATTACGAGTCTGATTATATTGGCTATAATTCTGAACTGGTGATTGATACATTGGCTGTGCACTTGATCCAATTGGACCTGTGTTGTAAATACCAGTACCACCCATAGCTTGTCTATTATCATAATACATATCACGAGAAGGGGGCATCTGTGATGGTGGTAAGTGTCCACCATTGCCTAAAGCACCGCTGCCCATAGGGGCTTGTGGGGTAGGCGGAGCCTGAGTATAATATGATGAATAATTCATCGGTGATTGATGATGAGGTGGTGGGGGTGGATATGAATGGTATTGATTTATTGGTGTATGAGGTGGTGGTGGCCCATACTGATGCATTGGCGACATTGATGCGGGAGGCATCATCGAATGATCACGCATTGGACGATTAAAGCGGCCACCGTTACGGTTATTACGCATACGATTATTGTTGTGCATTTGATTACTTCCATTCGAATATCGATTATTATTTTGGATTCTTCGATTAATTTGATTCTTGTTATTCATATTGTTGTTTTTCTGTTTAATATTTCCGTTTTGATTATTGCGATTACTACCAAAATTTTTCTTTCGATTTTGTTTCCTTTTACTTTTCTTAGCCGTAGATGTAGAAAGCTATGAACGAAGTCAATTTAGAAATGAAAAACAAGCATTAAACTAATGTACCTGAACAGTGATGGCTGACCCATTGAAATTATGATTGTTCAATTTTTCCATAGCCACACGAGCTTCTTCTTTGTCTTTCATGTGCTACAGTTATGGTAAAAAAAATTAAAGTAAAATTAAACCAAAAATGTCATCGCTCACCACAAAGCCATATTTTCCCACAATATCACAATGTGTCACTTGACCATAGGTGGAAAATAATTCTTTCAGTTGATTCTCTTTAGTTCCCGAAGGCAAACGACCAACAAACAATTTCGGTACTTGTAATTCAGCACCACCATTAGCATTGGATTTTGTGCCGGCATTTTTCGTTTCATCCTTTTTTTCACCGTCGATCTTGTTATTTTCGACTTCGGTAGCTGTTGATTCATTGGTTGCTGATTGATCATCGGTTTTAGTTTCGACAACCTGTTCGATAGGCTACAATGATCTGTAAATTACGAAAAACATATAATCATATCAATCATTACTAACCGTATCTGTTTTTATAATGGCGGCCATGTCAAATTAGATTTTCTACAAATTGATTGATGTACTAATGTAATGCACTATTAAAAATGATAATCAAATGATTAAAAATTAATAGATGCGATAAATACAATTCAATAGGGGAAAAAATTGAGCAAAGAATCTGAGAAAAATCGAGCCAAAATCAATTCTTTTCGACAACACTGTTCAGCAAAATGTCGAGAACAAAGAACTGGCTGTCACAATTGATATGAGTTGCTAGCGGCATTAACAACAAGAATATTCCAATTTAGTTAAATGTCAATGAATTTATGATAGCAGTAATTTTCTTTACATTAAATACGAGTAAATGAGTTGCTTTCTTTATACCGCTATTACAAAATAAAATTTCTGCGAAACTTTCTCATTTTGACTTACAAATTTCGAAAACTTTTCGTACGATAAATGAAACATTCATTTTATATTTCCTTATCCTTATGATGATGATTATTATTCTTGCAGGCAATTTTTTTATATTTATTTAATTTGTTTTATTATTTTTGAATATCAAAAATATTTTTAAAAATCATTTTAGAATATATTCATCGAATAGAATTAATAAGAATAGGAATATGATCCATTAATACATGCATTCGAAATTCTAAGTATTGTTATTGTCCACTGGATGCCAGGTCTAACAGACGAATTGTCGACCAACAGAGAACATACTGAATAATGTTGAAATCCCATTTAACAAATAAGGAAAAAAATCATCCACTAACCAATATCAAATGGATTTTGAGTGTAATTCCCTGCATTGCAGCATCATCATTTGCTGAAAGTAAACGAGAGTGAAAAATCTACCACCACACTTTTGTATTCTATATTCATTCTTCCAAACACAAACATTCGACTATTCCAAATTCAGTTTTTATATTGTGTTATCATATCGGTTTTTGTCTTTGTGCGGCTGATCTGTTCGAATGTTTTTTTTATCAACAGAATTATTGATAATTGATAATTTTATTTTCAATTTAATTTATTAAACAAATTACAAACGTCAACAATTTATATCGTGGTCATTTAAACTTAATTATTTTAACTCTTTAGTAAGTTTGATCTTATATGTTCTTTTATATTCTTTTTTTTCCCACTTTCACATGCACCACTTTTTTCAAATCATTCTTCTTTTTCCACAACATTTCATTGTTTATTTGAAAACTTGTTCCATTTCATTTATATCATATTTTGAAAAAATAACAATTGTGAAATGCTCCAATTCATAACTGTAATTATCATGGAAATTATTATTATTATTATTAGATTTCTTTCTTTTTCTCTCGGTAGATTTTTCAACACATTTCATTATTATAACATAAAATATTCAAGGTTAAAAGCAATTGTCACAATATTTCAAACTAAAGAGATAATGATTCCATCATCTATCAATCACGTTAGTTTGTTGAGCATTAATTATTATAAATTCTTAATAAATTTTTAAAAATGTCATAGTTTCAAGGTAATTTTTAGTTTAATCCATTTTTTCAATTAATAATTACAATTGATAGATTTATTTTCTCCTCTTCTCTTTAAGTTTCGAATCAATTCACATTTACCGGTATATATAAAAACAAATTTTTCATTTCATTTTAATTTGAAAACAAGTGGTTTCAACTTTTGAAAATGATGATTGAATGAACGTCGAGGATTTTATTTTTAGCCGACAAAATAAAAATGAATAAATAAAACTCGATTTTCCTATAGGTTGATCTTTTTTTTCAATCAGAACAAGTTGCCAAACAACAATAACAACAATTTCATTTTTTCTTGGTTTCTTATCTATAGGTTTTTTTTTGTTGGCTAACAAATCAAATTTTTAATTCATTGCAATCCAACTGTATTTTGTTTCGGTTATTCTATCATCTCATATGTCTGAATGATGTGTTTGTTATTTGTCCTATTTTTTAAAAATAATAAATGAATGTTTTAATCAAATCTTGTTTGTTCAAATGATACAATTCAATCCATTTCATTTGATAATTGTTTTTAAATCATAATTTTGTTGATTTTCAATTTCGATTTATTATCATTTTTTTTTTGTTGTTCAAGATCTGTAAACATTCACCAAAAAAATTAGATTAATGAGATGATAATTTAAATAATAAAATTTTCAAAGTTTTAATTGATTTCTCTTTTCCATAAACATTCATTTTCGTTACAATTCAATTCGTTTTCGAATTTTTTTTTTCATTTCTTGATGATCACGATTTTTGTTTTGCATACAAAGGAAACAAAAAAAAATATATTGATACATTCAATCAATAATTTGTTGATTTGATAAAACAAAACAAAAAAGAAAGAAAGAAAGAAAATAATTAGTATCGAAATGTTTTTTAAAAATTTTATATCCGTTGTTTGATGCACGATGTTAGATTTGAATGGGTATTAACCTTGTGTTCATTAATCGTTAAGATTATTAAACTTTGTTTTTTTCCCATTCAATCTAAACTTGTTATTCATCCGGGAAGTCATTTTTCATTCAATAATTTTGGTATTATTAAATATTTTGTTTTTTTCTTTTGTAGCGATGTAATACTTGCTTATAAACCTTTCGACGAATTGAAAGTGTTGAATTATAAATTCAAATGCTATAATCAACAACTATTGGCTTTTAGGTTTCTGGCCAATGAACCCGAATAGCCATCTTTGATTATCAGTAGTATTACATCAGTAATCTATTATAATTAATTATTAACATAACTATAAAATGATAGAGCTTAAATATTTTAAAATTCTAAATATTTTAATTTGAAAAATAATTGTCCCATTTGAACATTATTTTGAACATCATCATCATCATCTTCTGATTGGATAAACGTTCCTCCTTCCTTGTTATTTTTTTATTTTTTTAAAATGGCTATCGATTATAAATTGAATGTGGTTTGTTGGTCAAAATATTCCTTGGATAATCATTTTTGTTCCTGTTACCCCTTTGGCACTTATTGGAAATGTTATTACTTCATAAAATTATTATCAATCTGAAATTTGTTAGATGATTGAACCCGGTAGAAATATAAAACAAAAAACAAAAAAAAACTAGCTGGGTTGTGTTTTCTCTTAATGTAGCCAATTATTATAATCATATTCGTTTTTTGTACAGATTTTCAATTTTTTTTTTCATTTCTTGATTATGGATTTAATGATAATAATAAAATGTGTAATAATTCATCCTGTAACGTGTTTCAAATGAATACAAATTTATATAGATAGATAGATACATCCTATCCTAGTATGTGTTTGTGTTTTCTATCATCATCATCATGATCAATTCATACAATTGGCTTTTCGGTTGATTTGATCATAATTGAATCCAGTTGAACAAGTTATAATAAATGGCTTTCTATAACCACAAATGAGAAAAATAAAAAGTTGTTTGTTGTTTATATTTTTTCTCTTTTTTGCTTTTTTTCAGTCTGTTCTTACCTGTTTTTTGATATGATGTTGGTGTGGCCTGATGATCACATTTTGTTTCGTCATCAAATCTTGCCTGCCTGATGCATTCATCCATTTCACCATTCCATCATCATTCAAGTCAAGGGTCTTTCGTTATTATTATACATCAACTCTATGTCCATTTTATTATTCTTTCTTCCATTCTCATGTGCAATCATCATCATTATCAAGAAGAAAAAAAAATTGTTTTCCTGTTTTTATCCTATCCTATGCAAGCCATTTGTCAGCATCATCAGCTATTGTTGTTGTTATTTGTATCCGAAAGCATTCAACCTTACATACATTGAGTGTTAGTAGAAAACAAAATAAAATGCACACAATAGACAAAAGATATTGCTAGGAGGTATCCTAAATCATTGATGACGACGAATAAATGAAATACAGAATTATTCATTTTATTATTCCTATCATCAGGTGATGAGTCATATTGGCTATTTGTGTTTTTTTCAAAAAAAAAGAATTATTTGTTTTTCCAACATTTGTTCTGTGTTGTTCAATTTGAATTTTAAAAAAAAATTCTTTTTGGTGTGTGTGTGTGTGTGTGTGTGAATTGAGTTTATGATAATTCATATTTATTACAAAATTAAGAAGAATGTTTTCCAAATATTCGAATACACGGATATCTGACAATTCTTTGACATCACCGGTTGCTAATGTTTCATTAGATTTGTCCAAAGGTATGTTATCAAAATCAATTAGGTCTTTTTTTAATGCCCAAATTAATGAATTGAATCAGTTCATTAATTGAATCAGTTCATATGATTGATTTCAATGTTAATATGCCATGTATTTGCATTTGAGATCAATGAATTTGTTATTGACATTTCTGTTTTTGGCTTTAATCATTATGATCATTAATATCACGCCTACGTCTACCCTAATATGGATTTTGGATTTCAATACAATTATAACGAGTTTTTTCTATTCGATAATAATTTAGATTTTTCACCATTTATAAATAATGCAATACAATCAATATTTCCATAATTATACATTTTATATAACCTTTAAAATGAATAGATTTGAACCTTCATTATTTAGAAAATGTTCATTTTTTCCAATTATTTTTTTCAGAATCATTCTATCCAAATTACGAATTCATTGAAAAATCTGACAAACATCGTTCATTTATATCAGCCAGATTCGAAATAACCGATGATTGCGAAACATCACCATTATCAACCACATTAGTTGATTGTTTTTCATCTGGATCAGAATGTTGCTGTTCACCACCACCATCATCATCTACATTTAACAGCTGTGCTAATCTTGATCCACCGTTTCAACCTAACTTTTGTGATAGCCATAGTAAATTCATTATGGCCACTGATGTTACACCAACAATGGCAATGACAACATGTAACAATGAACAATCGCCATCATCGATAACAGCCAGATTTGGAGATCCATTGGGTTCGCCTCCAACAGTTTCGTCTGGCTGTTCAGATGATTATTATTATGGACCATCATCTGGCGAATTTTCATCATCGGCAAATGGCGATTCAATTCCGATACATACGCCGTCTTCATCCTGCAAAAATAATGATTATTGGGCACTTATTTCTAAAAATGATGATTTTGAATTGAAAATAGAAGCTCAAGAAAATTATGTCTGTTTTATTGGTTCCGATCTTGTTCATCGAAAACGACAAATACAATCACCATGTAACAACAAAGATAAAGACGATCATCAAGCTGTATTGATTTATGCCAGCGGGTCATTTCATATCAAAGATCTCGATTCAACATTTGGTGTAAGTAATCTGATGAAAAACAAAATTACCAGAATATAGATAGACGAACATTCATTAATAATAGTTCACATTTTACATTGACATATTAGGACATTACCGATGTAAAATGTATTTTTTTTTTTTGTTTTGGTTTTCTTGACCTTTTTTTCCATATCTTTCTCTTTTCATTTGATGATTATTCTGCCTGATTGGCTTCTAGGTCTCAGTTATTTTTTGATAACTATATATCTCACTCATCATCATCTTTATTTATTTTTAATGTAATGTCAAATGTTTAATTATCATCACCTTTGCTATGTGTAAATTTTCTCAACTTTGTTCTTCAATAGATTTTTTCTTCGGCAATCATATATATGAAAAGCTTACCTTTTATAAATTTGAAGCTAAATTTAGCCTGTTCTTATCACCTTTGATGATGATGATGATGAATATCATGATTTGGATTTTTGTTAATATTTAACTGCAAGATACTTTCGGCAGCATCGAACTTTTTTCCTTTTAAAGAAAATAGTTTCTGTTTTTTTTTTCTCATCGTTGCATTATTCGGATCAAGTGTAGATTGTTTTTTTTTCAATATAATCCGTTTACCTATCTCTTTTCGTTTGGCCGATGACAGGATGAAAGATGCAAATAAATTGGATTAAAAACTCGACTTATGTAACCACATCATTATTTATGTATGCCTTTTATATCTTCATTTCCTCAAATTTATTTCATGCGCATTTGAAATCGAAATTTTTCCTTTTATGAAAATGAATTAATATTTCATTTTTTTCTGGCCATCAATATAGACATTTGTAAATGAACTTCGTGTGCCGTCTCGCAGCTTCATACGTTTGAATATTGATGATGAGATTCGTTTTGGCTTTGGTCCGGATATTTATCAATTAAAACATTTGCCATCAAATCCAGTCAATTTTAACCGCAGCCCAAATGTTCAACAAAAACAAGTAGATATCAACGTCGACGATGAAAAACATCATCGATCGACACCGCCTGTAACAACAATAAAAACATCATTCAAAAATGACAATTCAAATGAGTTTTTCGTCCTTGGCGACGAACATGACAATAATGATGATGATAGCAAACAACTGAAACAAATTCCATCCTGCGATCAAGCAACAGTACCAAAGTCTGCAAAACAATCTCCAATGAATAAATTATTTCGTATTAGTATTAGAAAAAATGATAAAAAATCTGATCCTGTTAAACGCGGGTCGAAAAAAACAACGATACAAACATCAACATCGACAGCTTCATCATCATCATCATCCACATCCTCATCATCGCATAATAAACTTTCTCCATCATCTTTTTCCCTGATGTCATCATCATCATCATCATCATCTCAATCATCAACACCAGTGACTTCAACACCTCATACACAACAAACATCATCATCTTCGATGTTCATGTCGGCAATGAAAATGATGAAAGCTCGTTTCAAAAAGAAATCATCATCAGCCACGGTCTCTGCTAAAGATAAGAAAGAATCATCGTTGTTTATTTGTTCGGGAAATGAAGACATAACCTTCATCCGTTATCATCATTATAAACAAAATCATCCATCCATCCATAATCAGCATAAAATCGAGCCATGTTCGATATCGGCACCTGAATCTCCAAATCAATCTCGTCATCATATCTATCATAGTCATACATATCAGAATACAGAATTCCTTAGAAAATTATCTGATGACTATCCGATTGTTTCGCTTTCAGGCTGTCCTTTTATAACAGATGAACATGAATATGATGAAGTAACTCCCGAACTGGACCTGGAAAATGACGCCGATGATGATGAAGCTCCTAGTTGTTATTCTGATATTAGCCAAAAACAATGGACATGTAAATCAAAAACATCAACTAATGTTGGTGATAGCAATCAGCATTTCAACCACAATCATCGCACTTTGTCTCCATCAACACCACTGCAATTACCACAGCCGACTTCGACGTCTTTAACAAAAACAAAGCATTCTTCTGTTATGAATACAGCACAAAATATTCATGGAGATTGTGGCCTGTATCAAAAAAATCCTCATAATAATCATCACGATATTATCGATGCTGATGATTACAATGCATCGCATGAATGTTTTGATGTTGAAAATCATACATCGACACATGCAATAGCCACTTTATCAAATATCCATCATTTACCACATCTAAACAGTGAAGATCGTCTGAACAATAATAGTAGCTTAGATTCAAACATTGTTCATTTTGAACACTTATTGAAAAACTTAAAAAACAACAAATTTGAATCAAACACTAGCAGTGGCAATCAAAAAGACAGCTGCGAAACGTCTATTAATTTATCAACAATCTTGTTAGGTAAGCAAAATAATGCATTTATGGTCATATAATTAGAAATGCTTCACACATTTTATTTAGACAATTATAAGCTTTTTATCTAATTTTAACTTAAAAGGAGGCAATTTGTTTATAATTTTAAATGAACAGGAAGCTAGCCACTTAAGATGTTCTAATTAAGTTGCTAACCTTGTTAAGAGATATTGTTTATTGATGAATTGATCAATCAAATTGTATGTATGTCAATTATAGTGTAACCACTTTGATAATGAATCATTCAATTCAATCAATCAATTGATTCGATATTTTTTTGGCCGCACACAAATATGCCGAATGATTGACACTTGTTCAATAATCGAACACCAATTCGTGACCAATTGAACATTCGTATTGTTTATATGGCCTTTTTTGGTTAACTTGAAGGTGTTATCATTATCTCATCGTCCTCATTATTATTATTATTATTATTTCTCACATTTCGATGTTCATATTTTTGTTTCTTTTTAACATCTCCATAAAAAGCAATGTTTATCTTTCAGGTGTTGATCTCGAACACAAACACTGACAAATATTTAAGTGAAAATAATTATTGTAAACGCTGGCATAAAAGAGCTAATGGTGTAATAATTTCCAACAGAAAAATGAATGAAATTCATGGAATAGAGAAAAAAAGGAAATTGAAAATAATCTATACTTTACCATTTGTGTTAGTTTTTCATTGTTCGATTTAACGTGTTCGGTGTTCAAATTTTATCCATACATCTAAACGTCTAGCGATCTATTTTGAATTTCTCTCTCTCTCTCTCTCTGGAATGGATCTTTTTATTATTATTATTTTTGTTGTACGTGTCAAACAATATATACAATCTCTTTCTCTCTATCTTTTGAGATTTAATTTCTCTTAGCTCACCTTGTGTATGCTATGGAAAACGACAAGTGTTTGCCAGTTATATAGAAAAATAGAGATTTAATGGAAATGCAAACCTCATCATTGTTGCCATAATGATTGTATACAAACCAAATAAAACGACAAAACAAGTGCGTAATTCTATGAAAATCTAGTTTTTTTGCCATTATCTTCATCATCATCAAAAATTGACATTTGGTTTATTTAATTGAATATTCTCAGAAAAACAATGATGATATTAATTTCACTCTAAATACATAGTTACCCTAATAATCTGAAGCTAAATAATATGAAATTTTTTCCTAATTACTTTATGCAAATAATCAAATTGATCATTTTCTTTTGAAATATTCTCTGTATATATTTTTAGATGATGAAATACATCAACGAACAAGATTACATCAACAAGAACCGAATGAATCGTTTTGCCAAAATAATGTCATAATTTCATCATTACCACCACCATCATTAAATCAAGAAACGACGACAATGACAACAATCGAAACTACAGTCACACTTGGTTCAACATCTTCCTTATTATTATATACAAGTCCGAAACAGTCGTCGGTAACATCAACTACATCAGCTAATAATAATCGTATTCATTGCAATGATTATAATGCTAAAAATCGAGTTGACTATATTTGCCAAAACGAACAAGAACGACAAAAAGATGGAATCGTTGTCTCTGATGATGATGGAAAGTGTAGAAGTACTTTAACAATGTTGTCATACTCTAATTCTGTTTTTGATGAAAAACAACAAATCAATTCAACTAACGAAACTCTTTTAAATTTCGAAAAACGATCACCTTTGGCAGCAACAACTGTGGAAACCACTGCGGAAAAGGCAACTGTCAATGAAACAACCTTGAAGAATAGGAACAATATTGAACGTCATTTGAATCAGTTGAATAATAAATCAATACATAAACATAAACATAGTGGAAAGCAACAACTAGTTGTCGTGCCGGTTGATTCAGATTCGGGGGCTGTCACCGATGCCGATACCAACGATCTATATGATATTGAAGATTCGAGACGAGGACAACGACGTCCTTCTTCCTCCTCATCATCATCAACAAAAATAACCAGTTCATTTGACCATTATCATCCAACAAATTTTCTTGCTTCGACTAGTAGTGGACGATCATCATTAGGAACTTCGGCCACATTGGCTAATTCAAATAACGATAACGAATTTCATTTGTCTTCATTGGAACATGATGTTGAATTCGACTATCAGCAGCAACATTGTAATAATGCTCGAACACAACAGCCACAATCATTGCCAGTATCTTTGCAACAACCACGTTCTCGGCATTCAATCGGTGGAATGGCATTTGTGATCAATTTTGATGATAATGAAAATGAATTGAAAACCAATGAAAAATCCCAATATTCAATTAAAAAAGATGAAAAAATTACCAGAAGGCCATCACCACTTTTTCTTAACAATCAAAATAATAATATAAATTGCCTGAGTGATGTCGAACAACAAATAACAAATGTATCACAAAGCGCGAGAAATTCGAACACTGCCAAAAACAACATCTCTATAACGACTACATCTATGAAACGATTGTCAAACGTAACATCTATACCGTTAAATACATCGCCCAAAACTAATATTGCCTATGTGTTCGATTTAAATGATATGAACGAGATACAAAAGCCACCTATCGAATTGTCAAACAATTCCCGTCACACCCAATATCAATCACCGTCATTATCATCATCGATGAAGAAAAGTGATACTTATGATAAAAAAATCAATAAAATATTGACAAATGATTGTCTTTCGACAATGAATAACGACAAAGACAATTTTGCCAAAATTGATCATCAAAAAAATCCTAAAAATCATTGTTCAGTGAAAATACCTTCATCATCAACTGAGCCAACAACGGTGATTAATGAAATGAAAAAGAATATTGAGATGAATTCGGGTCAAATTTTATCAGGTATCGATATGATAGATAATGATGCGAATCGTCATAGTGATGTAACACTACAACAATCAACATCACGGCGAAATGGTCAATTAAGTGAATCTGCTGTCTATCTGATTAATCGAATGTTTGAGCATAATAATAATTATCAACAAAATCGTCATCATCATCATCACCATCGTAGCGAAAGTGTGAGTAGCCATGGATGTTACGATTTTAGCGATGATGTTGATTTTGATAATCATCATCGCACTGATGAATATTTTGGTGTGCAACATGGTCACATTCTTCAGGCCGACAAAGTTGATCAATCAGCTAAAACATTAGCAACCCAAACAACAAAGACACATGTTAAATCAATGAATCGTCGAAGTATGGAATATGATGATGATTCATTGAGTTCATTGAATCTTATCAAAGATCAATCAGCAAAATCACATCGATCGTCATTACATCGACAAAATCCTAAATCCATCGAATCTGATGACGTTGTCACTATGATTGGAATAGACCAACAGGTCATAGATACTAATATCAGTGTTGTTGATGACGAGGATGAATTGAGCGATACTGGAACGTATGTTATCGATATTGATGAACTAACTGGTGAAAAAAATAGACGAAAATCAGAAAATCAAAATGTTGGAAATTCAAAAAAATTAATTCAAAAATCACCAACAAAGAAAAAATCTGCCCAACCCAAACAACATTTTATCGATGATAGTGACGAAATCAGGATCAAATCATATGAAAATCTAGGTGTTGAAATTGAACATGATGTTCATTGTAATGATGGTGAAGGTGGTAACACTGAAGCAAATTCCGACGAATTCGGCGACGAAGAAGATTACGATGAAGATGAAGATCTTCAAGATGAAAATGATGATGAAGATAAACTTGAAGTAGCACGAAAACAAATCGATGAACTATTCAGCAATTATGAGAAACATAAAAAGAATAGTAGCCATTACCCGTTAAAGAAAGATGCAACATTTACTCGATCAAAACGTCGTTCTAGCTGTTCAGAAGTGAATAGTTCATCGACATATCATGATGACAAATCAGATCTATCAAATCAAATGATTAGTGCCCAACCATCAGCAAAATTATTCGATGTTATCGACGAAAATATTAAACATTCAACAAATATTGGTGATAAATCTAAAAAAAGAATCAGTAGTGAATTAATGAGCGCATTCAAAAGGATTAACTCTAAATTAGAAAAGACAGCTCGACTTGGAAAGTTATCATTATTATCACCTTCGTCAACGGCTACAGTTGTCACCACAACCAGTTGCACACCGTTAGCCGAAAATACTAATGCTGAAAATCGTCACTCAACGAAATCTGTATCAGCACTCTCGAAACCACCTTTGAAATGTAGTTCGGCACCTTCAACACCGCTATTGGATAATCGAAAACAGTCAATGAATAATCGATTACATGCCCGAAACATTAGCCGTAAATCTGCAATGCCGTCAACAATCACGAATAACGATTCATCTTCAACCGAGCGACTTGATAATAATGATTCTCGACAACGAGCTCGTAGTGGATCAATGACATCCAATTCTTCGGCCTCTTCTAGTTTACGTTTCAATCGTGCATTTGCATTGCGTCGTGCTCGTCTCGGTATGGATACCTGTGGTGTAGAAATTTCTGAACAATCTGCTAATAAGGCTAAAGAATCACAAAAAACGACAAAACTAATTTCGCCATCATCATTCAAACGTAACGATGGTGGAAGATTTAGTCTTCGGGTACCAAGCACTCGAATTCCACAGAACACATGTAATCAATTTACAAAAGGATCGCGAAAACCACCATCTTCGTCAACAACGACAATTGCGTCAACCAATAAAAAAGTACTTAAACAGCCACCTGTTTCAAGTAAAATTCCAACTATAAAATCACATTCAGCATCATCATCCGTTTGTTCATCAATTGAAAATCTTACTAATGGCCTTGGAAAAGGCAAGGTAAACAATGGACATTCATTGGCTTCGATGAATCATCGTAATCAATCACAGCGCCGAGTGATTCCTCATTCAGATAATGAAATTCAATTCGATGCTGAATGTTCATCATGTGATGATTGCGAGACGCGTCCCTTATTACATTTTTCACGTTTTGGTCGGCGATCATTACGTTGTATGCCATCATCAGCCGGTAGCAATGACAATAGCACTCCATGGCTAAAATCGCTTGCAAATAAATCCATCAATTCAAGTATGAAATTTTTTGTTTTTTTTGCATGATTTCATGTTTTAATTAATAATAATTTTTATTTTTCAATCAAAAGATGCCGAACTTGTTTTTGACAAACGAAATAAGGCAGAAATTCAATCACAGCCACCTACTCAATGTTCATATTCCTTATTTAATGGATCATCTATACAGAGCAAACATCGAACATCCTCAGCAAATAGTTATCGTTCAGAAAGCGATAGCCAAAATTATATTTCTGTTATTGAGCCTTCATCACCATCTATTGTTGATCCCAGGACAGCTAGGCAAATGGTTCCCCCGTTTCAGGTTGGAAAACGCTTCTTTTCCACTAAACCACATCGAATGGCACAATTCGATAAGGATTTCAACACCATTATTCATGGCCATCATTCCGCAAGTGCTAATCCATCTCCGATGCGACAAATGTCTGCCGATTCAAATCTGATGACTCATTCTGTCACCGAATGTCTATTGTCAGATCGTTTAAACATTGATAGTAAAAGACAAGAAACAAAATCAAACGAAGTACCAACAGGATCACCAGTCATTTCATCTGGTATAAATGCCAGAATATTTTCCATTTCTCCATTAGATTCATTAGTGATATCAGCTATTAATCAACTGTCTTCTAAACTTCGAACAAGAATGCGAGATTTTCTTGAACGTGAACGCACCAATCATTCACCAGGATCAGAAGCACGAACATTGATTGAAGAAATTTTGCCTCAAGTAAATAATGTAAACGGACCAGATTCGTCAAAATCTAATCAAACACGTAACAATTATAATCATGATTCATCGAATATCAGTCGTGATCTGTCTAATATATTGAAAAATTTGAAAAAAGTAGAACAAATTTTTGATGGTGAGTAAATTTTCGATTTTAAAGTGATTTATTTTATCTTTTCTTTATCTTAAAATCCAGTCTTCTCAATGGTCGTTGAACCGTATACAAATGATACGAAAATTGTCGAAATCCACGAATCAGATGGCCCCATCATAACGAATATCTCGGATAGTGATACTAGCGGTAGTGGTGATGGTACAAATGGATCGGTCGTCATAAACAATTGCACAAGTACCAAAACGTCCATAAATCGATCACGGCGATTACCATTTATGATTCCCTCACAAAAACCATCGGCAAATGACTTTATACAATCACCGCCATCACCTGAATCCTCATCGCAACCGCGATCAGGATTCTTTATTGAAATTTAAAGTGGCCTTTCATAAAATCATCATTATCAAAATGATAATTTACTTTAAAGATTTGATACATGCTACAAAATATAATTTTGATTCATTTACCTAACAATGCGAAAATATTTGTGATATTGTATCTAGTTTATTTCAGTTTTTATTTGTATTATAAATGAAAATGAATGAAATGTTTTTATTTTTTGTCCTTTTGGCAACACATCCCATTTATAATCAAATATAATCTTAGCCTAATTTATTTGCATTTTCATTTTATATCAAACTAAAATTTTAAAAGCTAATAAAGTTGTTTATTGATAAATTATGCCTTCATTAATTTTAAATATGGTCTGATATGAGAAGCAAGATCAACCAAATGATACCACATGTGTTTGATTAGATGCACCATAATCCAACATTTGGAATATATAAAAATTTATTGGGTAAAAATCTCATGAACACAACTTATCCATGGCAATGTATAGATTCACGATTTTGACGGTTAGTGATCGGTGTAGCCGAAATGAAAGTGTCGACACTAGTGGGCCATTGTTGCAGCAATTGATTAAAGATTATGATGATCGATTCTATGTGCTCGATTATCAAATTGTTTCAGATGATAAAAATGTCTTGAAAGAATTCCTCATACGATGGTCGAATCGTTCAGATGTTGATTGCATATTGACAACCGGTGGAACTGGGTTAACATCACGTGACATTACTCCGGAAACTACTGCTGAAATAATCGAAAAAGAAGTACCTGGAATTAGTTTAGCATTAATCTCATCATCGCTTTCGATTACTCCCATGGCCATGCTGTCAAGGTTATTTTGGACTATCTGTTTTTCAAAAGTTTTAATGTAAATTTTTTAGAATGAAATGTGGAATTCTTAACCAAACTTTAATAATCAATTTACCTGGAAGCTATAAAGCTTGCAAAGAATGCTTCGATGTTATCAAACCAGTTCTAAAACATGCAATCGATCAGTTAAAAGATTCAAACGAAGTTGACATGTTACATCGAACAATGCACAATAATTTAAAAAGTTGTATTATTCATTTTATTAATTTATAACTCTAATTTAATAATCTGTTAAAGGTAAGGTGAATAAAGCGCCAGTTGCTGATCGTGAAAGACATTCACCATTTGAAATGATATCGATCAAAGAAGCTCAGCTAAGAATTTTTACCGAAATTGGACCGTATTTTCAAAGCGATCGTAATGAGATGGTTATACCAGCGAAAATTTTGCACAAAGCTTTCAATCTAGTTTTGGCTCATGATGTCTTTGCATCCGTTCCATTGCCACCGTTTGATGCTTCTACCAAAGATGGATATGCCGTGATTGCCGAAGATGGAAAAGGTAACCGTAATGTTCTTTCTAAAGCATCAATTGCTGGGTTAAATGAAGTTACAAGAATCGATCGAGGATTCTGTGCTCGAATCAGTACTGGTGCTGCTGTACCAGCCGGTGCCAACGCTGTTGTACAAGTTGAAGATACTGAGCTCATAATGAAGACTCAGGTAATTCTTGTTCATTAATTATTACCAAGTACCACTCACCTTTGATGATAATAGGATGACGAGGAAAAAGTTATCAACATCAAAACCATTCCTGCTGTAGGTCAAGACATACGTTTAATCGGCTCAGATATTCCAGTGGATAATCTGAATCCATTGATAACAAAATACAGACGTTTATCGTCAATCGATTTAGGTTTGATTGCAGCAACTGGAGCTAAAGAAATAAAGGTATTTCGACGTCCCAAAATAGCTGTACTTTCTACTGGTGATGAAATTGTTTCGGCCGGTCAACATAGATCATGGAATTGTGTTTGGGACTCGAATCGAACAGTTTTAATGTCCTTGTTATTACAATTTGAAGTTTTCGATCTTGGAATAACACCAGATTCTGCAGATAGTATATTGAACTGTCTTAATGAAGCAATGCAAAATGCTGATGTCATCATCACTACTGGTGGTGTATCAATGGGAGAACGTGATTTACTCAAAAAAGTCTTAAAGGAAGATTTTAACGCCGATATTCATTTCGGTCGAATAAATTTGAAACCAGGAAAACCAACAACATTTTCGACCACGACTTATAATGGCAAGAAAAAATACATATTCTCATTGCCAGGTAATCCAGTGAGTGCATTTGTGACTTTCAAAATATTTGTCGAACCATTTCTTCAGCTCCTTTCGGGAAAATATTTTGATTTTAAAAAGCAAAAAGAAGCCAATCCAATGCAAAAGTTACTCAAATGGATCAAATGCAAAGTCGTTCTCGATAAGCCGTACCAAATTGATACAAGACCGGAATTTGTTCGAGCTGTCATTACTTTTTCCTCATTATCGTTTCCCGAGGCCAAATTAACCGAATCAAATCAAACAAGTAGTAGATTGTTGAATGTGATGAATTCAAATGGATTATTGTTCATTCCAAGTAATCAGGATGGTCAAAAATTTTTAGAAAATGGCGATTTTGTTGATGCAATTTTATTTTGATAACTGATTTTCATTTATATACAGAAAATATTCATGAATGAATATAAATTTAAAATTGAGAATAAAAAAATCAAGCGATTGAATTTATCCAAGAAAAAACGTTGTCAAGATTTTTCTGCTCTTTCACACAGCTACAATCAGCGAAATCAATCGAATTTCGTAGATCACTGAATTTAAATAGACTTTCCGGGTCACCCAATATTTGAATACTGCTTTCATCACCGGATGTAGTGCCCAAAGCTCCAATACGAGTTTCTCTTATGATATTGCTGTAAAAATTAGAAAGAAACATGATAGTTATAATAATTCATTATTAGGATAAGAACCATACAATTCTTTTTCCAACATAGATGAAATAACTTTAGCAGATTTTGCACGAGTTTCATCTTGTTTTGTACAGGCAATTAATACCGGTATCCGATTGGAAACGACAAAACTATCACAAAGATATTGGTACAATAAATCGGCGACATTATGAACATTGGACATAAAGTTCAAACTATCAATAACAAAAATAATTCCTTTGGCACGAAATTTAAATTTTTCCCAATATTGACTTCGCAAACGATCGAATCCTGGAAGATCGAACAAGACTAATGTTTTATTGTTTTTTAATGTAATGGATGCTTCGTTCTCTTTTATCGATGTTACTGTTGAAACAAAAGAATTGTATGCAAGTTGTGTGAACAATGTTGTTTTGCCAGATTCGGAAAGACCAATCAGCAATATCGATTGTCGAGAATTTTTTCGGCGAAATAGAAATATTACTGAAATAGGATTCGATTATTATTAATATTACATGATAATAGATGTTTTAATTACTTGAAGAGATTAAGACAATTAATACGGCAATAGAGATAGAAAAAATAAAATAATTTCCTTCCATGATGATTATATTATGGATCGTGACGTGGTGAAATAAAAAACTCAATTGATATCATGCGTTTATATAAAACATTAGAATGTAGCGACATCTTATCAACCTGCTTGAAACTAAAAAAAGAATGTTCAACCGTATTGTGCATATAATTTTTAAATAGTGATAGCTTTCATTTTAATCATTTATTGGGAATTCAAATATACATCATCAAAGAAACAATTACCGATCATTCAAAAAATTGAACGATCGACACCAATATAGGTTATCGAAACCAAAGATTAATGATGATCATCAAAATAATGGCAATCATTGAAATATTTTCCAATCGAATAGTTTGAGATGCACTAGAAAGATCTGCACCAATCTTAATTCTATCAATATACATTTGACACATGTTCCATACTCTTAGGTGCATTTGACTGGAATAAACAAGATTATAATCTAGAATGACTGGAATATGTTGTGAATGTATCCGAGCTGTTTCAAATGTCTCCTGACGAATTTCATCCAATCTTTGATTAATAAGTTTAGAATGTTGCAATGCCTTTTGAAAAGATTCGATTAATTGTGGTCTTTTAGTTTGGTTATTGAGAAAATTTTTAATTTCTTGATCAAGAAAATCGATTTCTTTTTTGATCGTTGTCATATCCCCGTACGATGGATATTCCTTCCTGAACTCGAACAATTTTTTGTTCAATAATTTTGAATCAAATCGACTTGAAGGAAGAGCTAAATTCTGTATTTGATATGGCATTAGCTGATCAATTACCATCGTAATAGTTTCATTCAATGCAATAATTTCATTTTCATATTCTAGACAATTAAATTTTCGAATAATTGATTTTAGCATCATTTTTTCATTCAGCCAATGAAATCGTTTGAAAAAATCTTCCAATTTTGGTTGAATCTCGCGAAGTTCTTTTAGAAAAGAATCAACGATTGGCTTCAAATCTGGTTCGGGTCTACCAAGTAAATCCATATCATTTGTTTCAACAATATCATAATAGGTTTTATTCATTTCTTTTAATTTGTTTTGAATGTTCAATGATTGGTTGAATGATTGAATCAATTTCGAAAGCTGTTTGTGTTCTTCTCTATCATTCCAGCATTTTATCACTGTGATTTTAAATTGAATGAATGGAATTTCATATGAAAATATTGTTTTTTTTTTACCTGAAAATGTACAGAGAATCGTAAGGAATAGAATTATTTTTTCGAAAAAAGATGACATTTTGCTTGTTTCAAAATTTCTGTCAATGCACTAATTTAATGAACAAAATCGAAAAATTAAGTTGAAGACTTATGAGAAAAGAATTTTTTTTTGGAAATTTATAAATCGATTTCACCAAAAAAAAGTGTGGGATTGCACGCTGGGTGTTATGTTTACTGGTTACTATGATAATCAAAATAATTTAATGATAAATAAGACTCTTGAATAGTTTGTGTAAAATATCATGTTACCTGGGAAATCAAAATCTTATCATCGATACATTTGATAAAAACACAATAAAAATTTTAATAAATAGGTTATAATTTGAGTATCAAATAAAAAAGAATTTTGTCATCCTATCATCATCAAATCGATATCGATTTTAGATTGAATATGATTGCATTTTAAGATGTGATCGTTGTTGTGGGTGTGGTTTCGCTGACGCTAGACTGATCGGTGATAGGTCTTTGTATTGGTTGAGGATGGTAATGGCCAAGTTTCCACAATCGTATAATAGAAAAACCAATAAAGCAAGCATAAGTGAACATATTGACAAAAAATGAATGATGGCCAATTAATAATTGATATAAGCCATGTCTCAATGAAACAAATTTGAGGAACCATTGATTTATCGAAGCAATAGTAACACAAACAATAAGTGTTTTGATTGAATCCTGAAATGCTAAAATCATTAGAAAAATATTTATCAGAAAGAAAGATATAAAAACGGCCATTACAAGATGATTTTCGCGATCATATTCATTTGATAGCTTGAACTCGTAATTTGACCAATAAATAGCATGAAAAGCTAGATTAATGAGAACAATAATCAGCAGAATCAAACGAAGAATGCCCAACAAGAATTCATCCCAATTGATTACTGATCGTTTTGCTTTAGTCGACAATTTTGATGGCATTTTTTTAAATTTTATGGTTATTTTGTCCATTGATTCAGATAAATTTTTATTCATTTTTAAATTCTATCGTTCCTTTACTCATATGTTTGGAATGATTTAAATACAAATTTTGAATAATCATATTAACAATAATCATATTTAATCTATTAATCGAACATTTTAATGAACAGATTTTTGTTTAAAGAAAATTTAGAACTTTAAAATGCCTTTATATGTCATTCTCGCTAAAACAAAACAATTGTTTTTTTTCACATAGTTTCATTATCTATGTCGTCAATGGTCATCTAAGGCCAATCTAAAGATGAAATGACTTCATGATAATAATTATAAAATAAAAATGTCACTTAAAGTAGAACATCCAAAATGAAAAAAACAATTTCGTAATAATAATGAAGATTGAGATGAAAATGAAGACAATGATTTTTTTACAAAAAAAAAAAAGTTAATGTGAAGATTTCAATGTTAACTATCAATTCATAATAAAAAACACAACTGGCATTGATCTTGTTCATCGTTTCCGCCTGAAAAGTCATATTGTATGTGTAATTATCATTATTATCATTATTCCATTATAAATGCATCTAACAGTTTTTTTATATTTATAATATATTTCTGCTTATATGTACGGACTTGTATGATCTGTTCGTGATTGTTTAAAAAAGTAATCAATATAAGAAAAAACAGCATATTCATGGTATAGGGAATCATAATTCACTTCCGTATCATTAAAATATAATATACGAATTGGCAAAAAAAACTTGAACTTCAAGATTTTGCCATCCAATCGATGATGATGATTATTTTTTTTAACCATGATCATTCGAATAAAAACAATGGGCCATAATAGACAAATACAAAAAGATGAAATAACAAATAAAAAAATCTATACAAATATTAGCCATTCATGATTCAATCAGTTAACTTCACTGAAACTCTGCGTTTTTTTGAGTTGCTAATAGAATGTTAATTATTATTCAAATAAGAAAAAAAATATCTAGAAAATGGAAATAAAAATAGCTAGACGAATAAGTTGAAAAAAAGAGAAATCATTGAAAAAAGGATGGTCTTGAATCTGAAAATGAACACAATAAATTTTTCACCTTGGACAAAAAAATCTTAATGAAATAATTGCCTCGTATAAGATATGAAATATACACATGATCACTCATCGTTCCAGCATCGTATCATTATCATCATCATCAACGTGATTCAGATTTATGATAAACAATAAAATATGAACAAAAAAAATTGAAAATGCAATGCTCATCTCAAAAAAATGTCGCAATATTTAATTAGCTACAAATTTGTGGAATGCTATTTCGAAAAAAATATGTTAAGAGAACATCATACTCAACAATCCTATTAATGTCGTTGTTCTCATTTGTAATGATTTTGACATTTGATCATTTCTGTATACAGAAGAAAGAGCAATGCTGAATGAATAAATGTATGATATATTCGAATTCAAGAAAAAGATTTCGAATAATGAAACGAGACAGAAATTTAGCATCATCGACCATCAAATAACTCTCACACATTTAACTATTTCTCTTTTTTTCTCTTGTGATTAAAACTTGTCTCTTGCTTAGATCGAGTTTATTTTTACCATCCGTGGTCACATATACAAATTATTAATGGCAAAATCATTTCGTAAGTCTCATCATTGATTATCATCAAAGATCATCGTTGTTTTTAAAAACTTTTCAATGTAAGTGTTAATGACAATGATATCAATTGAATTATTTGATTGAATCAATGATAATGAACATAAAAAATATACCTTCTTTGTAATATAACAATGACGATTTGGCAATTATTGTCGAATACCAGCTAGTCAAAATTGTTATTGTTTATTATTACTGTTTCGGTATCTTGTGTGTGTGGTTTTCTGCAGTTTAATAAAATTGTGAAAAAATGCCTTCAAAAAATAATCAAAAGAAAATTTCATCGGAATTGACTTTCAATCAGAACGCGAATGACAAATTAACTACAACCGGCGTGGAACAATATTTCGATGATAAATTTATTGATCAAGTTCGCCAGTCATTGCTAACCAACGATGTAAGTCAATTTGATAAAATTGATGTTGAACGATTACAATCAAATGATGATTGGTTCATACGGCGATTTCTGGCATGGCGACCCACGACCATCGATGAGGCGATCAAAACAATGATTCAGGCATTGTTATGGAGAAAAGAGATCAACATCAATGAATGGTAAGCGATAATATCCGTGTTCGTATTAAAAAATCGAATACCCGGTATGCATGTTCATATAACTGATTAATGATGCAATCTAATTTTCGAGGATCGAAAATAAGTGACCTGATTTTTTCTCTATTTTTAAAAACTTATTTTTAAATTTTAACTTTTGGATCATCATGATGAACAACATTGAAACTATAGTTATAAGGTCCAGTGTTGAATCGAAAGAAATATTAAAAATGACCGCACCATTGACATTGACATAGACATTGATGTTGAGAAAAGCATGAAACAGTCAAGTAAAAAAACTTTTATGTTGATGATGTGTCCCTATTAGTGAAATTATATAACAAACATGGTCATTTGCTATTGCTGTTGTTGTTCTGTGTATTCGATTCAATCATTAAATTTCGAAATAATTCATTTTGCATGCCAAATAGTGTTGCGCAACAATTATTAAATTTGGAGAAGAAAAATTGTTAACAGATTTTTTTACAAGGAATATTTGAAAATTTCGATCTCATTTGTACAACAAAAAATAAATAAATAATCTTTTAAGAAAGGATTATTATTATTGTTGTTATTATGATGGTTTCTATCAACAGAAAAAATTGTCAATATTAAAAATAATCGAATCCAATTTTTATATAAATAATTTCTCTATCTCTTATGAATGATGGCCAACAAAAAAAGATGATTTTTGTAAAAAAATCACTTGGGTGTGTGTTCGTAGGTCAAGGTGAAAATTTTCAATATTGATGATGATGATGATGATTGGTTTGTATTTGAAATATATGTTCTGATTGAAATTTATTTTTTCTATTTTTTAAATCAACACTTAAATAGGAAAGATACAGATTTTCCCAGCGAATTTTTTCAAATTGCCGCATGTTTTCATTATCTACCTGATCGTGAGAATAAAAATATTCTTATATTACGTATGCGTTTTAATCGAAAAGAACCATTAGGTGTAGCTTCGATTGAAACAATGGTTCGAAATTTTTTTATCTATATTGTTGAAAAAATTGTCAGCCAACATCCAAATCAAGGATTTGCATTAATATTTGATTGTTGGAAAGCATCATTATCGAATGTTGATATTGATATGGCTCGTTTCATAATAAATACATTATCCAATTATTATTCCGGTATGTTTAATTTATAATTAAAATCTATTCAAATTAAATAACGTTTGTTTTTTTTACTTAGGTGCCATATCATATGTTTATATCTACGAACTTCCATGGATATTGAATCAAATATGGCGAATAGTACGATCATGGCTTGATGAAGAGGCGAAAAGTATCGTAAAATTTGTAACGATAAATAATATATTTCAATATATAGAAGCATCAAATCTACCCGATTATATGGGTGGCTGTTGTCGTAAAGATTATCGTTTTGTACCAAAAGGTGTACCAACATTGGAAGAAATGTTAACCGATAATGGTGATACAAAAAAATTCGGCATCAAAAGTGATAAGGATTTGAAAAAATTGAATGAGCATTTTCAAAAATTGATTAAATTACAATAGAATTAAACAATTTCTAAAAAATCAACATTCAAGTTGATTCATATAATTGGACTCTCTGGCAGATAAAATGGCACAATAGAACAATACAATAAATTGATCATCTTAGATTGTATTGTATTCAGTACATTCCATTTAATTGCAATTATATAATATTTTTTTTTCATTCTCTCTTCGTTTGTCTATTATCTCTGCAATAAACTGATTTATGATTGATTATATTTTTCTAATTTTATTCTATATAAATTTTAAAAAATAAACAAATTGCTGATTCATCATCATCATTCTCATATAAGTTACAAATGACAAAAATGCAATTATGCGATGATAAAATGATGTGATCAACAAACAGAAACCACCTGTTAATCGAATCGTAAAGAAAATTTGATTTTTTCCTTTATAAATAGGAAAAAAATTGCAGATAACATAAGTTTTTCCTCTATGCCTAACATGGTCATTCTATTTTATTCATATTCGATTGGATTGAAACAAACAAATGACCATTAAGTTTACCTATTTTTTAGGCTGATTTGACCTATTCTCTTTCTCCAACTTTCTCATACTTATCACCAATTTTTTTGTTATAATCATCACAATCATAGCTGTTAATGACCATCATCAAACAAATGGCCAAAATAACGAGATTTTTTCTTTCCTGTTATAGATTTGACACCTGTGATTGCGTTGAGTTGACAAAAAAATATTCATAAACATCTGCACCAAATTTTTTTTACCACAAACATTGATTGAAAACAAGCTAAAACAATCGTGTCATTTATTTAAAAAAATGACCGGGAACGTTAAGAAGAGAAAAAGATAAAATAAAAGTTAACAAACTTCATTTTCAAGTTTGTTACAAGCCACAAATTTCCGACCATTACAAATAGACTTTGACCAGTATAGTATAAGCAAGAGAATTGGGATCATGTTTTTGTTTGTGTATTCAGTTTTTTTTTGTCTCTCTTCAATAATTTGGCCAGTTGGTCAATCATGATGATAATGAGAAATAGAATCTATAGACTCTCTCTATTTGTATCGGCAAAAACCCAAAGATAACTAAAAATAGCACAATCAGATATGATTGAATGAAAATAGATGCATAACGAGATTATTGTTAGTTAACGTGTTCAAATAGATGTGTGTGTCCGATATTATTGATGGTGGTGATGTGAACAGATTTGATTCATTTTAAAACAGCTAGTAGCTATCTACAATGGCTCACTGATGATTCGATAGTCCATGATCACCATCATGGATGATGGCTAACGGTTGATGACCAGGAGATTTTTTTAACTTTTTCTCTCACTTACACTCTAATTGTTTCTGTTCTTTTTCTGGATTGCTGTTAAATAACTTGGATAATGATGACAGTGATGTGGATGTTCATAATAGTAAACGAATCAAAAATAAAGAAAGGAAAAAACAAACTATTGCTTTACAAACAAATGACCAACAAACTCATCCGTGTGAAGAGAGAAAAAAAAAGATCAAGAGAATTTTCTACTGACAAACAAATATAATTATACGGATAAATCGTTAAGGCCTTGGGTAAAATAGTTGAACATCTGGTAGTTGTAACCTATTAACTAACAAATATTCGTCAATCAAAAAAAAAAATTTATGAAATTATCTGAAGTGATCATAACCATCTCACTTTCATTTTGTATAAGTGTTTTCTATTTCTATTGATTTTCATCTCATCAACAACAGAATATTCAAATAAAAAACAATGAAGCTATGCTATCTCAAATATGATGATCGTTGTTATATGAACAATAATAAATTCATTACATGGATCTATGTTCAATACATAATATTAATAGTATGTTGTTCAGGATTATTATGGCCACCAATCGTGCAAACAGCACCGTCAATTAAAATTGATAAAAACACTATCGAATTATTAAATAATGGTCTGAAAGCATTGGTCAGCATCAAGCAAATATTATCAACATTACAAACATTCAATGAACTTCATACGATGCTCAAAGAGCAAAAACAACAACAACAACAGCAACAACTACATAATCCAAATCAAATTTCCATTTCCGGTATGCCAATCTTATTACATTCTCCTACTTCGACATCATCTTCATCTGCAGAAACTTTGGATGTTAATCCGGCAACCTTGTTATCAATACAGCCTTTAACACCACTTTCAAACCGACCACGTGCAAATTTTGTTCAAAAATTGTTTGGAAAAATACCATCACTGTTATTGCTGCCAAATGTTAATAATAAAAGTCTGAATAACAAAGTTACTACAGGTAAATGATTGTTTTTGAAAAAATTTTATAAGCAAAACAAAGTTGTCTCATTGCTTCTAGTTCAACGAGATCCATCATTGGGATTAATAAAAATTGGTGAAAAGCCACCACCAGGTTTGTTTCCAGAAACATTGCCATATTCAGTTTCTCAATTTGAATCATCGAACGAACAATCAGTTGCATCACAATCCCCATCATCCATAAACGAACAAGATGCATTCAAACAGCTAACCTCAGCTGTTGTTAGTCAACATCAAAAACATCATCATAGTTTAGATCTTGATCACAATCTCAATCAACAATTATCAACATCAGAACTTGAAGATAAAAGAATAGCCCAACCGATAAATCGATTCATGTACAATAAACCATCATCATTTTTGACAAACAAAAACCAAGACGAGGAAGAAACATATGGATATTTTGATCATGATACATTGATACCATATCATTATTTTAGCACATCAGCATTTTCAGCTATACCAACCAAATCATTATCATCATCAATAGCGATAAAAAGAAGATAATTTATTTGTTTTATCATATCATTTGATCATCAGCTGAAATTGAGTATTTTTTATAAAAATCTTTTAATTTGACAATTTTGTAAATAAACATCATTCAATTATCAAAGAAAAAATTTCTGATTATACAGTATACAATGAATAAATATAAAGCATCTATTTACGAGGAATTCGAATATGATCAGTCTGAATATAATTCAATTTTTATAAGATTCGTAACCATCAATTAATTCTCGTACTAGTCCTTCAATATCGACACGTCCCGTAGTATTATGATCCAAGTCAAATGGATCATAAACTTCAACGACATTAGATGGGCGAAATTTCGGAAATATCTTGGCTGTATGTGTGCAAATATAATTTGCGTTGAAATCAAATCGTGAATAAAATTCAAAAAAACCGATGAATAATTGAATAGTATTTTCTTTACAAATATTATGAGGAAAATTCCGCGTTACAGTACTTATGTTCGTACAAAAATCCGAACGGCAAGCATTCGTGTAATAAGGACGAAGTGAATCAGATAATTCAATAAGATGTTCAATAGCTGGGAAAATTGATATTTGTTGAAAATAAAATATGACTAATAAGGTTGCAGCATACGATGACAATTGGATTTGTTCGCATATTATGTTTTTTGACCAGAAACGAACCAGCATGGCAACTGACTTAAAACGTGCATCCAATTTACATAGAAAGCGAATTAAACGAGTGTTTGTCAAACCGAGAGCACAATTAACATTTAGATCGCATTTGATTGATAATTGAATCAATTCCTGATATTCATTACTTTCCCAAATATCGCTGAATATAGTTAAACGAAGTAAGGGAACGCGCATTTTTCGTTGTAATAATGTTTCAATGAATACATTGTAGGGAAACAGCGTATCTTCATGAGTACGCAATATGGATCGAATTGAACGAAAAAGTTCGCGGATTTTTTCAAACTTTTCTGCTCGATAAATCAAAGGTTTATTATCAAGGCGAATGCCGGGTATGCTCACGAATATATCAATATCCGAATGATCTTTGAAGGCTAAACCAGAGCCAATCGAACCGTAAATCTGCAATTTACAAGGGAATTTTTGTTTACATAGAGCATTTTCCAATTGTTGTACCATATGGCGCCGTTGTTCAACTAATGATGCGGGTAATAAAAGTTTTTCGTCCAGAAATTCTTTTATTTCGATTGATGATATTCTTTGTCCACATTTTCGTTTGACATCAACAATTAATTTTTTAAATTCATCAAATTTTAATAATCGGCGATCTTTTTCAGATAAATTCGGATGTTCTAGGATTAAGTCTGGAATTTGAAGAGGTTCAACCATGATAAATAAATATAAAAACCGTCGTTTTTAGTATGCAAATGAATGATAAATTAAATAAATACAAATGTTAGATGATGATAATTTATTTAATGAAATCAATTGGTTGTAAACATTGAATTTTAATGATTTTAATAATAATAAATAGATTAATGTGTAATCATAAACATTATTTAAAATACTGAATTGAATTTTATCGAGGTTACATGTTTTTAATAATTTAGTTACCAAATAAGAACAAATAAAGATTTGCTAAATGCATGAAAAATGTATGCATTGAGCAATAAACTCGCCCCAAAACATGATAGCTATTATAAACGATAATATTGCCATCCAGTGTTTTTTGTTGGTAACTTAAAATTCCAACCTTCATGAAATAGTGATGATCATTGATCTCCAAAGTTAATATTGGTTATATAACCTAAAGACAATAATGTTATTACGTTGATCAAACGTAATGATGAAGAGAAACGTTTATTGGTCGTTTTCTTCTGATGAAAAAAAAGCTTTAATTTTCTCTTGGGTAATTCACCTTGCTTAACAAACATTAACAAACTTACAATGAAAAATTTGAAGTTAAATTATTACAAACGGAAAAGATTTTGTTATATGATCACTAAATTTATTTATATCAACAAAATGGCTATTATTTAAATTTTGAAATATTCGTAGACATAATGCTAACGAGGAAAACATTTTCTTTAATCATTAATTAATTTAATCGTGGGAATATTATGGTTTCATTCGCATATCATGGTCTCATAGTATCATATATACAAATTAGATATGTTTTTTTTCTTGTTTTAGTGAATTTTCGTAAAACGATTCCATTGGTTTGCTATCATCATCATAATCTCATTCATCATCATTAACATTTATTTTTTTCATAAAAAAATCAGGAAAATATGAATTGTTTTTAGTGTAGACAGGACGACAAACAATAATCCAAAAGCGGAAAAAAATGACCTAACGAAAAATAAAATCACATCAACATTAAAAAAAGATTCGTCATCTTATGCACTATTTTGATTGTTTTATCTTGTTCCACATTCATGATAACAGGTCACATGTCGAACGATATGTTTGTTTCATTCGATAATTAAGTTTTGATGGTGTAGAATAACGATTATTTAGGTTATGATGTTGGCGATTTTGATTATAATTGAATCGTTGATAATGAGGACTGTACGATGTTGTAGAAGACGATGATGTCGATGATGATGAAGATGAATATTTTGAATTTGATCGATTTGATGCTAAATATTGTTTTAAAGATGAGATATGTTTAATATCATCATCCGATTGTTTGATTGGATGTTCATCTATTTGGCCATTAGATAATTGGTGTGATGAAAAGAATAATCGTTTGCTTTGTTCCAATCCGATTCGATTGAATGTTGGCAGCTGTTTCATTGGATTCGGTCGTAACTGTATGTAACGTGATTTAGTTTTAATGGGCGTTGTAGTAATAGGCGTCGCCGAAGCTGATAATTTTTTCTTTTCTAAACTACCATTCCTTTTAGAGCTGATACTGTATTTTGATTGTACGGGTATCGAAGATGCAGAAAGTTTGGCCATAGTAGTTGAAGATGATGATGATTGATGATTGGACATTAATGTATTGGATATTTTGGCAGCATAACCACAATAGTATAAGTCATCAGAAATTTTTCCACGTCGATTAAAACAATGATCAGAACAATGTACTTCATGGCTAACGTTATTTTCATAATAATCATCTTCACATGGATCATATAATGGATTTTTAGCCTTTAATGGTACCCTACGATGAAGATTATTGGCCAGATTCGATGTAAATAATTTACGACTGATCACTGGATTTAATGCATCATTAGATTTAAATTTTGACCAGAATAAATCTAAGGCAACAATGTTGATTAAAAGTATCCAACATGGGTGTCGCAGATATTGATGGCGTTGTTCATTATCTACCATTAATTGTATATGATGTACACAATAATTTTCTAATGAAGACGATGATGATGAAGTCGGTGCATTAAGCAACGGATTCATTCGTTGTCTAGAATTTTTTAATGGCGTTTGTTGTGGTGGTTGAGATAATATCGAAACCATGGATTGTTGAAACTTTTTAAAATCAAATATCATCTGTGGTTTGTTTATCTCCAATGGAATCATTCTCGATCTTTGTTCTTGTTGTTGTTGCTGTTGCTGTGAATATTGAAAATCTGAATTTCTGTTCGGAATACCGGGACCAAGAAACACTGGACATCGACCAATACGTTTAATGTGTACATTACCTAAATCGTCAATTTTTAATTTGAATCCCTAAGAATGAAAATTTTTTTAAATTGTCAATTTTGTTATTCCTTAATAATTGATTAATATAAACATGATCGAATTTACCGAACGAATCTGTTGTTTAATCATCTGTACTTCCAAATCACGTTTAGGATTAGGAAAACCATTCAAACCAATACGATAACCATCAAATCCGCGATCGGAACCGTTAATCGATATGACTTGTGATCGAGCATATGCTTTAGCTACACGTCGATTTCGTTCAAAACAGATAATTTTAGCCCATATTTCATCATCGATTTGATTCCATTTATTACGAATTTCTTTTAATTGATCCTTTTTTCAAAATAAAATACATCACCAAATAATAAAAATTTTTGAATTAAAAATCGAAAAGATTATAATCCATTTGACATACATCGATTAATTGATGGAAATTGTACCAGACATTTTCATCGTCATCATCATCATTGTCATCATGAATATAATTATGATGATGATCATCATCACCATCTTCATCATCAACATCACCACCATAGGGATCTTCTTCAGTATTCATATTTGGAAGATATGGATCAAGAACATCTGGATGTTTGTAAAGATTATCCGATGATGATGATGCCGATGATGATGAAGAATTTGATGAAGAATCTTCCGATTTTGATATGATTTTTCGTCGTGAAATCATTATCATTAAGGCAAGAATAATAATGTTAAAACACAAGCACGATTTAAGTTTAAGATAACGATAAGATTTATTATTTAAAAGTGATAAATATTTATTTCATTGATAAATGTATGATTATATTGAATTTTTAAAAAGAAACAATTTTTAAAAAGTTTAATTTAAATACAATTATAGTTTAACAACAATGCTGTGTTCATTTTCATTTTCATTTTAGTTTTGATGTTATCATTACGACGATGTTTGTTGGGTAAATGTTGAAATGAAAATAAAAAACCCAATGTTTTGATTCCATCTGTTTTTGAAGTTGAAATCATCAACAAAGTCAAATCCGTATAGTTGAATTTTCTCTTTAATCTCATATTTTTTTCTGAATCATCTTGACTGGACTCTTTTTCGTTTCATATGATATTGTATGTCTCTCACAAATCGTGTCATCAAAAAAGTCATAATTTTGGATCGTTCGGTTTTTCTACGAAAAAAAGCAAACTCTTTTCGTCAACTTTTTTTACCAACCTCCGGTATGATAAGAAAACAAACCAAACATCTATGACAATTACTGAGAATGAGCATTAAAATATTTAAAAAATCATTGGCAAAACCGGAAAAGAAGTGAAAACATTTTTAGACAAAGAAAATTGTTATTTGATGATGACTAGACACTTTTGTCCCAAAAATGATGATGAACATAATTCGTTGAGCATCACTTGTAATATGAACAAAAAAAAACATTTTTAACACTTTTTTGGTTGTCACTAAATAATCATATTATATAAAAGAACAATGAATCAAGTGGTTTTTTGAGGAAAAAAAAGTTTCTGCAAAAAAATTGTAGGATTTTTCAAATTATCCAAAATAACAACTAGATAACTTGACCGAACAAGATTACTATCTGATCCAATACTTCTTGACGATAAACTATGATGAATCAGAAAAAAATATGACCATTGAATAACGACATGATGATGATCATCGTCGTCATCATGATTTAGATGATCATCCATCATCATGATAATCATCTTTGATGTAGATCAAAAATGACAAATTTCGCTTCGGTTCACGGATTCTTATACAATCTTCCAACGATAACAATGACGAGATCATGTCATTTGATTTTTATGGCCATTTAGAAACACCTGTTGGTCGAAATGTTTGCGCGTGGCATAATGAACATATGGATTCATTAAATGATTATGACAAAATCAGGGTGACCATCGAACCATTTTATCAAACACAATGTTATAATGGTCAGGTGTCATTTGTTATGTATGCTACCTTTTAAGCCGGATAATTATGTTATCCATTCATTCATTCAATGATTTTGTCCTTAATTTTTTATTAGTTTTTTTTTTGAACATTGATATAAGCAAATCAAAATCAACGATTAAGATGTTCAGAAAATAAATAAATGAATATTTTTTTTGTCAATATTATATAACTTAATAAAAATCATTATTTTGAATCATTTTTATCTGAAAATAAATGAAACAAATTGAAAATGAAAATTTACTATCATTTTGTGGTTAGATATGGATAACTATACCATCTAATCATATCTTTAGATTTTTCATACAGAAACAAAAATTAAATTGACTAATTGAGCTAAGATAATCAATTATAAATTTCTCACTGTTTTTTGTAAATTTTCTTCTTTTTCCAGTAGCTTTGAAGTCCATTATTATTCTCATCTTCAAATTTACCATAGTTATTTTTTTCATTAAATTATACAACGAAAGGTGTATTAGACATAATAATAATATTAAATAATAGATAATTTTTTGCGAATAATAACAAAAAAGATTATTTATTATCTGTAATGCTCATCATCATCATAATCATTTTTTAAAATAAATATAATGATGATGAACTTTTTTTTCTCGTTTCAAACACGACAAAAAAGTTGAATTCCAACTCTTGACTATCCATAATAAATAGTATGGTCATGATGAGTTAAATGAAAGAAAAAATTATTTTTTGATACGATCCTAATCCTTATCAACATACTTTTTTTTTGGTTTGTTTCAAAGCAAAAAGCATTTCGAAAAAATGGACAAACAATGATATTAAGTGACAAGATGTACCAACTGATTGAAAGAAAAACTTTTACTTTTTTCCATCTAATGATATAGTCATTTTCATCATATGATAAAAGTGGAATGAAATGAAGTTGTGTGATGCTTATACAGAAAAGAGAAAGTGAAAAAAAGGTCAAGATTTTTTTTTTGATATTTGGTATTGGAATGAAATTTCTGATAGCCTAAGCGATCGATAGTTTTTTTCTGGACAAAAACATGATTTTAATATGATAATCCACTTGAATCCTCAAAAATTTCGTCAAGATTTGAATGGAAATTGAAAAAACAAATTAACACGGAGAAAATGAATTTATGTGATTTTATATTATACAAATTATAAGATAACATAACAGATCATATGAAGTGATTATGATAATTATAATATCAACAAGCAAATTCGTGCGAGGAAAAAACTTCATCAAATAATTTGTCGATTCGATCAACAAATTACGTTCATGTTGAATAAGTAATAGAGTCATATTGAAATTTTATCCAATCTAAATCTTAATGAGATTGAAGGAAAGAATGAATGAATGATCAATTCAATGTTGATATTTTTTTCATGTTCAATATTAAATTATTAACAGGCAAAAAAATGAAATGAAAAAAATCTGCATAAAGATAACAGCTAATCATTGATGATAATATGGTCAAAGATATTGATCGATCGATCGATCATCGACATAATAATGAACAAATCTATGGATCATATGAGCATAATGGATTTTTTTCTTCTTATTTCACCCATTTCAATCCATATATATTGTTAGAATCCATTATAAACACGATGACAATATGTAATAAATGTTAAAAGGAGAAAAAAAATGTCAATATAATCTCTTTGGTGATCAAGGACAATTACAGTGAACTTTATCTTCGAAAAACTTTGTTGAATCAGTGTGGATTTTACTTTGTCGTTAATCGTTCATTTTAAACAATTTTTTTTCTACCTATTGTAAATATTTACAATGACCATTATATTAGTGAGCCCAATTGACTATGATGGTGTTAACTTAAAAAAAGGTAGTATCATAATTTTATCTTATACGAAAAAGCGATGATAAGAAGACTAATAAACTAGACTTTTTTCATTAAAGACTAATAATGTTCGTAAATATAAACCTATCATCCATAATTAATGATAATGGTGATTATCACAAAAAAAATCATATCGTATCCGACTAAAAATATCTTTTAAATATCTGCAAAATTTTTCTTGGTTCTTGATCTTCGAATTAAAAACACTAACACACTTATATACTGCTGTGGACAGAAAAAAGAGATGATGATCTACATGTCAACATTAGTGAAAATTTTGTTGTTGTTTTTTTAACAACAACAACAACAACAAAATCGGTTATTTTTGTAGCCGATTAAATAAATGGTGAAAATAATTTCGGTCAAAAGTTGATAAAACTAAAAACTAGATATTTTCCTTCATCCTTAACCAACTGATAACTAACTAACATTAGTTTTCTCATTTTTTTGAACGATATTTTTTTCGGGTGATCATCATCATCATCATCATTTTTTAATTTATCTAGTTATGAATTTTTGCCCAAAAAAAACAATAAAAATAAAATAAAAACTTAAACAACAACAACAAAAACAAAACAAAACAAAAAATCATCGGATCGGAAAGCATGAATTTAAAAAAAAAAATTCAATTCAACTAAATGTTGATCTCAATCTACAAACAATTGCTATTTGTGTTTTACAAACAATGACTATTGCTTTGATATTATTCATATGGAGTGTGATATAGATAGAGATGAATGTTGATAATAATAATAATAATGTGCGACAATATAAAAGACAAAAAACAACAACAACAATTTATACTGATCGTTAGATAGAGGGGGATAATATGATGGTTTCAAATAAATCGACAGGTGTTGTTTGTATGTATTGTATCATTGTGTGTTTATGTCCACCAATTGACAAGTTAGATATAAATCTTCATACAATATAACGATTCAATTACAGGAGACACCATTGATATTTGTAATTCAGATCTATAGGAAGAATAATATTTTTTTTAACACAAGAAAAATTAAATGTGTAAAAGGTGTTTGTCCCAAATAAGTGTATGTCATTCTATCATTAAATCGATTAAGGAACTTGAATGTTTTCAATGGTTCCGATTTTGAGTAGAATTAAATAAAAGGATTATTATTGAAAAAAAGTGTTCGACATAATGATCAACTATTATCATTATGAAACAAGGTTTAATAGTGAATTTTTCCTTTCTCTGTTGTTATTGTTGTTAATCAATCCAAATGATGATTATGATGATTATGATGAATGTAGAACGGACATGAAAACTTTCAAACAAACGGAATATGTGTGTGTATAAAAAAAATGAATAGAAAATGTTTGTTTGTATTATACATTGATCTTACGTCGAATAGCGGAAAACATTTAACATGTTGATCATCATCATCATCATCATCATCATTAGCGATAATGATCGCGTAATATTGAATAATTGAATAACCGAATAACCTCGATGACTATCAACAAATAACAGAAAGAAAATTCATAAAGCAAATAATTGAATTAAACAAATACAAGAAATCGTCATTTTATGAAATCTAATCTCAGCTAAAACTTTCGATTTTCATCATACAATTTACGAAATTCAATTGACAATTTTTTAAAAACCAAAATCACATTTTGCCAATATGTTATGAAATCTTTTCTTTTTGTTGATCAGTAAATCAAACTATACTAAAGAAGAGAAAATAAAAGATGATTAAAATAATGATAGATAACAAAAGTCAAGCAAAGGATCTGAATCTGATATTTTTAACACTATATATTTTTATTAATAATATATATTTAGTGTTGAAAAAAATATCAGTAGCCAATAGTAGAAAATAATTTAAACTTATCATCATCATCACCATTGTAATAGATTGATGATGAGAATAAATGCTTATATAAGATGGGAAGCAAGGAAAAAAATTTTCTTTTCTTTTTTTGACAATGATGATGATGTCCGACAACAATCCATTCATCCATCGGTCGAATCACACGTTTACGATTTGGATTTGGCGTTTGAATTGTGAGATATTATTTTATTTTCAACTTAATCATCATACGGTTGGAAAAAATGATGATGATCGACTGTGTGTTGTTCGTTAACATTTAGTTGTGGTCATTTTTATTCTATTTCAAATATAATGATGAACCAATGCGAAAAAAAAACTATTTTTAGCTAATCTATTGCGTGTGTTTGTACGCGCTCGTTTTAGATTATCACATAATACTCGAAGTGATGGTATTTTGCTTCGTTTTTGTTATACGATAATGATTATTATGATGATGGATATAACACACATCCACGAGCATTAACAAAAGAACACATTTTTTACACATAAAATTGATTCAAAAGAAAAATCTGAAAAAATTGACCAACACAAAAAATCAACAATGAAAAAAAGAACATAAATTATAAGAATTTTGTCTCGTTAGACAATATTGTTATCGTAAAACCCATTAATAAATTACGAACAATTTCATTTTGTGTTTGAAATTCAGGAAAATTATCTCCTGTGTTAAACGGAATATTACTGTAATCTAAAATCTTAACATTGATGTTATCTATGCAAAATGATTAATCTATCAATCAATCATTTCTGGAGAAAAAACATTATGTTCATTGTTTATATCAAACAACAATAGCTTCATCATATATAATTGTCATTCGGTGAAGCAAAAATTCGTGGCTACCGTGTGTAGCATTTTATATTGAGAAAAAAAATTGTTAAACAATCAACATTATGATATTCAACAGATGGATTATTGTGAATAATTTGTTTCAATCATCATCAAAACTAAAATCCAACCAAATATATGATGTTGCTGTCGATAGAAAATTTTTTTCATATGTTCGACTTTAGGATGAATAGATATATGTTTTATGTGTCTACGAACAAACCATAATGACCAATGAAAAACAGATTGTTCTTTTTTGATTGTTCGAAAAATGCTACTGTTGTTCCGTAACATCCAAACACAAACAATGCAGATAATGTTTGATAAATATTAAAATTTCCAGCGATAAGCAAAACAACAAAAAAAATTATCATTTCGAACAAATGCATCAACATTCAACTAGCATAAACAGGAGCATTGAACAAAGATTTTTCGAATTTACAATGATCATCATGAATGATAGTCAGACATTTGAAAAAAATTGACAGAACAGATTTCCGAGTTTTATCTATGTGTCATGAATTATATCTGAAAAAATAGTTTTTATTGATTTTTAAATTTATTTATTTACGATTAAAAATTCATAAGAGGAAGTACCATTCAGATGAATAATTACATTTGGAATTAGACAAGATATATATTTTTTATTATTATGAAAATCTCTATTGGATAGTTGGTTTTTGTTTTGGCTGTTCATGTTCGCCATCATTTTGATTATGATTATGGACATTAAATGGATCATTTGATTCGAGTTGTGCTGCCAATACTTCGGCAAAGACATCATCAACAAGTTGTCGATCTTGTTCAGATAAACATTCTAGCTTAGGATGGCGACTGAATCGTTCATGAATATCAAGAAATAATTGTTTCATTTGATTTCGAGCACGTGGCCTAGGTGCCGGATTGTTATTTTGTATGGTTCGGTAGTTTTCTTCCTTGATTTTATGGATTCGATCTTTGAGATCAACAATTTCTTCTTTTAATTTTAAAATTAATTCAGCATTCGGTGGCGAAGAACAACCTGTATCACCACGATCGATCATCTGAAAAAGTTTTTGTTGCATACGAGCCGTTTCCGATTTTCGCTCTTCAATTTCCAATTTGAGTTTATGATTTTCATCAATAATTTTCTGTATTGAATTCATTAAAATGGTCGAATCTAGTGTCAGATTAGTATGTTGTAAAACATTGCTATTTTTTGATTTTTCGCTCATGTCGATTCGATGCTTCAAGTCATCAAAATTTTTAGCAACCAAATCAAATTTAGTTTCCAAAAAATTTTGAAAATCATTTAAAGAATCAACTATTGATCTACCTGGATTATGCTGTGAATCACTATTGTCGTTTTCTTCAACTTCTTTAATAGTTGTTCGTTGAACGTCGACAGTATTTTTAACTTGTTGAATCAATGGAAAAATAGGCATAGCTCCGATTCGCGACATTTTTGTTGCTAAATCTACATTTTTATCTTTTGTTTCAAAAGTTTCAGATGATGATGGTTCAAGACTAGATTCTAGATTTGTTGGTTCAACTTTTTCGAAACCAATCATTTCGATTTCAATGGCTATTTTCCAGATTTTATTTTCTGGTTTTTGTTTAGAAAGTTTTTCGATCGGAATGATTTTTCGATAATAATCAAGCTGTGAGTAAGGTATGAGTATATAAAAACGATCACCCGGATTCTTACAAATCCATTTGAATAATTCCCGATTATCATCTTCTAATTTACATCGATGTACAGATTCATTAAGCAAAATAAGACGACCTTTAGGATTCGAATGTAAAGAACAATTGTGCTCGAATGCAACAATTTCTAATCGAAAACAGATCAAAGTATTCGAACATTCGAATTTTTTGCTCCAATCATCACTGAGTGGTTCGTGGAAACCTAATGGCTGTTTTACTGAAATGTCACCATTATCATTATGTTTAATGAATCGAACAGAAAACAGACAATGAGCAAGATTTCGACAAAATTGACATACATCGGAATGATTTTCAAACAATATGGACCATTTTTGCCGTTGGTCATCCTGAATAAGGCAATAATTCTTTTGTTGACACTATGGATAAAATAATCGTTGATAACAAATGAAAGAATAAAAAAATTTCAAACAACTAACAAGAAAAGGAAAATTTTCTGTTATTGTAGCCGAACAGATGGTCTGATTTTTGGCCGTATATAAAATAATTCGATATAAGGATTCTTGATCATTTCCACAGAGGGCAAGGCCAAATTTTCCAACATAAGAATATTGCGAATTTTCACTGGGATAAAGATAAAGAATATAATGATTAAAAATCACACAAATATCATTCTTACTCACAATTTATATACATTAACTGCAAGCGCAATGAAAACACTTAATTTGGATCCCGAAGAGTTTGATGAGGATGACGATTTTCGGGATAAATCTTCTTCTTGTTTTTTATTTTGTTTTGGTTTATAAATTAAACGAGTCTTTGAATCCTCCATCGAATTATTATCGCCATCCTCATCATCAAATATATTTGATAATTTTTTTTTACTTTTGTAAAAATGAAATTAATTCAATACAACTTGGTGGATTATCGAAATTTACCTTTTCATGATCTCAACTTCATCATCATCATCATTATCATTTAAATCTAATTTGATCATTTTTAAAAAATTTATTGAAAAATTGCAAAAAAATTAAAAATACACCCAGCAAATTAGATAACAAAAAAATAAATAAATAAATAAAAAATATAATCGAGGAGTACTCGCCAATGTTGAGGAGTGTTGCAGACGATGGTCTTTTCAATTGTCATCATTTAGCAATCCCCGAATTTTAGAGAAAATGCACGCCACTATCACTTTCTCTTGGGCGACAAGAGAATTGGATAAAAACGTATTCATAGATGGTGCTCAAAATCGTATCATTAAAGCATAAATGTCCATGACATTTGTTCCAGTTATTCCGGTTCGAATCAGACATTCGGGTGCATGTTCGATCCAAAAATTATACGAATCATGATCAGCCAAGGATTGCTTCCAAACATTAGATAATTTGAATGGCCATTTTAATTGTACTCCAGCTACTGGTGTCGGACCATCTTGGCCATCAGTTCCAGCGAATAAAGCGTAAATTTCCGGACCTACCCATTTAAGCCGATCCATTTCATCAAGGAATAATAAACCCATTTCTTGACATCGACCACCGATGCCTAATAAGAAAGTGATAAGTTGAACTATTCTTTAGTTCGTACAGTAATAATTACGAACCTAATTTTCTTGTTTGATCCATACGAATAGTAACCTCACCACCGGCAAGCCATAAAACACCTTTATGCCGAGATCGATCTTCAGGAAGAAATTTATGATTACTGACCATGCTTATAAGCTGTCGAACGATCGACCGTGCTTCACCTGATAGTCCTGAACCTATCATCACAACCTTAAATCCGAAATTTTCAGCTCGTATTCTTGCTTCATTCAATGCAATAGCATTGTTGCCGATAATCGCATTGGTCAAGTTGATTCCAGGAAAAATTTTCTTGTTCTCGGTTGTGAAATGTTTGTTGATTCTTTCTTCAAATTTGAGAGAATATTTGAGCAAAACTTCTTCTGGTTTTAATTGAGTGGACTGCAAGACAGTAGGACCACTAGCAATCATTTCGATCGGGTCACCGATAATATCACTAATAATGAATGTAAACAATTCTGAATTCGAATTCCATTCAAATATTTGTTGCGCCATTTTTCCATGTTTGACTTGCGATAAACAGCTTCGTATCAAATTCAACTCGACAATGTTTGCACCATGCCGTACCATCGATGTGATTACATTTAATTTATCTTTTATTGAGATCGATTCTTTTGGAAGCGATAACAATGCTGAACCACCTCCAGATACAAAGCCAATGACTAATGGATTCGAATGCTGAGTGACATGTTGGTGAAGTTTTTGCATTAAATCTTGTGTATTTTTTAAGGAAAAATCATCGGGTAAATTATTTCTTCCACATTCATGATAGGTTGTGTTGTATTTAGTGAATAAATGTTGTTTTTTGACGATTGAACCAAAAGGTACGTTCAGGTGACCTTTGACATTGATTGACAATTGGTATTGATCAATTTGTTCCAAAAGTCCTTGACACATTCCCACAATTGCTTTTCCTATATTTTCGATAATTTAAACTGACATGAGTATTTTTTCATACCAAACTTACCGGCTCCGAATAGGAAAACATCACGACCAACAATTCGAATTTTATGCCATTTTATACTATCTTCATCGATCTGTTTTAATCGAACATGCAAATTACCATCATGGGGTTCGATTCGAATGGCCGACCGAATTAATTGCTGGGGCAATACAGCATCAACTGCCGAAGTAAAAATTTGATTCAAAATTTGGATACTCGTTTTGGACATGTTGCAATTAAATACGATCCTTTTCAGTCTGAATAGCCACTTTGTTTAAATAGAATGTAATCGTCAAAAATTATGATGCAAACATCTGTTTCATTTTTGGATTCCAAATTAAATAATATAAGATTGATTTTTTTGAATTTAATTTTGTGATACATTTGCTTCCTCGAAGATGGACACATGAATCAACATTTTTGGAAAAAAACAATATATAACTTGAAGTTTAAAATCCATCTCTCTCATCGTGAAAAGTGTCAAATTCTACAAAATACAATATGGCTCGTCGTAGTCATAATGAAACCTTTATTCTCCTAAGAAATAATGCCCAAAAGAATCGTTCTTTTTATCGAGATGTAAGTCGAATTCGTTGTTATATTCTTTTTCAGTAATTTATACATTCATTGAAAGTTTAATAAAGATGATGAACGTGTCAAATTAGTCGGAGATAATGGTGATGACGATGAAGAGATTTACGATATGGAATTGACCGATAATAAAATTGTGGGCAGTGAAAATGGCGAACTATTTCATGATACAGCATTTCCTTCATGGATATCAACATTGGATGAATTCCGTTATGAGTCTTTCAATATCCGAGATAAAAGTATAGTGAAATATTATTGTATCGGATGTTTATAATGTTTTGTTTCATTTCTTTTCTTAGTTGAACAATTAAAAAAAACTCAATTAGAACACCTTAAACAACAAAGTACAGCCATATTTGCCGATGATATAGCAACTGAAAAACTAAAAGATTACGAAATGGAAATTGATCGCCGATGTCAAGAACTAAACATATTATTCAATCGGCTTCATTCAATTGTGATGCATTTTAAAACATTGAAAAGTTACGGCCAAATAAATGGAAATTGGAAACAATCGCAAACACAAGCTCGAATGGTGTCAAATATTTTGAGGAATATATTCCAATTTCAAGTACAAGAAGTTGTTGCGCTCACCCAATTGTTTCGATCATGTCAACGTGTCTATTTTGAACGACGTAATGAAGCAACAAAAGTTGATCCCGAATTCGTCATTACATTTGATAGTGATCTATTGGAAAAAGAATTAAATAATGATAATAGAATGGTAAAAACTTCATTCGACGATGATTCTGTGTTTTTTGATAATGTTCATGATAATAGCAATCATCAAACGCAACAACAGAAACAATTACAGATTTCCTTAGATGATCAGATCAAAATCGATCATTCTATCAATGATCATCTTCGTGAACGAGAACGTGAAATGAATTCAATAATGAAATCATTTGTTGAATTGAATCAGCTATTTCAAGAAGTTCAAACACTTGTTGTTGATCAAGGTTCAGCATTGGATCGAATTGATTACAATATCGAACAAGTTGAACATAGAGTCGAATTGGGAGCTGTAAGTCTTGAGAAAGCACATCAAAGCATTAGTCGTGTTCGTAAATTAAAGCTTATCCTTGGCGCCGGTTTATTCTTATTTCTTTTGTTTATATTTCTCATCATAAGATCTTGATTTTTTTGTCCAGACACACAAACACACCACTCTCATTATCACTGTTCATTCCAATATCAAAGTCACAAATTATTTATTTTTCTCCATTCATATTGCGTTTACTTTCACAACAAAAAAAAATTATTTTTCATGTAATAAATTTTGTTTGAATTTCATTTGTTCAAAAAAAAACAATCATAAATTGTTGGCTTCATTTCATAGTAATGTTCACCGATAGATGGAGTATAGTTTTCAAATTTTTTTTTCTTTAAACGGAGAACAATGGCTAATTGTCAGTTTTATCATTAAGAATATAATTTATGTAGCCACAAATGGCCAGTTTTTCCTTTATCTATTCTTATCAGTGCATTTTTTTGCAACTTTACCTATATCTCATTTGCTCTTCCCACACATGAACATACGAACAAAGTTTAATAAAAAGAACAGCTTGGAATTCAATGAAATGGAGATGACAGTCATCCTGGAGAGAGTGGGCGACAGATGATAACAAACTGATAACTATAAATTAAAAATCTGACAAACTCAAGTCAAACAGAGAGTGACAATATTTTTCGTAAATCATGACATTCGAATAATTTTTGATGGTCGATATACAGACTGCTTGACGACGATCACAATGATGTTGATGATGATAATGATGTTGAACACAACTATAGACAATTCAATCAATCATTCATTCATTCGTCCGAATGAAAACTTTTCTTTTTATTTGGTCAATTAAATTTTTTCGACAGGTGAAAAAAATTAAACTTGATTTTCAAGTCGAAACAATGCACATGGTTTTAATTTTTTTGTTAAACAAATACAATAGATTTTGATAAAGAAAAAAAAATGAAAAATGGTCGGAAATGGTCATAACTGTCTAATAATATTATAAACAATAAGTAATAATAATGAATGGCAAAAAAAATTGTTCTAGAAATTTCACCAAGATGATTTGGCAAGATTTTCAACTGATCATCATCGTCATTATCTTAAGAGAGAATAAGAATTCACTATATGGATGATTATTACTGAAAATATTTTTATGAGAAATTCTGCCAAACAAAAAAAAAACAAAGAAATAATAAAAGCCGGATGCCTCGATTGAATTGGCTCGGTTATTATCATTTTTTATTTTCGATTTTTTTTCTTGCTAGAATATGTGAAAAAAAATGGCAATATTCATCAAAGGTCAAAGGTTATATGTGATGTTGATGATGATGAGAATATTCATCATCATCGTTTCAAATCTTGACATTTGAGAAGAAAATCAAAAACAATCAGTTCAATTGTAATTTTCATCCATGTTTATTTGTTTGTTTTTCTCGTTCGACATTTCAAATTCAATTTAAGGAATTGAAGAAGTCAATTATGAGAATCTATGTATGTAAAGAACTTGTTACTTGTAAATTGAAAAACCGACCGATTTATAGTGCACTCATCAATAAAATTATAGTCGGCAAACATGTATCAAAACAAACGAACAAAAAAAAATGCAATGGTCAATACCATTTGAACTTATTGGAATCATCCGAAAAAAAATTTTGTTGTCAAATGTTACGATGTCCATGCTTTCACATACACACAAAAAAAAGTAAGGAGAGTATTTTTCCAATCTACTTTTTTGAGGTGTTTGTTTATAAATGAACGAATTTCAGTCTTTCAAAACATTTTCAAAAAAATAAATTTCGTTTTTTTACGACAACGAAGAGGCTTTTTTCTATTTTCGTTTGTTAAAAAATTCAATTTTATTTTATGGATACAATCAACTTTTGTTGTTTCGATTCATAGATATACGTTGAAAATGTTTGTTTTTTTTTGTTGAAATTCAAATTAGAATTTTTTTATCCATGATCAAATCGAATGTATACGAATTCGAATTGTTTTAGTCAGTTTGTTTTAACGGATGATTCATACTCGACCATGATTTAATCATCAAACAAAGGTATACAAACGGAAAACAAACAAAACATAACTCTGCAATATATTGCATAACTTTGGAAAAAGTTATAAACACAAGCAAGGTAGCAAAATAGAGTGGGAGGAGATTTTTGTTTTTTTTTATATTCATCATTCAGTCTGGTTAATAGCATCCCACATTAGCTACATTTTTCATCCTGATTGGCTGTTTGTTGTTGCTCAGTTGTTTTGCAATTTGCGATTTGTTTTTCCTGATGCAAAATTTTTTCTTTTATAAATTTTTTTTTTCATTATAGTCTCCAATGACCAGCACATCAATCTATAGATTTATGTACCACTCATATAACATCACATCACACACACACATCAGGTTTTAATCTTTGGCACGTACTTGATTCGAACCGAATAACAAAAAAAAATTTATTTGTTGTTATCTTTTTTGCCTGTGGCCATTTACAAATTTTATTTTATTTTTTGTTTGTTTTTTTCTTATATATTTTGTCAAAAATCGAATGATTATTTACAAAAAAAAAAGAAGAGAACCAGCACATGTCTAAAGAGAATCGTATTTAATGACTTAAACGTATTCAAATCGAATTAGATTTGAATAAGATTAGATAAGTCATCATCGTTCGAAGAAAATGAAGAAGAAACCCACACACGTGTTTGATTTGTTGAATGAAAAACAAAATCCAATGGTCAATTTACATTCAACAATCAAATTGATTTAGCTTCAAACTAAAAAAAAAACAAACGTTTCTTTTATCACTCTAACAGCAAAGTAACAAAGTGATTTTTGATTTTAAAATGAAAATTCACTTTTCCAATTCTTTTATTTTATTTTTTTGAGAAAATTTATACCCGTTGGAAACCAGATACAATTTTTCATGATTCATCAAAACAACAAGACCTCCATGTTAACAATATTGAAAAAAATTGTTTACGAAAAAAATGATGAAATAAAAGAATCGATCATTTTTCATTGCCTTGATTCAATTAGAATTGATCTGGTGAGAACGGATGAACAAAAAAAAAATCATCATGATATGGCCAAAATCTATGGATGGAAACGAAAAAGCCGCACACACACACATCATCATCATAAACAACCCGATCACTTGAACAATAAAATTTTAAATAGTGATTTTTGTTCGTTGTTTGTATGCAACTGTATGTATAACCACACCGAAACTAACGAAAGACGCCCAATAGAAAAAAAAACATAAACAAGCCACACATTGATTCGATTGATGATGATGATGATGATGTATAATCGTCTATTAATCGATAGATATAGAAGAAAAAAAAAGAGAGAAAGTGCTAAAGAATCTTTCATCAAAATCAATCAATTTTTTCCTTTTATATTCTTGTTCATTTAATTTAAAAATTTTCTAACAATTGAATGAATGAATAAATAAATGGATTTATCCATTAGCATCAACATCATCATCATCGTCATCATAAAAATGTGATACTTGTTTGTTATTTGGGATTTAAACTTTGATCGATCAATTATTATCAAAAAAAAAAAATCATCAATGTAGAATTTTTTTTTGTATCTTTTAAAAATTTCAGAATTCTATATACTAAACACTGAATCAATTTGATATTTTTCTATTTCGTAATTATCAATATGAACATGATATACATTAAATATCTTTCGAATACAGTGTCTATGTCTAAAATATGATAGGAAATAATCAATTGGTTTATGATCATTTCCTTGAATCATAAATATGCGAAACACTGAATAATAATAATAATAAAAGTTTTCTCTTACTCTTTGCTTATGGAATCATATGGATGGATGATAATGTCCACACACACACACACACACAATCATATTTATACATCAAATAACATTAATAATAATAGATATCAATCGGAGATATCAGTAAAAGAAAAAACACTTGTTTTTTTCAATGTTTCAAACATATACACACTGAAAGGTACGCATACATTTTTTTTTTTTTTGATTTTAAGAAACAAGTTGGCTGATAATTATTATAATTCGGATTGATTGATCCGAAATAACGATCGATATGTTTTTATGTATTAACATTTGAATTATGATTTTTTTTCTTTTTTTGATAACACTTGTTGTCATCATTTAATGTGTGTTATGTATAGTGTTGGGTTCATCCATATCATTATCATATTTTTTTTCTTGAATTTAGAGGATTTCAATGATAATACGATAAAATGAATACAAATATCATTCCGATTAGAAGCTGAAAAAAACTGAGAAAGAAAAGATTTCCTCAGTATTTAGAAGAGAGAGAGAGAGAGAGAACAAAAAATAAATATCCCTTTTTTTCTTCTGCCATTTCAAATATCGATTCGATACACAATAATTCATTTTTTGATTGCAACGATATTTTGGCCATAGAAAAAAAATTATAAGAAGAAAAATAAAATCGCCAATCAGACGTGATGATATTATCATTAATGTTGTATGTATATATGTATTCATGCTATGTGATGTTTATTGTTGATCTCTATTCGGTTTGATGATAATCAATTTTTAAAAAAAATGATGTCGCTAATGAAAGACGAAGACAAAGATGATGATGAAAAAACAACAAATATAATCAAATATCATTCAAATGTTTTCATGAAAATAATAATGAAAATGAATGATGAATTGACCCAATTTACCTGTTTGTCATTTTTCCGAATTGATTTCATTATTTTTGATAAATTGATCAATATTATTATTTTATTTTTAATGAATAGAATCTTCCGGTAAAACATGTCCCCAACATAATTGTGTCCATATTATAATGGGACATTTTAAAGTGTTTCTTTCTTTTTTCAGCAAATGATAATGAAAATTTTGTGACCAATCAACGAAATAAAATACAATACGTTCATTGCCGAAATTGGTGTGAGAGTGTATTCTTTTCTGTAAGAAACATTTCTCGAGAAAATAAGCCTTAGGCCAAAATGTATTTTTTTTACAAGTGCACAGCAATAATACAACTATGATATTTATCTACTGAAAAACCAACCAACCAACAAACAGAAGACTTACAACGCAACACAAAGCTTCAAGCGATTCTCCTGTTGTAATTGGGTTCACATTCTATCTATGTTATGTATATGTGCATGGGTTTGTGTCTATCTATGTTCAGACAATGTTAAATTTTTAACGATGGTCATCGATGTGGTATATACCTGCTTATCGATCACAACGGCACAGCCTACTACCTGCCTACCATACATAAATCTCGTTATCGGTATCAATTTTCGATGACCACTAGCAACTTGGCTTAAAAAGTTCCAAACACACATGCAAACATAAGCAAACACTTAACAACAAGATTGTTATGGTCTTTTCGACATTGTTAGTGGATCAAACGTGTGTGTGTTAGTTCGTGTGTCAATTCCACATTACCCGGCCATCCATTACATAGAGAAATCATCAAGTGTAGTGTCTTCAACAACCAACCAACAAAAAAGTTATATGTTTCAAGATTCATATAAGAATTCAAACGAACAAAACATTTATTTATTTAATCTATTTCATTTTATTCATATTTTATTCTTTGCATCTATAGTTTGCGAATGCGTCATAGAATAAAAAAAAGTAAAATTTAATATATGAAATTGATTCGGCGTTTTTGTCAGTGTGTGTTGTGATATGTGATTGGTTTTAGTTTTGTTTTTTGTGCACATTGGCTATATATCATCAATATTTATTCGGCTACTGTATGTAATGTATTGTATTGATTCGATTTAATCAACAGATTTATTATTTTTGTATATATAATACAATTACAACATATTTATATCATGCAACAACTATGCAGACAGTTTTTTTTTTAATTTACACATATTGTGAGAACCTTCAAGTTTTTCAACTACTATCATTGTGAAACAAACAAAAAAAAGGAAGAATATTTCATTCGTTTAAAAAAACTTGAAATTAATTTAATTTTCTAAAATTCATTACTGTGTGTGAATAGTGAAGTGTATAAATACAGAAAATTAAAAAAAAATTCTTTGCTTCTTTAAAAATCATTGTTTTCGACACTAGATTATTCTTGTTTTTTTACAATCAATTCAAAATACATAAAATCTATTGGTCAAAAATCAATTCAAAAAACAAACGAAACAAAAATCTTCATTCAACAAATAATTTTGATCCAAATGCTTAAGGTATGTATGTATAGTATGGCTTGTTTTTTTCATTTTTTGCTCACTTTTTTTCTGATCACCAAATGACGATATCCGAAATCAAATCCAAACATACGTTAAACAAACGTGAAATATTTATATCACTATGTTGTTTTTTTTACAGTCAAGTGATGATATATGCGATTGATAAGTTTCAATCGAATGTTTGATTTAGTTGAATTGATGATGGATTGTTTTTTTTTCTTTGTAAAAACATTTTGAAAAAATATACCCATCCCTTTACTTCGTGTACGACAATTTTTTTCTAAATTGTTTGTTGATCCGCTTTGATCATTTTCAATTGACAGTTGAAAATCTGTTATGCATTACAATTTGATTATGCAATAATTTTTGTTGTTGTTGTTGACATTCATCAAAATCAAGCACTCTTTCTCTCTCTCTCTCTCTCTCACACACCCCTTAATCGAATCGTCAATTATTATTATTATTATTTCATTGCAAATTATAAACAAAAGATTTGACATTCATTATGAATACTTTTGTGTCTTGTTGTTTATGATGATGATGACGATGATGGTAACTATCCAGAAAAATATTCATTGTCGTCAAGTCCTTCGTCATATTTTATTGCCAATATTTTTTTCAAAATATATAAAAAAATGTTCCATAAACAACAACATAGTGCCATTAGTAATGAAATAAAATGTCATTCTGTACATTTTTTTCTGCCTGTTGCTGTATATAGGTATTCCCCCTTTCTTTTCTTTTTTTAAAGAAAAATTTCTTATTTCCTTTGATCATTGAATTGATTTTTTTTTGTTCGTCAAATGTGGTCATATAAATATTGACAACATACGTAAAGAAGGAGACTTACAATATTTAAGAAAAAAAATCGATTGTGAAATCGTTACCCGACTATATATAGGGAAAAGGAAGCGATTTTGATTTCTTTTTCATTTTTAGTTTCAAATCAATATCAATTCATTATGATGATAGTATAGCCAGATATATACAGGGTGGTAAAATAGATTTATTTGTTAAGTTTGTTCATTTGACCACTATCGACATGCACTTACCCCTGCTGGCTTTTTTCTATCGTTTTTTTTTCTCTCTCTCTCTCTGTTTAAATTTTCATACATTGGCCTTCGAACTATTATATTGATTTAATGTTAACCACATTTCTTCAAAATGGCAGATTTCAAAATACTTTGTTTGTGGTTGACAAAAAAAAAATCAGCAACAGTAACATACATTTTTTTGAAGGGCCAATTTTGACAAAATCGGATCGAATCAATATATTTATAAAATCTTATAATGTCAAAATTTTCTAAAACCATATAACAATTGGTTAAATAAGATTACCTGGAATTGTTGTTTCAGGAAAAAAATTATAGAAGAAAAATCCAATTACCATTCCTTGTCTTTGGTTCGAATGAAAAAAGGTTGTTTTTTAAATTTTTTGGTCGGAAATCAACCTGATTAAGAAAATTTGATTTACGATTCAAATCTGATCATCACAAAAACAATGTTGAAAACTTTCCTTTTCATTCTTTCTTATTCGATTAAATGAATGAATGAATTGATCGCAAAAGGCCAGGAATCTTATAAATAAAATGTAATACTTGAAGAAAAAAATTACTTTCAGTATACTTATTTTCGGTAATCGAAATATGGTTTGAAAAAAAGGAGTTAACCTAAAATATAATTACTTGGCATATAATTTTTGTTGTTGTTGTTGTTGCCTATTCTATTCTGAAAACAGGCAATGGAAAAAACACTGGTAAACAAACACCTGTGAAACATTTTCGACAAATGTTAACAAAAAAAATTTCCTACATTTGTCGTTGTGATAAAATAAACGTACGGACCCTTGCCAGGTAGTTCAAAGTGATTTTCAGCACGGAAAATTTACCTCTTTGTTACTGATGATGATGATTGAATCAGCGATTTGAATTCACATTCCATTTCATATGAATGCATGTATTTATGCCGCAAAAAAAACTCCAAACAAAAAAACCATCAATTGAACGTGAGATTATGTGTAAAAAATAAAGAGAAAGATTCATTAAATAAAGATTGACACTTGGCTACAAATAAGATTCACGAATTAAATGATGTTGATCATTTCAAATTGAAGTAGTAGAAAAAATATCGATATTATCATTTTAATTATTATCATTAACCGGAATCAAATAGAATCCGGTTTGTAGTTGATCAATTTAATCATTGATTAAAATAATTTATTCCTTAATCAATATAATAATTCAGTTTATAATAAATAATAATAATATCAATGACACGATTTTTCAATAATGTTTGTACCTGATAAATTAGATTTTTGATTTAACGTAAGTTTAACAAGTGAGTTACAAGGTCGAGAAAAAATACATTAATCTTAGAATTGTCAAAACTTTAGCTAAACTTAACACACACACACCAGAAGCAAAGGTCCTTGATTTTGAGCTTACTATATTTAATGATTATTTAATTGCTTTCTATTCGATACGCTATTTACCGAAAATTTTATTTTGCAAAAAAAATATATTTGTACAATATAACCAAAACAGAAGCTATGCTGATGATCTATCATCATCATTGATAAATTTTTCTAGTCTTTTTTTCCTGATAATCTGTTTGTTTTGAAATGACCTTTTGAAATTCTGTATTTCATGTGAATGATATTACATGCATAATGATCAAAAATTGTTTGTTTATCATCGATGAGCTGAATCCAAAATATTTTTTCTCTACAGAATGGCAGATTTTTTTTCCATCAACCATTTCAATATTCATGGAACTTTTATGACATTTCTTTTTTATTTAACGATTCTGAAATTCATTCAAATATAATAAATTTATTGCACATAACAATGTTGATGACGACTATGTGATCTTATGGAGAGAAAAAAAAAGAATTTCAATATCTGTTCAGAAACCTAATAAAATTTTATATTAGTAAAAAATATATTATGGTGTGATAATGGCTGACTTTTTTTTCTGAGCTCTAGTTACTGTTTTTTTTCGTTATCCTGATAAATTGAAAATCAAGTTGATCAAATCAATTGAATTGAATAAATTTACACTTTTTTTTACATCTGGCCAATATATAGATGTTTGTTACAATTTATCAATAATCAGAAATAAGTTTATACATAATCGACAATGTAAAACCTGAAAAATTTGATTTCTTTTTTTCTGGTGATGGTGATTTATTATTGATTAATATTATTGAATATAGAATTTGCTTTACAAATATTGATTGAATTTTTTTTGCCACATGAACTTAAACCGAAATCGATAAAAATCACCAGGCTTCAATTTAAATGTTCCTATTTAAATTTCTATATATAATATTATTTATCAAAATAATCCCGAATAAAACAACCAAAATCTATGCATATAAACGAATGTGAGACATAAACATAGATGTTTAAATCGAATGTTTTGGCACACGACGACGATGATGACGACGAATATCAATTTTAAACATCAATACATATACACTTATAATCATCATCATCGATCAAATGATGATCGAGTTTGATCAAGAACAAACATTCGGAGATGATGCCAAAAAAACATTCATACACAAACATGCATGTATGTATAGCATACCCTGTAGTTAGATTTTACATGAAAGAACGGATCCAGAAGTCCATGAAAAGAAAAATTGTTTACGAATTTATTTATTTATTTCTTATTTTCTCATTGATCAATTTGACTATCGCAATCGATACCGGCGAAGTAAACTGAGAAAAAAGGAGTTTTGTTTCTGGTTAAAGATAGTGGATAATGCGTTACCAACTACAATCATTCATTCATCATCCATTAATAACCAGGAAAAAAACAATCAAAGGGTTAGACCAGTAGTTAAGTGGAGCGATGAAATCTGGTTTGACAGTGTAACTATATTTCCATGATTGCGTCTGGTGTTTGCATGGAATAATGAAATTGAAAAAAAACCATTTTTGTTTTGGTTAAAACAATAAACAGAACTAGAGTGAAAGAAAAAAAACGATGGCAAAAATACATTGATGATTCTCATCTTTATGAGTGATGAATTTGTAATGAGCTTCAATTCATTGGAAATTCACTTTTTGATGACAGATTCAGAAAATACGATTGTAAATAATAGCTAGAACAAATTAAACTAAGAGGATGATGAAATGGCTTGTTCTGGTTTATGATTATGATATTGAAGTTCGATTAAATCCATTTCATCTATTCAACATCGCAATATATTGATGCAAATTTTTTTTATTGATCGTCTACTATCATTATGATAATAACAATAATAATAATAGACAATTTCGAATTTCAAAACAACATTTACAATTTGTTTATGAACAATAAATATTCAAATCATTATAATGAATCAGAAAAAACAATATTGTTCATTTCGCATTAATAACTTGATTTACTAAAGTTTTGTTTTCTTTTTCTTTTTGAATTTTTTTTTTTGAAATAATCACCGATCCGTAGGTCACAAATATTTGTCATCGACATGCTTGTCGAGGGCAGGGACATAACATTTTTCCTCCTGAAACGATTGGCACAAAGCATACCGGTTGCTTTTGCATCATCACCACCATCATCATCAACATCTTCATATCCATTGCCATCGCTTTCATTCATACGTTATCCGGAAGCAACAACAGTACCGTCGATCATATCCGATCATTGCAACTGTAAAATAACATCAAGCAAAATTGATACCCAAGAAAATCTGCTCAGATTGTCTAATGACAAATCGATTACGATCGAAAATCAATCGTCAACATCTTCAACAAGAACGACAACAAGGTCTTTCATCAATCATTCATCAATAATTTCCCGTTCAATTTGTAAATTTCCACCACTACCTTCGACGTTTATAATTATTATTATTCATTTGCTCATATTGATCACATCAATCATATTGATTCCATCAACATTTCACTTATCATCATTCGAATGGTTATCATCCGTTTTCATTATTCTTTGTATTATATTTAGCATCAAATATTTATTATATTTTTGTTTTCTTCATCTTACAACATCATTTTCATCATTATTGTTGCAGTTGTTGTCGTTTGTTTATCATAATCATTCATCAAACCAAAGTCAAAGGGTCCTTTACTATAATCTGGTCAACATTAAGAAGACGGCGGCTTCATCATTATTATTACTTCCATTATCTCGAAAACAAATCATTCGATTGATTCTAATTGCGATGGTTTCGTTGACGATCTTAGGGGCCGATCTTCATCCGAATCATCATTCATCATCATCATTAACAAGCAGAATATTTGTCAATGCTGAATCTTCCGTATTTGATGAATCAAGCCACAAACAAGTGAACGATAATGTTAAACATTCCAGAAATGCTAATGAATCACCATTATCGCCATCATCATCGAGTAAATTTGATAGTGAACAATTAAGACATGTTGAACGACAATTTTTGCGCATAATGGGCATACCAACAAGACCCAATCCAGCTAAACATCATAAAGTACCAGAATATCTAATCGATCTATATAGGTGGTTTAAAGAGAATAACGATGGATCTGCACATTATAAACAGGAAGATGAATTAGATGATCATCAAGATAATGAAAATGTTGTTGATCAAATGCAATCAAATTCCTTGATGGGTTTAACTACCGAAGATTTGTATGACATACAAAACTCATTTCCCCATCACCAAAATGATTATGAACATCATCGTCTCATACGACGACGTCGATCCACACAGTTATCACGTGTAACATTACAAGGTCCATCAACAACAGTCATTAGTCATAAGACATCATCATTATCATCGCATCTCACAAAACCGATATCCAAAGGGATTGGTAAGTATTTTCACTTAAATCATCAATTGTTTTTCTATAAAAAAAATATAATTAAAATGAGTAAAATTTATTGTTTTTTTTTCTTTTCTGGATTTAGATCCTAAAAATGTTAAGCCTAAATCATCATCAGATAATGATAATAGAAATACAAATCCAGAATATTCATCCAGGCAACAAACACATATAACTCATCTAAAATTCAATATTCAACTACCCAGTGATGAAACATTGACTGGAGCTGAATTGCGTCTCTATCGACATTCTATACACGAAAATGAATCATCATCGACAAAGGAGCCAAGAATCATCGATAATGATTTAACACGAAAAAATTTGCTATCTTCGCATAATAATTTTTGGCCATCCGCATATCAATCATCAAATGTGTTAAAATCGGCTACTTTCGAAAATAGTCATCCAATAATTTCGAGAGTAAATAATTCTCTGTTCTCCTCCCCCTCCTCTAATTCCGGTGAAGAGTATTCGACACGTTCGACATCATCTGATGTCAATAATGATGATCATTATCTACAGCGTGTCAATATCTATCATCTATTACGACCATTATCTAGAGATGAGCAACAGCAACAACAAATGGCAAGTGAAACCTTATTTAAGAGATCAAAATTGATTGATACACAAGTGATCGATGTACGTGATTCGGGTTGGCTGAGTTTCGATGTTTATCCAGCCGTCGAATGGTGGCTAAAACATCCGACGGAAAATTATGGCCTATTGATTACTATTAAAAATCATAATGGCCTATATGAATCATCGCATTCCAATTTGTTTGTATTCAATTCAACGATCACAAATTCCGGCCAAGTGCAATCGGCAACAAGTCATCAACAACAACAGCTTAAAATTGATGATAATCATGAATGGCATGAACTGCAGCCTTTGATAATAACATTTTCAAATGATGCTCGAACGCATCAACACTATCTGATGAGTCGAGAAAAGCTGTTGAATCGATCAAAACGTGATCGTAAGAGAGGAGGAAGTGGTGGAATGAGAAATGGTCAATCAAAAAATTATAGCCAACAGCGACCCAAAAAGAAGAGCCACAAAAATAGCTCCAAACAACGAAATAATTGTCGCCGATATCATATGTTTTTTGATTTTAAAGATGTAGGCTGGATGGATTGGATTGTTGCACCACCCGGCTATCAGGCCTTCTATTGTAAAGGTGAATGTTCATATCCAATGTCACAACAGATGAATAAAACGAATCATGCTATCATACAATCGTTAATCAATTCGGTCAATCCTGCTGTCGTACCGGAGCCATGTTGTATACCAACGGATCTATCATCTGTCACATTACTATATCTTGACCATCATGAAAAAGTGGTGCTCAAAAGCTATCCAAATATGATCGTCGAAGGATGTGGTTGTAGTTAGAAATAAAACTAATTCCAAATAAGTTATTGAGAAAGATTTTTGAAAATAACCAAAAAAAATAATAAGACGATCTGAGATATATTTTCTGTATTATTATGATTATATAAAATTTTTGAATGAAAATACAATGATAAATCTCATTGTTATGGTTCGAAATCACCACTTTTTTAAAACAGAAATTCATCACTAATTAAAACATGTATGCATCAAAACAAACAAAAAAAAACACCATACAACACCATTACCCACCTAAAACAAAAATAAATATAATGCATCGATTTCACAGAAAAAAAATCAATCATCATCACCATCACCATCATTATCAATTTTTTCTCTCGACAAGTTAAATGACAGAAGAATAATTTAAAAATATATATTTTCTAATGGCAACAACAAATGATGATAATTATAAATATTCTTTTTTAATTTTGATGATTTTCTTTGTTTTTCCATAAATTATTATTGATTATTATGATTTTTTTGCTTTATTTTATTTATCTTTTGTAATTTTTTTCCCTTAATTTTTGAAGCCATTCACCGAAGCATGAACACATACACACACACACCTCTTTCACACAAATAAACAAATTTTCGTCCATTATCATCATCATCATTATCAACATTGAACCATTGTCGATAAAAAAAAATTTTCATAATGAATCACAACAATTTATATTTTGTCACAAGCTGTAATTAGGAAAAAGGAATCGTGAAAAAAACATGAAAAAAAGAGAAAAATAAAAATTAAAAACTTTTAAATTATTTATTGTTCTTGTTTGATTTTTGGAGAATTAAGTATATACTATCTATCTATAAACATTTTGGTTTGTGTTGTACAGTGTTTCGTTTACGAGAAAAAAAACGGAAATAAAAATATTTGTAATTTAAAAAAGGCTATGATTATCTCCATAGCCACTCAATCATTCAGGTATGTATGTACACAGTCGGCACTAGTCATATATGTTTAAAATAGACTTAAAAAAACAAAAAATTCAAATAAGAATTTTTTGTGTTTTTTTCTTTTTTGCCATTCTTCATTGACCAAAATTGACCAGAACAACAATTATGACCTTTATTTCTTCTTGTTTGGATGATCATCAACAACCACTTTTACTGAATGAACGCATGATATAAATGAATGAAATGGTGGAACCAATCAAAATACTTTGAACTGAATTAATCGATTGCTGCGGTTGTAAGTAGGTCCAAATTACAAGTTTCAGAAAGACCGAAATAAAAAGCCACACACACACACACTTACGTTTGTTTGTGCGTGTTTGTTGATTTCGAGTAAGTTTGGTTGTTCAATCATTTGAATCAATGAAAATGACAAATGTAATGACCAATGGCGAATCTAATTCACTGTCTACACAGGTTACCATCATCATGATTGTCGTTTTTTTTGCCGGTAATTGACAACATTGACACGAACAAGAAGAAAAAATGAACAACAGCAAATTAGAGGGTCGGTAAAATCGAACCGAGAAAAAGGGTAAAAATTAGAAAATTTTTCTTAATGATTTAGATAATTTTGTTTCTTTTTTTTACAACAGAGAAACAAAATTTGAAATGAATTTTTTAAAATTTTGATCTGCAAATCTAAATGGGAAAAAATTCCACAGCAAGTTCATTGAAATGTTCCAACCAAGAAAAAAATGCTAAAAGGAATTTCTTGTATGTCAAAATTTTGAAAAAATATGACCCATCAAAATGATACCGGAAACTGTTAACAACATCATATTTGCTTATATGCGCATTTATAAGTTCAAAAAAAACGAAAATAACATTGTCAAATTATGATCGAAAGAATGTCATGAATTTCGAAATGACCAAAAAAAAATCATTTATTGTATTGACGATTGATATTGCTTTTTGTGTGTTTGTATGGTGTCGACATTGCCGCCGCCGCCACCATCATTGAAGAAAAATTCATTTCAGGTAAAAAAGCAAAAAAGAAATTTTTTTAAAATGCGGTTCGATTGTGAGGCCTAAAATGGAAAATAAAGAAAAAAAACATTCCCCTTTAATGGCTAAGCAGATAAGATAATCAGCAACTCCATGGCTATGGCTGATGATCAGGATTATTTTTTTCTAGCGCTTATTAGGTTCTTGTTTCATTTGGTTTGAGCAATATAAATGTTCAGCCTATGATTGTAACCATCATCAACATCATCATAAACACGAGAAAAAAAAACATGCATACATTGCATGAAGAGCAAGATCAATCTTACCTATATTCCTTGAAAATTAATTCACTTTGTCAATTTAAATTTTTTGTTTGTTTAAATTGATCAAATAGCCACCAACAACATTTGAATTTTTGTATTTGGTTAGATTAGCCATCATTAACAACATTTTAGTTTGATAATGACAAAAAAAATTTGTTCATCATTTTAGATTATTACCATGATTATAATTATGATCATAATGATGATGATGATGGAAAAAATTATTTGTTTGTTGTGCCATTCTATATATGATATTATATTCAATGATCCATTAAAAATCACTGACACAAATGTCAATCATTCGAATAATCATTAAATCGTATAGGATTGTATATGATACTTAAAAAATGCAATAAAATAACAAAAAAGCAAATTTGTTTTTGGAAATATAATTTCATTAACTTAGATTTTTTGGCTGATTCTATTTCGTTTACATTTAATAATGAGAAAACAAAGTGGCCATCGATGTGAATGATGATCACTGATGATGATGACATGCCGTAGCGCGCTAAAATTTCGATGAATGTCAAAATGTAAAGCTAAATGTCACCTAAAGATAAAATTATCATCATCACCATTGATGATGATAATGATGATATGTTTAAGCGAGCAAATTGTCATCGATATGGCCACTCTCACGGTGAATTAGTCACATTCTTTGTGTCCGAATCATCATTTTAAAAAAACAGAAGTATAGTAAATAGGGAAGTTTTTTCAATGATTTTGTTGATAAAATCACATTGAAAGTCACATAGAAAATTGAAATATTTTTTCCCCTTCAATTTTGTTTAATCACTATTATCTCTTGAAAATTGCTATAAACTTATATAGCTTGGCATTTATTTCAATTCTTTTTTGTTGTTGTTGATGATGATAATTTTAAACTTACAAATGACAAGGAATGCAATACCTTATCCATATAATACATCAAAGAACTTTATGATGACTACGGCTAAAAATATATCGATTAATGATAATGAAGGTAGCTATTTTCACAGCTGAAATTTGACTTTTACAACTAACTAAATAACTATCTTGACATCTGATGCATTATCTTTTGCATTCCACTATTAGTGATCATCAGGATGTTTTTTTCTCTTTTACTTTGACATCAGTCTTTTTTTCTGAATTATTTCATTTTTTTTGTTCTTTTATTGGCAATTGAAAATAAGAATTCCTCTCGCTCTCTATCTATATATTTATCTATTCCTTTTTTCCGAATCATTCCAAAATGGAGCTACTGTGAATATCATATCTCTTATGATTGAATTGCATTTTTTTACTTTACATTCGTGATATTCATCAAAACAAAGATGATGATGATCATCATCATTTCTTATATCTGGTCAAAGGTCAGTCCCTAAAAAGGCCAAAAACAATCAAAAAAAAATCTCATTCTTTTACACTCTGGAACTTTTGATTTGCTAATTTCATTCAAACTTTCTCAAACAAAACAAAACAATTCGGTGTGCAACGGAGCGTATTTTATTGAGTGAGATACATAATCAACAAACATGCCTAATACAACACATAATGAACAGGGGCAAATTATGATGATGGAGATGATCAGCATTTTGCTGCTGATGAAGAATCCAGGGGAAAAATTATCATTCGAAAGCAAGGTCCAGAAGAAGAAAAACAACAGCAGCAACAAGAACAACGATTGAATGATGAAAAAAAATTTCATTCAATCGTGACATAAAGGCGGCTACTTATTCATCCATTTATTCGCTTTAGTTTCGGTCATTCGGTTCGCCCGAGAAAATTGAAACGAATTTTTTTCCTACCATTTTTATTTCTTGATGATCAGAAAAAAAAGAATGAACGAATTCATTCATTTTCATCAATAATAATAATAACGCTAATAATAATAATAAGGTTGTTGATGTTCTTGCACGTAAAGGATATCCGGCTATTTACTGCTGTTGTATTGATCGGCCACAACAACAACAACAAGAATGAAAATCTAAATTTCAGAACATCATCATCATCAACAACAGCAGCATCAGCAGAAGCAGTTCTTAGGAAAAAAACCTAAATTAACTTTTTTTTCATCTAGTTTTTAGCCTGACACAGCTGCACATTTTCTGTCGTGTTATTGAATGATTGAATTCAAATCGTTTGAAAAAACAAATATCCATAGGTATAGAGAGAAAAAAAATGATGATGATGATTCCAATTATTTTATTTTATCGAAAAAAAAAGAAAACATGGTAAAATTGAAGAATGTTTGTATAATTTTAAAGTGTCATAGAAGAGAGAAAAGTTAATGATAATGTTTGGGTCACTTTATGTGTTTTTTTTCATCTGTATAGTGTAATTATTATTTTTGTTCAAAGTATGGAACGAATGAATGAAAAAAAATTCTTTGAATACGCACACTCGAATAGAATGAATGAAAATGAGAAAAAAGAAAAAAACATGGACCGTTCGGCACTTTTGGCCTCTCTCTCTCGATCTTGATATAGGAATCATTAAAATGCCATTACCAAGAAAATCGATATTACAAGAATTTTACCTTTTTTTAATTTCGGCTTTTTTCAACTTTTTTGGTGTATGTCATTGTGAAAAATGACCATCATTATATTGTATGAGTGAACAACGAATAAAGAGGACAATTTAAGGGAGAAATTTTTTCGTTTTCGATAAAAATTATGGGAAAAAAAAGGAATTCGAAAACTTCAGATAGAAATCAATTCATTCTTTAAAAAAAATCATGAACAAGGATATCGATGTCATATTAATAATGATGATGATAAACGCGTGCAATTTTCGTAATACACGATTTTTTGGTTGTTGTGTTGAACCACAAAAACCACCTTCGGTGATAATGTCAGTCGGTGTTTTCCTTAATCGAAAATTGAGCATTTTTTATTGATTCTAATAACAATATTTTTCGATTAACAAAAAGAATATTAATGAATAGAAATCAGTCTATAAATAAAATCTAATCGTTTAGTTTTTTTCCATTGAATTGTTTTGAAATTAAAAGTATTGACAAAAAGTTAACACATGAAGTTTGGTATTAAGGACTTTCAAATTAACTCGTTTTGTTTCACAACCAATGTTTGAAAACATCACTTGGAAAAAAAACAGCCAATGGCTATGATTTGTCGTCGTGCTGTCTGATTTGTGATCCTAGAACTTCAATAAATTTTGTTTTCTTAGTTTTTTTACACCAAAGTTTATCAACCTTAAGTAATGAACAACAGCATATACACACACCTGGAACTTGCTACAAATGAGGTTTAGCCGATCAATCAATAAGAAGTGGATTGAAAACAGAAAAAAATATTTATTCATTCCAAACAATCATATAGATTTTTTTTAAAGGCGATCGAATAAAGATTAAAATATTTGATAAGAATTTTTAGCGAACGAGTTTTAATCAATCAATCAATCAAACTGAAATTCTTTTCCAAGAACATGCAAAAAAACAGAGGACTAGGTCCATGAAAGCTAAAGAACAAGGCTTGTCAACCACAAACAAACAAAAATAAAACAAACCAATAAATCGATCGATGGTAGATAATGAAAACATTAACATTATTGAAGAAAACAAAAAATTCAAACAAACAGATGAAAATGTTCCATGAATGTCGGCTTGTATTTGCAAATAAAAAAAGGGGCAAATGTTTTTTTTTTTTTTGATTCAACCGAACTAATCACAATCGAACATTTCAATGTGAATTAATTCATTGACAAACAATCAAAACGAAAATAATGACCTCATGACCACATGAAATGACCAATGGTTTGTTTCAAATATAGCAAAAAAAGTAGTAATATGATGAAATTTTTACCTGACACAAAAAAATGTTAAGGTCCATCATCATCATCCTCATGATGGTCGTGTCATGTCATCAACAACATAGCATTATTATTATACGCCAAAAAATTAGACCACCAAACTAGCCATCACCTTTTCAAACACGATAAATGAAAGAACGATGAATGATTGAAGATATCTTCATTTACCAACCTACCCAACATGACTTTCACATCTTAATTTCACCATCATTGAATACGTTTGTTGTTGTTTTTTTGTCGGATTTTAGCCTTCAATACAATATAATGATAATAAAAAAAGAACTTTTAGACACGCATGTTTAATGCTAATTAAAACAACAACAACCGGGTAAATTCTTTTTTCCCCTAACACGAACATCGAAATTAATGAAGGAAAATTAATTATACACGCAACCATATAATAGAAATGATGAACACCATAAAGATCGACAACCGACGAATAATCATCAGGATATGAACAATATAAATTTACCTGTTGAATCAGGAGAATTAATAAATAATTTTAATAAACTTATACAAAAACTGAAGAGAAAAAGATTTTGGTCATTCATTCCAGTCTGTAAACAAATCTGAATTCTTGTCAAGTTAAATTATCAACAACAACAACAAAACAAAGAAAAGATTTCTCGATTTATGAAATTTGAGATAAAATGGATCTGAAAAAAAAAGATTATCCATTGATCATCACCAAAACAAACAAAGGTGGTGACATGACCATTTTCAGTAAATAAATTGTTTACCCAATGTCCATGTGTTTGTGTCTTTATATTTGATTTATAGACCAAATACATGCATACATGTAAATTTAAATAAAATACATACATACACACACGGCAGGAGAGATTATAATGATTGAAAAATCGATGTAACTACATAATGATGGTCAACATCATAGGTTGGAGATTTTTTTTTGTATTTTACCAGGTGGTCGTCGAATCTATTTGACGTTTCATGGTAACAACGCACACACACGTAGTCGGTATATATAAATGTATCAGTGGAATTTCAATGAATGGCGATGATAGGTTCTACATCAAAGAATTTCTTTCTTCAATTTCTTTCATCATATATCAGTTAGATGATAAATGAATAAGTTCCTGCTGTGTAACTATCATCATCATTATCATGACCAAATGTGATCATCATCATCATCATCATCATCTTAAGATGATTTAGCCTTACACACAAGAACGAAAAAACACAAGCAAACATAAATCAACAAACAAACAAACCAATGAAATCAACTTTGTTAACTAGCTAGATCTTTAGAAGTAAAATTAAAAAAAAAATTATTTACATCTTTCAAAATGATAATCGAAATGTTTGCCTGAATTTCATTTCGTTTAGTTAGCGCGAAAAAAAATTCATCGCAAAATAATAACAACTAAATAAGATAGATTTACATATTTTATTCAGTCAATCCTTATGAATTCGACACATTTTTTATTTTGTTTTCATTCATTCAACTCGGTGTGTGGCTTTTTTTCATGTCCGGGATTTATTTGACAGATTTATAAAACAATTGAAATTTTTTTTAATATGTAAATTTAATTAGATTTGATAATAATAAATATAAAAATTTTTAAATTTGATTATTTAAAAGTAAACGAAAGAAAAAAAAATCTAGATCATTTCATTGGTCAATTTTTTCAATTGTGATAAAAATCGTTGCGCATTTGATATTTCGGTTGAACCATAGATGATACGTTTCGGTGATGATTTTGATTTTGTCTATTGAAAAAAAATTGAAAAAAGAAAGATAAGAAAAAAAAATCAAAGTCAATGCAAATCTTACTTTACAATAATCGACCAAATTCTGGTATTCAATATAATTACCGCCGCCCACAACAAATACGATTGCCTGAAAAATAGAAAATATTTCGTTAAAAAAGGACAAGTTGTTTGATGATGATATCGAATAATATTTGCATAAACAGATATGATCAAAAGGTAAAAAAAATTAACGACTTTTTTATCCTTAAAACAAAATAACTAAACAAAAACAAGAAAAAAAATCACATTCATTCATTTAAAATGGTCATAAAAAATTACCAATAGGGTGGAGTACAAGCATCGGGTCACACAATCGGTTCATTTTTTTTTTGGCAACTTTATCACCAAGAAGAATAAATTTTTCATTTCATGTTTATTATTATTATTTTCAAAAATATATCTTCATTTCAATCATAACGATAATAATAACAAACTAAGTAATTTCAGAAAAAAGTTTTATCTCTTTAAAGAATTACCTCTCTTTTGCTGAGCTAATTTCGGGCGTAATTCGGTTGTCATCATCATCATCATCATCGGTTGATGTGTTCATAATAATGATGATAATGAAATAAATTCCCACACACACACACACAGCAGGAGCGAGAAAAAAATTAAAGACGAATTGAATGTCTTCATTTACTCTTGTATAATCATCATCATCATTAACATCATTATCGTTTCATTCATACATTTCAATAATGATCAAGATGAATTTTTTTTTGTTGATAAGTGGCCCATCATTATTACTACTATATGTCACACTATGATTAGTCTTAATTCAAGATTACGGATTAATTGTCCATAATTACACCTAGTAATAATTAATTAAAATAATTCATTTTTGAACAAATTATGCAACAACAACAACAACAAAAAAGTATAAAACTCCAAAAAATAAACACACACACAAAAATTCAAGATATAAAGATATGATCAAAAAATTTAGATAGAAAATAACTATGAAAAAAAAACAGAATGATAAATAAATGTTTATTCGTAAAGAATAATTTCTATTATCTCCATTTAATTATTTGCTAAAGCTGAATAGTGAAAAAAAACAGCAAAATAATATAATGCTCATAAAGAGATAAGATATGAAATTCACATCAAACTTCAATTACGATTTTTTTCTTCGAAATTCAATATACAACACTCGAATATATACAAACAAAGGTGTGCGTGTGTGTGAGTGTACAAAATAAAAAAACGATCATGTCATAATCTTGGAAGATGAATCTCTCTTTTTCTTTCGCTTATTTGATTCGACAACCAAACTTTTCGAATGTGAATGAAATGGATAAATGAATGGATAAAAGTCAAGTCAAATATATGATGAATAATAATAATAAAAGACAGTAAAATTTCAACTATGATCATCATCATCATCACGGATCTTCATTCATTTATTTACTCACGAGAAAATTTATGTTTTCGAAAAAAAAACGTGAAGCTAATGACATGAAACTAACAACAACAACAAAAACGATGATGACAAGATTATTATTATGACATTTCAACCATTTAGATTTCTATTTTATACAATTGATACGAATGCTTTGAAGGCCAACATCGAATCATCATCAGATGTTTATATTCGTGTACGTGTAAAGATCTAGATTCTAGAAGCATGACTTTATTTTTGGTTGTATCAAAAATATTGAAAATAGTTATATAAAAAACCAATTTGCCATTGTTGTTTTTTTCAAATTGATGTTTTTTTTTCTTGTTTATAAACACTGAAAAACAACAACAACAATAGAGAAAAAAATTCTCAGGTCTAGACCAGGATCACACACAAAAGTAACATCATCATCGAATATTCGAAAATTTCTAAGCTGACCAAACAACAACAACAAAAATGATCTTTCAGGGAGGTCTAATTTATCATAAATTACAAAGCAAACGAATTGAATGAAAGAAACCAAAAACTCGCTAACTTTTTTTTAAAAAAGAATGTTAAGTACAGTATAATGTTGGCAAATTAGCTTCAGGCCTTTCTACATATACACATCATACAAACATTGGTCATTGAGAATGAACACATAAAACCATAGATACATGCATATGGTATCCGAATTTTCATTTTGTTCTTCATGTATCTACTAAAGATGATTCAAAATAAAGCTAAACATTTGATATATTTTTGAAATCAATAATTATCGCGCCTAAAAATATTTCAATAGTAAAAGTAACGCCATCTATAGTGAATAGTAACTTACATCTTGAAATGGGTTTTTTGATGGCGAAGATGAAGATCCAAATGTTCCACCATCTTCACCATAAAGATTTTGTGCTTTAGCCAATACTTTAGGATCAAAATATCGGAATTCGTCAGTTTCTGGCGTCGATTTGGCTTCCATTAATGCATCCGTCACACGTGTAATAGGTAGTGTATGTTTTTTGACGACCAAATTTTTAACACCTTCCATGACAAATTGTGATCCTTGTGACATGAGTTTTGAAAACATATTTACAGTTTTAGTACCACCACCAAGGCTTTGAAATATACTGTCAACATTTTGATTCGATGAAGATACTGGGGATGAGGCCGGATTAGCGAGGAATTTGCATCGTTTCACGTATTCGATTGGCGATAGATCACAACCAACATTACGTAATTCAACAGCATACTGTTCAAATTCTGCATCGGTAAAATTATGATGCAGGTAATAAATTATGAATAAACGCATTTTATCTTCTGGCGTTCCTGCGTTTGGATCACGTATCAATTCCAAAGGAGTTGAAGCAGATTTCTGATCTAAATGCCCTTTCGATGCGATAATTTTTTCTTCTATTTCAAAAAAAACATCTAGTTTTCGATTTTTGATATATTCTAATATTGCACTGGCCACCGTTGTATGTAGATCGATTATTCGTTTAGTTTCCAAAAGATTTGGTAATGTATTTATAGCACTATTCAATTTATGCGTGTTATCCGTTAACAATGAAATGGCCGAATCTGGTATGTTTCCATCGAGACCCATTTCCGATTTAAGACGCTTCACTTCTTCTTCTGATGAACGATATGAATCTAATTTTTCTTGTATTGATTCAGCAACCTGTGGAAATGGACTACATTTATGTTGATTCCAGAATTTATCCTGGCTACTTAGATCATAGGCAGTCATTTTAGATTTTTTCATCACTTTTTGATTATCATTACTATTGGATGAGTTAGATTCATCAATGAAAACTTGATTTAATTTAAAATCCAATACATCATGTATGAGAGATTGATAGGTCCAAGAATGCAATAGCGGAGTAGCCATGTCAAATGAACGATCAAGAATAATCAACAAAGGCCTTGTGAACATCAATGACAAAGAAGAAACTCCTAACCGTTGAATATCTGAACCATTAAAAACGGTATTCTTCGTATCGCGTAAGTTTTCACGAATTCTTTTGTCTAATTTTTCTCCCACCATTTCGGCTGCATTTCCTTTAGGTGTTCGTATAATTGGAACAACACCCAATGTTACAAAAAATGAAAAAAGACTATCAACAATCTGATCCATAATAGATTCTATTTCCGGCTCTTGATTTGCAGGACGATTTATAGCATAGAATGAAATCTTGTCTTTATCCGAATGTCTCAATATAAATACATCATCTTCCAGAGAAATGAAATTAAGATATTGATCATAGATTTTGGAAATGTTAGTTACACAATTGGCCTGTAATGCAGCAGTTGCTAGTTCTTCGAGTTTAGCACGAGAAATTGGAGAAATAAAATTGAGATGATAATGATCATAGAGATGATTACGAAAATCCTGGCAAATACGCATAATGTTTTCATCGTTTGGCATAACAAAATAGACAGCCGGTACATCGGGGATAGGTTCACGATCGCTGTGCAATTGCCTATTGTTAAAAATATATTGTTGAATGGGCTAATAAAGATTATCATTAGTGTACAAACATATGAAGTGTGACACCGAATTCCCGTAATTCTTTTATATTCATCAGCGGTGAAACAATATCTTGTCCATAACGATCATAGATAAAAAGTTTCCAAACGGGTTCATTAGCCGTTGAATTCATCGGTAAGGGAGTATTGAGATTAAGCATTTTTTTCAATGCATCTAAAATCAGAACAAAATGAATAATGTTATGATATTAAAAACTTGCAATGAAAGGAACATACCTTTTTGTTTTTCACGAATATTCAATGTTGACTCAGATTCATTTCCAGTAATGGAAAAATTTCCACTTGAAGATGTTAAAGCATTAAGATTTGAAGATGATGATGATGATGCTATTGAGGAAATCATATTTTTATATCTTTTGATGAAAAATAATTTAAATGAAAAATAATATAAAAAATTGTTATTGATTTACATCAACTTCTAAATACAAATCATCATATGAAAATAAAGAACGTGGAATGAATTGATTGCGCATGACTTGTTGCTTCAGTAAGGGGCATTCATATAAATAATCAAACCAATTTGAGCTATATTTTTCACCGTTTTCCATTATTTTGTTCCGGTGAAATTTATTGGACAAAATCATTAATGTTTTTTTTTTCAAAAAATTTATTTATTTATTTATTCAATGAATTAATATTTACAAAAAAATTACACAATTCTTTATACATTTGATCAAAATGATAAATTTTAAAAAATTCTTCAAAAAAAATGATTAAAAAATGAGAAAAATTATCAGAAAAGAAATTGCATAGGTTAATGAGCATTGATCCATCCTGATGAAAAGTTTACATAGATGTTTCTAATGGTTGACTGGCATATAATCTTGCTTTTGTGGCAGCATTTGTTGAAGATGATAAATTGTATTGGGAATTGGCACTGACCGGAAAATTGTGATCATGAAATGAGTCATTATCTAACGATGTTTCCAGGTAAGGATTATTTGATTCACTTTCAATGGTTGATGGAGCATATGAACCATACATCAATGATGGTTGACTACCTCCCATATGATAATTTCTATCAGCACCATCTAAATCGGTTTGATGATAAATAGGTTTTTTAAATTCTTTTCCATCATGAATCTCATTCTGATGATGATCAAATGTTGTTTCCATCTGTACATCTTTATTTTCATTCAAAATAGATGGCTCTTCAGCTTCATGATGTAAGAACATTGTCGGATCCATACTACGACGTTGTCTATTGGTTTCATTTCTTTGATCTCTCGATTGTATCAAACGACGAATTGGTGGCTGTGGAACTGGATGTATTGGTTGAGATTTCATCATGGTGGATTGTTGCGATCTAGGGTGATAAAAACGTGGTCTATTTGATGATTGTCCAGAGGTTGGTGATGGTAAATCTGATGCAGCTGATGATGATGTGGATGGTGGTGGTTTATTCAGATCTTCAGATGATCCCGTATATTGTGATAATTCTTGTGGATCTAATGCAGGTTTAACTTTGAAATCTAATGTAGAATTCGTTTCGGGTGTCCATGTTCTTATTGTCGGATTAAGATGTTCTTCTCTCGATGAAAATGATAACGGAGACATCATTGGCGTTGATTGATCAGTTGGCCCTTGTTTGAACGCGCGATTATCATATACCATGTCGAATGTAGGTTGTTGCAAATTTGATGATCGAATTACATCTATATTCGATGGTCGGGAATTGTGGCCATATTTAACTGCATCTTCATAACGTTTTTGTGCCAATACAAGACGTTCATTATGATCGCTTGTATATATAGGAAATGTTGATGATAAAGAGCCTCCATAATGATCCTGTTGGATTGACTGTGAATGTCGCTGATGACCATTAGAATTTTGCGGAGGAATAGGTCGATAAGATGGATTTATTGAACCATTAATCGATCCATTAACATTTGGATTCGATTCAGATAATAATTTCCTATTAGTAAAATATTGACTATCATTCAATGCACTCATTGAAGCAAGTGATCGACTTGATCTTATTGAAGCACGAATCGAATTACGACGTTCTAATTTCTCCAAATGTCTATGTCGAGATTTACAAATCCAGCAACAAACACAAGCCATCGTGAGTAACATTGTTAAGAAAGATATACCAATAACAGCCATTCCTAATGGTTCTTGATACCAATAATCTAATGTTGCCGTACTGATTCCAATTTCTGGATCTCGTTCGCATAAGAATGGTAATTCATCATTGCAATCATGTACACGAACATGACCATCGATTAGCACTGAACATGAACCGATTGGTACATCAAACGATTGTATCCATACTGGATGGCGACGACGATTAAATAATGGTTGTTGTAGATAAATATAATGCATCAATTCTTCTTGATTAGATGCTCTTATGAATGGCATTGATGAATTATCTTTACTGCAGAATTTTCTTGCAAGATCATAAGTCATACGACCACCCACATAAACAAAACAAGTGTCCGCAATCTTCTGATATCCACCATAACATGAACCACTTAGTACTGACCAATTTCCAGAATAGAATGGTTCAAATTGTACCGGTATGAGATAAAATGAATCCCGTGAATCACGAATACGAGCTTCGATAGCACTGGTTTCATTGAAACCCCACCAATTATAAGGTGCTTGCACGATGGCTGATGCCAATACAGCGGCATATGATGTTGGTTCGATCAGATTTTGTTTGAGTGAATACGTGGCTGCATTTATAATTGTTCGATTTCGTGTAGATAATTCAAAATCATTATCTGGATTTACCAAATAATTTTCGGTGTAAATCTGACCAATGGTGCTGACAATGATTGTACTCTGTTCACCTCGTTCATTTTTGGCATGATTATTGTAGAAAAAATTCTTTGTACATCTTTGAAGTTTTGAGGATGATTGTGCATGAGCGAATCCAGCCATAAACAATTGATTGTCACCATAGTTGTTGATGATGACATTCTCATGAAATTCAACGATTGCTCGTCCAAACACCATATTTGATCGATGTGGCGATCGATTTCGGCTGAAATAATTTCGATCTACATCAACTTTCTGATAACTATTTGCACCTTCAAAATACAGGGCTTCTTTTTGATGATTATCGGCAAATAAATTGTTAATTAAATGTGCGTTAAGTGCGGCAACCGCTGTGAATGAAGTGGCAGATATTTTTAGACCACCAGCGCGATTGTCTGTTATCAAATTATTCTGAAAGTAAAGATGCGGTGAATTCTGTATCTTGAGATCAATTGTCTGTCCTTCACATGTGCTAAAATTTCCCCATAGATTTCGACAATTTCGTTTGAACATATTATTCAGCAAAGCTAATTGTGGCACACTTTCACCAACACTTCGATACAATAATGCACCGGCAGTATTATCATTGATATCGGAAAATGTAATATTATGTTGTATATCTCGTTCATCATGATAAGCACTTGGTAATGTTGTCACTTCAGCTATAAAACCATATCGGCCGGATGCGCCTGAAACATGGAGCTGTAGACTCATTGAAAAACCAGTAGATTTATAAAGAATGTTTTTTGCTGATGATTCTTGCTTTTTCGTATTTGATGGTGGCCCTCGCGTTGATGTAGCATATCGACGTTGTCGAGATGAAGTTTTTGGCCATAATGGATTGACAGTTGTGCGTTGTAAAAATTCTTGTGTTGAATCACTGTAAACTTCACCAATTAAACGTCGAGTTGTTTCGTTGAAAATATCACCATCCCAAATCATGATCGAATCAGACATAGAAGTAATCAATGATGCATCAACATATGAACCAGTTGTTTCATCGATAAGCTCATGAATTTTATTGTGAAATATATCCTCGGTTTGGTAGGTAAATTTCTTGCCTTGTATATAATCTTCTTCAAATGTATTCACTTTGCCAGGCGTTTCTGTAAATTTACTCCATAGATTTAATTGTAAGAACCTTATGCCGATATTTTTCAATGGATTAGCACTGGTGAATATTTTAACACAATCAACAGGTCGATTATCGTATTTATAATAGACAATTATTTTTTCTTTAACACGCAACTGTTTTCGTGCATCACAAATATCAACCAATGAGAATGCATTATATGGTACTGTGAATACTGATCCATCTGCAATCGGTTCGTAAGGAATACGTGGACTTTCCGATGTTGATGTTCCGGATAACAGTAGATTCAGGCCGGCACCTAAATTATTTTCGGCTCGAAGACGATGTATTCTTAAAGATTCTGGTGGAGCTAAAGTTTCCACAGCATGATAGGCACTGTTATAAATATTCACAAATTCTAGTGGTATCGATCGTTGTATCATTTGTATGGCCGCATTTTTTTCGCCATGCAATACACCAGCACCAATAACATTAACATAATGCATGGCACTTTTTGTAATTTTTTCTCGATTAGTCAAAAATTTCTTTGTATCATCTTCTTCGAATTCAGGCAAAGCAAATCGAATGCCTCCCCAATGTTCAAACGATTGGATTTCATCATTGTTATTATCTTCACCACAAAATATATAGACAAATTCATCACCATCGTGACGACATGCCGTACTTTGAATCAATGTTCGTTCTTCCAATGATCGCCAATCATCATTCATGTAGAATAGCAACTCTTGAGTTTGATTATCAACAATTTGATTTTGGTGAGTTTTACGATAAAAATTTGTTGATAGAAGTTTAGAATGGTAGAGAGGTGCATTTTCAAATAAAATTGATTTTCGATCATAGCTATCCTTAGAAAATGTACGTAGATCACAGTCAGCTAGATTTGATTCTGATCCTTTACATTCCAATGATTCGGGCCACTCAGATATTCTCGTTATCAATGTAGGATCCATGTCAGGTCGGGAAGCTCGACCTACGAATACATTCAACGTTGAAAAGCCTAATTGTCGGCATACAACTTGTGCATCACGTTCGGTAAATCTAGGATCACAAATAGGTGTCCATTGAAGTGTTGTTAGATTGTAGATTTCAATAAATCCATGACGTCTTCGACCATTGCTTGCCAATTTGGGATATCCTAAATCTGCAAACCATGAGAGCTGATGTTTCATCATTTCTTCAGCTTTTGTTTCGGATTCAGGATCACATGTTTCCGTTAGACAAAGCCGTACACCACCATGATCACTTTTACTATAAACTAATTGTTCGGTCATCGGGATTTGTCGTTTTCGCTCATAGCTTTTTGATCGTTTCGACCATGAATTCATCATTGTTGGTCGTGATAAATGGCTTGAATTACGGGCTATTGGTCGAAATAAAATCGGTTTCTTTTCGATTCCTGCGGCATTCAAATCTCCAAGAACTAATATCCCAACAGATGGATAGAATTCGATCTCGACACCTGGCCCTATTGTTAAAGTAGTGCCTGGCATGATGGTTAAATCGGTTTGGACTATATAAGGACGGTCACGTGCATGTAACATTAATGATCGATTTAATCGACCGCCTAATAATTGTGGTACGAATGATGAATGGCTTGATGCATCCATCGCAGATTGATCATGAACTAACAAAGCATTGGTATTATCATCAGCCAACCATGGTGAAAATATCGTTGTCGAAAAACTATTCCAATCATCAAAATCAAATATACGTTCTCGGATTGTTTGCGTATCGAAACCAAGTCCCCAAAAATTTTCTCTTGCATTCAATTCATTGTGTATTGATCCAGCTTTTACACCAGCCAATAATTCGAATTGAAGATTTCGATTGGTTAGAATATTACGCGTAACATTCACCTGTTGCAGTCCACGAATTGCGATTGCATATGTTTCAGGTGTATACGAATTGCTTATTTCTTCTGTATTCGTAAATTGTAAAGCTGCACCGAAAAAGCGATTATTACGAATCTTATTTTGGTTGATCATTGCGGTAACAGTTCCAAATTTATCTGCATGACTTTCCATGCTCATTTCGATTACATATCTTTGAACCAAATTATCATTCATTTCATTTTGAACAATTTTAATTAGTTTTTCCATTCCAACAATTGATACAAGACCAATTTTGCATTGATTATCCAAAAATTCATTGCGTGTAATATTCACTTTTGCGTAATGACCACCAATGACAAATTCGAAATTTTGATTTTTTAAAAATTTAGAATCTTCTATCACAACAGTATGTGTAAAATTTTCATTATATAGCCATGTGTATGGTAATTTAAGATCAATACCACCGTTTTTATTTCCTTCAAGTGTACAATGATGGATATTCCAATGAAATAGATTGGTATTTGATGGATAGTTAGCCCCGATTGCATTAGACAAAACAAAACCAGGCATCGATTGGACCGTAACTTGTTGCATATCACTGTTTGCATATAACGAATGGTCATATAAAACAATAGAACCGAATTCAACATTTTCGACAAAACGATTTTCGATCAATGTGTAATTGATTTCTGCAATCACTGATGAAGCATATGTAATATCATATTCTTGTCGTGGCATTTCATTAAATTCGATCATATTTACCAACAATGAATATGGTATCATTGATGAATGAGCAAATGAATTGACAAATAAACCGGCTCCTTTGCTTTTTGTTATCATGTTGTTTCGTATAATTATTGTTTCATTTCCATATCGTTTACAATAGTTTCCATTCAAATCGATGTTCATCGAACAATGTGCACTAGAAATGCCTTTTCCATTTTCAATAAATTGATTATTTTCAATTATCATCGTATTCATGTCCCGTTGTTCTTGAATGCTTTTTTCAACAAAACTTGGCTCACCCGGTATATTTCGAAGATATTGTTTTGGTGTAAACAATAACAGAATACCGCCATAAGGTAATTCACCAGTAGAATATTCTAACATAAGACGATAGCCTGGATATATGAATGGAAATGTTGTTAGATTACGACGTAAATCCCACATCATTTTTGAAGCATGAACAGTATCTATCAATGGTGAATAAAGCCGTAAAGATTCGGATGATCTTGTCAAAAATATTGGACTTATAGCCATCACACCAATACGTTTACCCGGATCGGTTCTTATTAATAGATTAAAAGGTTTAGACATCGGTGTTGGTCGTCGTGGAACGTAAACATAAACTTGTCGACCAATATCACCCAAATATATTGACTGATCTGAAGCCGTTTCACCGGGTATGATTATGAAAACCGATGTTTTTCGATTATGAATAGGTTGTTTTACAATCCACGATGCTAATTCTTCTTGTTTTTCACGACTGAAATTCGGCTCATAATGTAACCCGGAAACTTTATTATCGGCAATCAAACAATTTTCGATACGATTTCCTTGTGTACTGGTCACGATACCGTGATTTAGATTTCCCATTATTTTTGTATCAATAATCTGTAATCGATCATCATTTGGTTCACTTATTACATCGTTCCATAAAATTCCGATTCCAGAATCAATATTCGATGTTATAATTGAATCTCTAATAGCAAATCGATTAAAATCAAATTGTATTGCCGGTCCGAATTGTCTGGTACGATAATCAATAAGACCAGCTTTTTCCACTGTAATATGTTCAAGAATTACTTCCTGTGTAAGCATACCGAAACGAATTCCAGCCCAAGCTTCTGGAAAACATCGTATACCCACTTCTCCTTTTGGACACCAACCACCTTCAAAATCGTTGCTACTCAATCTTTCAGCTTTACATTTAGTCAAATCAGTATCGAGATGTGTGCATTTAACATTAGTCAGCAACGTATTACGAGAATTTTTTGAACTCCAGAATTCTGATTTTTCAAGACGCCAATCCCGTTCGTTAAGAACTAATCCTAATTGATGACATGCTACAGAAGCATCTTCAATATCGAAATTATAACCACAAACGGTGCCCCATTCGTTTCCGATTTTCACTTCAAGCAGACCTTCAGTACCATTTGACAATCTTATATTTTGCATTGGAAACGATGTTTGTTTTAATTTGAATGAAATGGGTGATTTTTGATCTAAACCGGTTTGATTGGTAAATTTTTTCAATGTTGAATTGATGGCATCATTTACTTCAAAAGGAAGCGTTACATTTCTTTTCAAGCGATAAATGCTTGATTTGCTTGAGGATAACAAAAATTTGATGTCCGAATTTTTCTGTCCTTTGGCTTTGAATTTTCCTTGAACAAATATTCCCACAGATTGATCGAAATTCAATATGGTTCCTGGATTTAAGACTAGTTCACCTTCGGGACTAATGTAGATATCATGTCTAACAAAATATTTTCCTGGTCGTAAATTGACCTGACCTTTTACTTGGCCACCGATTTCACCAGTTGGATTTCCATGAAAAAATTGTGAAATTTTCTCACGATCATTAACCAACGATAATGCACTACGATCCGATTCCAAGGCATTCGGTATCAATATATATGGAAGGAATTCAACCTGAGCCAAATTATAGCGATTTTTTCGATCAAAAATTCTCTCATAAATTTCTGCAGCTGAATCGAGATGTTTGTCGCCATGATATTCACCGAAATTCATACGCATTGATGTGGTTGATGTTCCCCAATAGTTGAGTGAAGCATTCACAAGCCGATAATGAACACCAAGATGAACTCCTAATTCATACTTAGAACCGGGATTAATAAATTCATTGCGCCATATGAGAACATTACTTGAAGTGACACATAGTACAGCTGCAATACGTGAACGTGAATTAAGATTTTCAAATGGTTCACGGATAATATTATCATGAAGAATGTTACGTGTAAACAATATTTTTTGCGACAGTGAACTGAAATTCATGTTAATTGAGGATTCGGGTTCTAATAAACCAATACTGGCAACATAAAAGCCTCGATTATTGTGAAAATTATTATTTCTTATACGAACAACAGTTGGCCATAAATCTAGTGCTAAACTTCGTTGATTCATCAATGTATGTTCACCATCGTTTTTGTACGCATTGCCATTGAAAAAAGAAAACGGAAAACGTTCAGCATCTTCAACAAATTGTTGTACACGAAAATGATCTTGAGAATTTATATATAAAACAGCTTTTTTATGTCCACTGAATTCATTATGGGCAATGTTCAATTTAGTAAAAAATAATGGCGCAACATGTATTGCATGTAATTCGTTTGATAGAAAACGATTATGACCGATGGATATATTAGTTACCAATGGTTTTAATTGCATTTTCAATATTCTAGGTCTTGGAATGCATGAATGATATAGTAAGGCTTGTTCACGTTGGTCAAAAAAGTCATTGAGACTTATATTCCAATATGCACCTTGATGCCATAAAGATGAAGGAAAATGACAACCGCTAAAAATTAAAAGGCCAATCTGATTATTAGATACTGCACATCTGGTCACATGCGAGCTATAATTGAATGCTCTAAGATTGATAGATTCATTGAACCATACAGCAATTCCACGGCCTGTATTATTGACAATTTCAGTTCTATCAATGTGAAGGTATCCGCCACCGTTTGTTATGTTGACACCATCAGCTATATTATTACTAATGATACTATTATTGACAATTATTTCGCCAACACCACGATCTACATCTAAACCGGCTACATAATCATGATTAGAAATCAATGTGCGATTCACAACGGCACCACTTTGTAGATCTTGAAACCATAATCCTCGACCATTGTTGGCCACAATGCGGCTATTCGATATGGTAACATCATATTCTCTACCATAATCGACTACCACCTGTATGGTGAACAATACTCGGCGATAATGTGCTGGACGATAACAAATTCGTAATGGTCCATTACCGATGATTGATGAAACACTTTGTATTTTGGTATGATTTCGAATAAAAAAATCAGCAATAATTCGTCCAGAATGACCATCAACAATATAGATTGATCCTTCACGGCCGACATGAGGCATATACGGTTGTACTAAATATTCATTCATTGCATCATAATCTTCAATACCGCTCATTAGTAATGGAAAATGAACTGTTATTCGTTGACCTTCCCAATCTTTGGAATAGAACTCTTGACAACATTCCTCTTTAGGTGCCTTTGAAACTGATTGTCGATGCGTGTATTTAATTGGAAACACTTGGCTTGTTCCTAGATTTGGTGTTTCACAGAAATTATCTGATGAATAGTATGCCTTATCGAAATGAACAAAACGAACACCATCGGCTCCATTGTCTTCGATTTCGACACTCGATAAATGAACTCGACCAGTTGAAGTATTAACATAAACACCGTAGGCACGATTTTCTATAAACTTTGAATTCATAATCTCAAATCCATTGATTGGATCCGTAATATTTAATGCTGTATATGCTGAACGATAAATGGCAAGATGATTGATGTGTGGCGGAACACTACCGATGGATGATAATGCCGGCATTAATTTTCCATCTGATTGTTGGCCTGCATATTCAATGATTACATGTTCGATGGCTGACTTGGATCTACGTGAATCCATTTTGTTTGACATGATCGATGTTACATGCGAATCAGAATTTATAAATTCGATTCCACGCCAATGCTTAACAGACGTTAGTTTATTATCACAGCTATTATCAGAAATGAAAAGACAATTAATCAATTTTTGATTTGAATGGCAAAAAAATACCTGATGCCTATATCTTGGTGAAAATTACAAACACCACTGCCGATACGTCTTTGTGGCCAATTTTGACAATTTTGGAAGGTCGGTTCATCGCCATGACATCCAGGGTTTTCTAACATGAATTGTCGACTATCATTATTACGCGTAAACCATCGAAACCAATGACCACCGGTAAATCCTAGTTGATGACATACAACTTCAACATCGTTTCGTGTCCAATTACGTGAATTCGTACACACTGAATGCCAATGGCCTTTATATTTCAATTGTAGCCGTCCTTGTTCTACACTTTGACCATCAACTAATCGTATATTTGGCCATAATGGTTTTTGATGATTACTTTCGTAATTAATTATAGGCAATCTTGTTGTACCATTATTTAATGTAAGTATTATTTTTGATGTGCTTGTGCCCTAAATATTTATAATCAAAAACAAAGAAATCAATAATTAATCAATTTTATTCATTCTTTTTTCAATAATGCTATAATCGTATTAGAATGAAAAATGATGCGATTGAAAACACTTGTTTGTAATTATTTTAAGTTTAAACATGATTTTATTTATTTAATGATTTATTCGATGTCATTAATGATATTTGTTAGCTCACATTGTCAAAGTGGAAAAAATCCTTATTTCATTTGTCATATTTGTGCTTGTAAAATTTGTGTTTTTTTTCATTCAATTTGTAATTCGTGAGTATTCGACATAAGGCAACTGAATAGATTCAATAATAAATTGACTGGATTTTTTGTATGTTTGAAAAAGGTGTTGTCATTCATAATTTTGTTTTTTTTTTGCTTGGCAATGTACTGATTACAACATCACATTATTTTCGTCACACTCGATGGAATTGAAGTTAGAATTCAAGTTAATTTAAAATAGAAAAAAAACAATTGTTCTTTGAATTGTCCCTGTTTTATCAGTATATCTATCTATCTATGATTCTAAGAAAAAAAATTTTGACGAACAAAATAACTGTTGTTTTTTTTTGTTATTAAACAACATTACTGTTTGTTCTAAATCATTCAAGTTTTTTTTGACAAAAGCAAGTTTTGCTATGGTATTATTTATTTTTCTTTGACCATCACTATCGCGACGGTAGTTTTTTATAATGATGATGTTGATGATATCCTCAGTTAAGATAAATTGTTGTCCAATTTGGCCGCCATCAAGAGTTGACAAAAGAAAAAAAAAATACTTCATTCAGGTTGAACTGAATTGAAAAAAATGTTGTGTGTTGAAAAACTTGAAAATAAAATAAGATTTTTTTTTTTGTAATTTAAAATTTTTATGCTAATTAATTTCTCTTATCTTTTCTGCATTCAAATACAATCACATCTTCGTATTAATCATATGGTAGATCCTGAACATGGTTGATGGTTATTACAAAAAAAAATCCTCGGATAATTTTGTACAATTATTATTCTGTTGATTTATCCATCTTTGTTATTATTCTGTCTTTACTGGTTAGTTTTTAACCCATAAAACCATTAGCGATAAATGAATTTCATTCATTTGATGTGAAATGTCAATTTTTTTCGGTGTCCCATATTTTATTTTGTTTGGATAAAAAGAAAAAATAATAATAAGACTCACACTCGAATACACACATTGTGTGTGTGAGAGAGAGATAACAAAAAACACAAATAAATTTTTTTCTGGTTGAATTAAATTTTTTTTCCCCAATGATAAACCAAACGAAAACTTTCGATATATTTCACATTATAAATTGTATTGATATAATATATACAGTGGATTACATAGGGGAAAACAGGTTCCATTCATTCATCAAATAACATAAATGATCATCAAGTGTCATAATATTAGTATCATCATTGTCAAAATAAATCTAACATTTTCGACTAAAAAAATATTTTATTTTATTTCATAGCATCAAGATTGAATATGATGAAAAAGGGAATGAAAAAAAATAAAAAAATAAAAACCATCATATATAGTGATCAGGTGGCCATAATAATGATGGATTTTCAGCATGAATAGATTTCACATCCTCATCAAATGAATAGAATTGAATGAATGAATGAATGGATGGATGGATGTGAAAGTGTAATCTTACATATGTCCTTATAAATACATACTTTTTCAATGTATTTTTTTTGCAACAATCCATCTTTATTCATTTTTTTTTGCTGCACGTATTTCTAGCATTAGTCATCATCATCATTATGAATCGTTGGTTAGTTATTGCAATCATCAAAATTGATGTGATGCATACTTTTTACCCTTTTTTTCCATTTAATAATAATAATAATATTAATTTCATAAACATTTGCATTTTTTATGTGAATTTTTGTATTCTAATGAATGAATCAAGTTTTTTGTTTTGTTTTGTTACCACATTGTATTTTTTGTTTGTCGTCACATTGGTCGGTTGCTATGTAAGCTATCTATAGAAAAAAGCTACAGGTTGCCATTCGACAAACATATTTACTGTTAGAATTCTGAAGGTCTTTTTTTCAATTTAATGATGAAAACAAAAATACCGTTAACCATTACGCTAGTGTGTTTGTCAAAATCATATAATGAAATTTTTTTTATTCACGATTCAAAATGATGAATCATCAACTAATTAAATATCTAAATATTAAAAAAAATGAATAATAATAAAAATACTGATTGAACCGGAAAAAAACACGCGGATTACATATTTTTGTTTTTCTATAATCACAAAATATCGATCTTGTTAGATGTTTTAATTTGCCTAAAGATAATCCAAAAAGCATGATTCACGATCATGATATTTACAGGCAATACATCTTTATCAAACCGATTGATTGATTCCGGTTTTACGTTATCATTCAATATTATCTGTTTATTTATTTATATTTACCAGGTACTATTTACTAGGTAAGGCAAATATTATATTTATTTTATTTTATTTTTTTGTTGTTGAATAACTTATGTTAACAAAGTTTTTGGGCTTTTGGTTAAGTAAATAATAAATATATTACGATGGAATAACAATGATTGCATCGTTTCTATTCATTTTTTTTTTTTTTTTGATTTGATTGTTGTTTTTTACTTTTGGATAAATAATGTCTTGTGTCTTACACACGCACTTTTAGACAAGCATACCATGAATCACACACGCCCTGAAAATGAGGAAAAAAATCTAAATGATAATCAATTTAAATGGGACTTAATCTTTTTTTTCTCGCTTTTCATATGTGAAAGTAATTCGATTGAATCAGATGTATGAATTGATTTACATAATAGAAAAAATCAAGGATTTTTTTTGTTATTATTAAGCCATAGTATGAAATGCTAATATGTAATGTATGTATGTCTCAAAATGATTATCATTATGGTATTTTCATTCATTACTTTTGGAAAAAAATTGACCTAGTTCAATGATTATGATGATGATGATAATAATGAAAGTATTGAAGGTGATGATGATCACACTTACCGTTGCATTCAATGATCCATGAACAATGATACCGATACCCGGTAAAAATGTTAAACGTACACCTGGTTCAATGATCAAATGACTATTCGAATGTATAATAATATTGGATCGTATTTCATAATCAGCTTCATAATTTTTAATACTATTAATATTAGTATAATCATCGTTACGATGTTTGGTCAAAATTTTTCGACCAAATATTTCACCACCATTGAAAGTTGAAGATAATCGATATTCATCATCATTATTATCATTTTTGGCAGTTCTATGAACATCATAATCATTTACTCTTCCTTGTCTTTGATTAAATGATTGCTGATTTTGATTTGTGGTTTGAGATTGTTGTTCAATCACATATGGTGGATAATATCGAGAATAATGTTGGGATGATTGTTGATGATGTTGTTGTTGTTGAAGAGATTGAGCTGAGATCACAGGTATAATTATATTTAAGAATAATGATGATAATGATAATATGGTGAAGAAGAATAATTTTGATAAAATATTTTGATGCTGTTGCTGGTGATGGTATGGCCAACACTTTTTATGTGCAAACCTTTCATTTTTAAAATTATTTTCATAATAACAGTGTTTTAATTTTACACTTGGTGCACCCATTATATCATGATTATGATTGAAATTTTGTTTGTCAGTATCAGTCAACATTTTCACTGATGAATGATTTAGAATAATAACAGAGTTTTGTTTAGAATTTATTGTTGGATGATGATTTTGACTGCGTATAGATTGCAATTTTAAAAATTTTGAATCAAACACTTGTTTCATTGTATTTATTGTTGACTTTTGTTGATTTTTTAGCTTTTCACTGATAAATCCATTAAATTTATCTAATCTTTGATTATTATCATTATTTTTGTTGTTGGATATTGTTTCTATAATCATTGAGGAATGGGTGGTCGTGGTGGTGACACTAGAATCATAATCTGGACAGTTATTCGAAACATAATGTTGTTGAGATGATGATGATGTTGGATTGTTGTCGTATCTCCTGGGCGACCGCAAAGTTGATGCTGATGACAAATATAATTGAGGTATTGCTATTTGAGGTATTGAATCCGCCTTTTTAACGGTGTTCATTATTGATGATGGCAGTTTTTTACTACTAGCTAATGTAATATTGTTTTTTGCTATTAAGCTATCATTTAATTTGTTGTTTTGCATTGGTAAATTGATTTTTTCAATTTGTGTTTTGTTTGTTTGTTGTTTACCTTTAAAATAATCATCATTACAAGGCCCAATCTTGTTATTTACTGGTGATGATGATGATTGTTGACGGAAAACAAATGATGAATGATGCTGCAAGTTCCCATCGTCATAGAAACAATGTCGATGATCTGTTGATTCACATGGCCGGAAATTTGCTATTGTCGGTATTATTGATGATTTCACCATAGTTTTTGTTGTTGTTTTCGGTGATGATGATGACATTATTCGAGTTTGTCTACAATGATCTAGATATTTGAAAACAAAACAAGACAAGACTAGCCCCGTTATATTTTTTTGTGTTTATGTGAAAAAATTTCTGCCGTAGGTCACGACATTTTTATGGCATTAATGATCTTGATACGATTATGATGATGATCAAGTTGTTTTAGTTGATCAATTCAATTCAATTCAATTCAATGATGAGGATGTTCATCATCAAGTTAAGGATATTTAATACATCTTGAGAAGTGGGTCTGTTTTTTCACAATATTTTAGGTATTTTGTATTGTTTTTTTTTTTGGTCAATAAGCTTGATATATATAGGTAAACTTGTATAAAAAATAATTAACATTGATGAAAGGTGTAGGCATTCTTTTTTTCTGTTTCAGTTCACATGAATATAAACATCATATCCACATAGACAAATTTAATATAAAAATAACAATAGCAATCTAAACTGATAAGTAAAAAATTGAACATTCGCGTGATGATGATAGTGATGACCGATGAATGGTGATGGATATTTCTGTTGTTGTTGTTTTTTGGGTATTTTCAAGGTAAAGGAACAATGAATGGCGCCAGTTTAAAGTGGAAATATTATGAGAATCATATAAACATACAGACAAACGCACAGCAGGTAAATGGGAAAAAAATCGTTGTTGAATCTTCGAATATGTTGCCTGCTGACTTCTTGAGTTTTCTTGTTTCTGTGAATATTTGGAGTCAAATGAAAAAGAAAATAAAGTTGAAGAACTGCTAACTGGAGCCTGATCAGTATCGAACTCACTTCAAGCCATTCAATAAATACGAAGAAGAGAGAAATGGAAAAAATAATAAACGGAAAAACAAGATTTTCTTTCTATGATTCAGTCAAGGACCACAAAAAACGACGACTATTAATGGAGCCGTTGAAGTATTATTTTTTTGTTCACAGTCGTCATGATGATGATGGTGGTGGTGGTAGTTAGTCCGCTGACTATGTGAATTTTTTTTTACCTTTACCGAACCATTATGAAATAAATCTCTATCTCTCTCTCTCTCTCTCTCTCTCTCTCTCTCTCTCTCTCTTCGTCTGTCTCACTCTCTCACACACACAGAATAAAATCGAGCTAGCTAGGTATGGAGACAGGTGAGGAAGTAAAGGTGGAGTGAATTGCTATTCATATGTATAGCGTGGCTATGTTATGCTAATAGTGGTGGTGGTTTTTTATATGATGATCATTTTAAATTCGTGATTGTCAGTTAGTCAACCATCAACAATATTAAAACCTATGCAACAAGAACAAATAATTAAACCTTCTAAAATATTTGTTACCAGCAACCAAATAGTTGATGATTATCATTGTCGTCGCTGTTGGTATTCATTGATTGAATGAAAAGTTTGTTTTAAAAAAAGGACCGTTTATGGTAAATTAGCATTATCATTTTTTTCCCTTGGGTTTGATGTTGTCTACCTGCTACCTATTTGTCGCCGCTACTGGATAGTTGTATTGTATGTTTGTCACTAAAAAATGTTGCAAATTGATTCGATTGAATATATTCGGTTGCCATAACAAAACACCGTCGGCAGAGTGGCACCTAGGTGACCGATTAAATGAATGACCGAAAGCCGAAAACAAAATGAAAACAAAATTGTTCCATTATATTTAATAACGATCCTGACAGTATGATTACAAAATTGCAAATCATAGGGATGATGTTCGTGTTCATCGTTTCAGTTTGTGCACAAACCAACCATGAGGATGATGATGATCGCCTGACTGATGATTTTGTTTTAATCAGCTTCACCTTGATTTTCATAGTAACAAGCAGGAAACTTGATTTTCGATTTGAATTGAAATTTCATAACATCCACATTCATTCACTATGGGCATAGAGTTTCCTCTTCTTTTTATTTCTCTCTAAAACATAGACTTAAGTAAATGTTACCTTAAAACAAGAAAAAATTTTTATTGTGCCTTGACATGATAATGATATTAGTTTTTACTATCTAGATACAGGAATTTCTATCCAATTTATTTGGGCAGGTACAACATTCATCATTCTGCAATCATTTCAAAAACTCGTTAGTTAGGTGTTGTCGTTGTTAGCTATGATGATAGTAAGGTCAAAGTTCAATCATTTGAAGGCAAAAAAAATGTTGTTTATATTGAAATTTTTGTAGGCATTATTGTTAACAATTTCTTATTGTTTTTACTATCTGTAATTCGTTCGAAATGGAATCATCTGAACCGAAACTTTTGATATTCTTGTCGCTTTTTGGTCTGATTATTCTCGTTTGTTTTTTTTTACAAAACTAGGCCTCATTTTTTTTGATGAGGATAATGATAATGACAAATGTTTTAAGAATAGAATGAGCAACAGGTGAATGTTATGTAGCTTCATTGATTTCAACCTATTCACATGCACACAAAAAATAATGAAAATTACTGAAATCAATGTAAAAGTCGTTGAAGCCTGAAGATGATTATCATCATAGTAATAATGACTTTGAAATGCATTAATCAGTCAGTCATTTGGAATGCCGGATAAGATAAAACCACAAATCAATATCATCAAGTTGGTATGTGTGTGAATATTAGACTAATGATCAATGCAAGAATGATATATTTCTGTCTTTTTTTTGTCATTTACAACATATCTATCTTTCTATCAATATAAATATTTAGAAGAATTTATTTGATCAAACATTGTAAAATGATGTTTTATTCGCTAGCCAATTAATTTCTTCATACTGTCTATCAAATGTTAGTGGTTTGACAAATTTGAGATTTTTGTGAGTTTGTTTTGTATTTTCAAGCGGCTGATCTTGTTGATACATATAAATCATACATGTTTATATGACCTCGATTTTTATTGTTATTACTTTTTTTGTTTTTGTTATTATTCAATGCTATATCCTAAACTCAAATAGAAATCAACAGCCACTCGAATTAATGATTGTTGATTGTAGTTTAAAATTGATTGGACATTTTCATTTAATTTAGATGTTAGATTGTTTGTCAGTATTCAACTACATGCACGCGGGCAGCCTATTATTATATTATTATACACAATTATTATCAAATGGATCGAAAACACGATTCGAATCATTGATTATTGAAAATCATTTTAATCTTTGAAAATCCTCAGTATTAAATCACGAATCGTTGCAAACCATTAAATTTTTTTATAACTTTTTTATATTGTTTTTGATCATAACTTATTTGAGAAAAAAAATTTCATTGACATTCTCCTGTAAAAGAATTTATCGTTACCTTCAATATTTATAGTTAAAAAGTAAAGGTTTTATTCATCCTTTTTCTTTTGTATAATGATGATTGGTAAATATTGACCATAGTCAGTTTTATTAGCATTGATGATGATGATGTCGACAGTGATGACGATCATTATCTCGAAATGAATCCATACTTTTTGAAGTCCTTGAAAAGGACGTTTAATAATATGGTCACTTCACCTCCCTGATTTTCGATTGTCACCAATTGTCTACCTTCATGCCCAGCTGCCAATCGTGTGTCAATAAACTCTGGTCGACGTGATTCAACAAACCAATTCGCTATCCTTGCCAATAGTGTTGTAGATTGAGGTGTAAACAGACGTATTTGTTGCCGATGTTCGCCTGGTCGGATAGGTAAATGTGTCCATCCATAACCACGAATGACATCATTGCCAAGATTATCCATACCATAAACGCTAACTTTTGTACAAAAAGTGAAATTTTAAAAAGATTAGATTTTCAATTTTTGATAATAAGCAAAATTCTTACCAATCATTTGTGGCCATCCAAATACATTCGTACTTTTAAAAGTAGCTTCAATTGGTAGATTCCAGACAAATAATGGCAGCTCCCCAGGTTGATCAGGTCTTCGGTTAGCCATTTGTGATATGAATACCGTATCCTTGTCGTTATTATTATTATTATTATTGTTACGTTTATCGGATGTTGTTAAATTAGCATTGTTGACCAACGCCCAATCAGGTCCATAACGAAATAAACATTTACAATAAACATTTTCATAATCATGACCAATGAACGAACTGCTTTCGATTTGTCCATGAATATTGACTAGGAAAAAATTTCGAGTTAACAATGAAGATTGATTGTCATCATCCATTCTATTTAAAAGTTATCGATTATTATTGCCGCCGTTTCGTCTTCACCTTAATGGCAAATTTATTCAGTAAATTAATCTATGATAATATTAATCGAATAAAAAAAATATAATGAACCAGCAACCAGGAAGACATTTGGGTTGTTTGTGATTGTTTGTTATGCATTGTTTTCCTATCTATTGTTCTCTTTTTTGAATGAATTAACAATTCAACATAACACATACCTGAGAATCTCGTTTTTGTCATTGTCATGGATACCGGATCATCAAAACCTTCTATGTTGCGCCATCTTTTGATATTGAATGTTATTCATCATTTCTAAAATAATTGTTAAGATGATTGAAGCGATACTCGACCACAGCTGGTTGAAGGGGACCAAATACTTGGACAAACAATATTGACCTTTTTTGAAACGATTATAATCACAGACATAAGATCGAATGTATTTCACGTTATGATCATGTATGTACTTATGGTTTTATATCACAATTTTGATACCAGAATTGGAAAATTAAAAAAAAATACAAACAACCATGTCTGTGATTATTGTCGTTCCTCATCGGGTACATATATTGCCACAAGGTGGAACCGTTATCGAAACGAAATTTGGCCCGAATTCAACCGGCTTATAGGCAAGCACTTTTTTTCTTGTTTTCCGATGTTAAATAGAATCTTCATCCATTCTATTTTAAAAAATTTACTTCTACTACTACTTAATTAAAGCATTGAAGCATTATAATTCTTAGCTAGATAATTCAATCTTCTTTGTGAATTTCCATTTATATTCCATAAATTTCAACAAACATTAGTAAAGATTTTTTTTTACGATTCTTATTTTATCCTCTTTTTTGTTGTTGTTGTCGATAATGATTCTTATCATCATCATTTTTTTTTCTTCTGTGTAACATGATGTATGACTCTATGTGTGTATGTGTGTTTAATATCCTTGTGTGATTGTGGTGCAATATTCAGGTCTAAATTTAGATCAGCGACGGATATGTCATCTTATCATACGAGTTGTCATCGTTTCGTTTCACTGATTGAAATATCATAACTATTTTTTGCAATGAATGAATTTCAAAGATTTCAAAATTCCGATTGGAAGATAAAGAATAATGAACGAAATACATTATTTACATATTCATTTCCGTTCAAATTGAATGTTTATTTATAATTAGTTAATCTAGTCTAGGCAAGTGGATAAATATCAATTTTTACATATCAGATTCCAAATTTTCTAGCAACAGAAAAAACAAATTCTTGAATCTCAATTCGATTGTACAAGTTATGAAATTTTATCCCAAATGTTTTTATTTTTTATTTCCTTTGCAATCAAAGATTTTATATGTTTTCATTTTTTCCGAATTGACCATTGATTAAGGAAAAAGCAACAGGCAGATAGGCAAGCATATTATTAAAAAAAAATGGAAAATAATATTAAAGTTTCAGATAAAAATTGTTGATTTCGTCCACTCGCATGTTTGTTCGAGCTCGATGTTTTTGTGTTTGTTTTCATCATATTTCATTATCATCTATCAAATATTCGTTGATTAGAATGATAATGAAAGGTATGTGATCAATGAACACAAACGAGCATATAACCATACATACGAGTATTATAATTATCCCAAAACTCCATACTTCTTTACATTCCATAGTTTTTGTTCGTGTAACATATAAATCAATGAATGATTTTTTTTCTATATGTTATCATATATGGGAACATCAAGAAGCACGGAATTTTGGTGGACATTCGATTCGATTATTGTAATTTATTCTGTTGTTGATTGTAATCTGGAAAAAAAAGAAACCTAATAAAAGAAAAAATGAATAAAATAAAGTTTTTTTTAAAAAAAGGTTCATACATGCAACAAACATAATACAAGCTGAAAACAAAGCAAAACAGCAACAACTAAAACAAAAAATATACAGAAGTCAAAATAAGACCCGATAAAATAACATGTGTTCACCAGATGGGATTTGATTGGAAAGACAAAAGATCTAAGTAAGAAAAAAAAACATTGAGGGTCATCATAATCATTCAATGATCATTTCAAATCATTTGAATCTCTATGAATAGAACAATAGGTGATATTTAAAAATTATTATGGATGTTATTAACAAGGTTTGTTAATTGTTGGGATTGGTTTGTTCTAATTTTTTTGCTTGATGTTGTTTGACATGGAAAACGAGTATTAAAAAAAAGATAAATAGGAACACATTTTCGGAAAAAAATTCTGTAAATAATTTACATGTTTTATAAAATTATATTTTGAAGAAATATTGAAAATCATTATTATTTGTAGGATTCGATAATCAAATTTTTTTTTGTTTTTCGAAATATGGACATCATCAAATGACAAATTTTAATAGTGAGGCAATAAAAAAAAAGTCAATAATGTCGATGTGTAGTTTCATTTGATTTCATATCAATCATTGATATGATTTGTGAATGAAAACCGTTTGATTGTCTGATGAGTATATGTGTGTGTGTGTAAAAAGTTGGTGGATATTATCAAAAATCGTCGCAATCAATTTATATTAAGCTGTGATTCAATTTTCGAAACCGATAACAAAATCGGATTTTTTTTTGTCTTCAATAAGCATCAATATCATCGATGGCTATGAATAATCGATTGATATAATTATTTATCATGCAATATATGAGCAATCGATTTATGATGATGATGACGATTTTTTTGGTGATAATCATAGGGGACCATTAATGGCTTCCCTAATGGATAGATCATAGAAAAAAAACGAAAAAGATCTAGATTTAGACAAGAACATGGCATAATCAAAGTTTCGACAATGGAAATTGGAAGATGATTATTTTAAACTTCTTTAAAAAAAGATTCGACATTTTCGTTCGTCAAGAACGGTTGAAGGCATTTGGCAAGAGAATCGGAATGATCTTGGTTACTTATATGGCCATATCGGTGGTAGATGGTAATGGTGATGACGATGCTGATGATAATGTTTAATGTTTGCCAAAAACGTTAAAATTAAAATGTGTAATATATTGTAAAACTGTATGTTCAAAGAACTTGGTTCGGTCATTAACAAATGTTGGCTGGTGTTCGTTGCTGAATATTTTTCTTCATTTTGGTTCTTTTCTAAGTTTTAATATCTTTACACACACATGTTCTTGTATATATTAATCGTATACGAGCTATAGCTTCGAAGAAAAAATTGAAAGCAAAAAGTTCTGGTTAGTTAACTGTAAGATGACATGGGTGGTTGTTTAGTTGATTATGTTAGTGTTATTGTGGTGGTGGCGGTTATAGCAATGGTGATGTAAATTCAGACAACCATCAACCATTCATTCATTCAATCCACCCCTTAAAACTAAAATGCCATCGTTGTCGTCATTTAAAGATATACGATAAATGCAACCGAAATTTTTTTCCCTACTTCTGGTTACATGTTTTTTTGGAGCACCACCACCACATCATGAACATACACAAACTCGAATCAGTTTAAGATGGCTAATGGCAAAAATCAAATAATTTAACAACAAAATTTATAGCATGGTACTATTATACCATGCCAGCAAATATTCAATTGCCATAGCTATAAACCAGACGAACAAAGCGTATCATTTTTTTGGATTCAACATAGAAACTATTGAATGGAGGAGAAGCTTCAATTCTAATCGGTGAGGATGATTGAGGATCAGGGGAGTGGCAAACTCCGTCCTAAAGTTTGCGATTGTGAAAGGATTTTTTTCCTATTACGACAATTATTAACACAATACGCAACAGGCAAAAGTCTTGACAATGTAAAGGACCAAAATCAACCGGCGACAGAGCATCAACGGAGATTTTATTTTTTGCATACGCCGTAAATTCTGTGTCATTCTATCTTCAAAAAATTTTAAATATTCTCATCATCATCATCATCATCATCATCATCATGATCTTCATTAATCGTGATATAGTTGTGATAGCATCGAATAGAATCCATATTAGGAAACTTTGGCACCCCATTTTACATTGTGTATTGGACAAAAGCCAATGTGTTGATTATAATTGTGGATAAGATACTTTGACAGATTCTCTGTTTTCATCGTTGTTATTCAGTCTTTAAATGTTGATACTAATTATTTTAACTGTATTCTATAAATAGAGTTATAAAAAAATGCTGATGATGAGCCAATGGAAAACAAAAATGAATGGATGTGATGCAAAAGAATTTATATCCGACATCGCATCAGCGATTTCTCATTTTTTCACGAATGATGGCCAAGATGCCAAGCATCATGATTTAATTATTTATAGTTTTTGAAAATTCCTATAACAACGACAGCTACTGTTTCAAAAAAATAGAAATAAATCTATTGTCGATATTAAGTGTCGACCTTGGAACAAGACAAGTTATAGCTCAAAGCTTAATGCTTGTGATATTTTCATACATATGGAGTTTGACCCTACATTCTCAACGGCCGGTGACCGGCAAAATTCGATGACCTTCCGTTCATTTATTGTTTCTTATTTTGCTCTTTTTTTTGGTGATTTATGAATATACGGTTTTCAAATGAGGATGACATGAATAGTCTTGGAATAGAATCACTTTTTTTTGTCTAGTCTTCGGTCTAATAAATTAAAGTTTTTTTTTCTCACAAAAAAATAAAATATTTTCAATGAACCGTAATAAGAATTAAAAAGCACATCACATTTAAGAAGTGATCGGATTTTTCATTGTTCCTATACATTCAGTCATTTTTCTAGCAGTGCATTCAACTTTTTGGCCAAGTTTAAAAATGTAATGGATAATTTTAAATACAAAGCAACTAAATTCGAATTCAGAGGATAAAGGAAAAAATCTAATTCGATTGGAATGATCCGATCTTTTCTTTCATTTCGATCTTTTTTTGATTATTTAAATTGGAATGCAACAATGATTGAAAGATAAACAAACAAACACCATTTCGATTTCTAAATACAAATTATTCTTTCGTTTATAAACCGCGCGACAGATATATATTTTTTTTTGTTGAAAACATAAACTTTCCTTTTGGGAAAAAAATTTGTAGAAAATTCAAAGTCTGCGAAGTTCGATGTTGAATGGTAATATTCCATCGTGTCGATCGTCGCTTGTGGCATCTTCAAATCGAATTACACGAACACACCACACACATGTATAAAAACATTTGCACACATTTTCATCAATATAATTCATGATTGTAATAATAATAACAAAATTACACAATGATCATTTGAACATCAAAACAGTAGCGAAAACAAGAGTGAGAAAAATAAAATCCAGACATACATGATGTGTGTCTGCTTTTGTTTAGATGATCATTGGTTCATTGATTTGGATTCCGGATGTTTGTTCTTGTTGTTTTTTCCCGTTGAAAAAATAACCACCATTTTAATCGCGATGATAATGATGATGATGATGATCAACATGTGGATTCGATTAAAACTTAATTTTATATGTTCATAATGAGAGAAAACTGAAGATAAAATTTTTTTGTTCAATGTTTCAATCAGATTTTTTTCACAAATCAAAATGGATATTCGACAATTTTGCTTTATATTTGCCCGTTTGTATCTCAACCCATGGATGTAGATGATCGTTTTCGTTTTTTCTTTCTTTCTCTTTTTCAAAAACGACGAAATAGTTTCGATATTTTTTCGGTATTTGTCTCTACGATTCTTTATATCAGTTAATGTTATTCTCACAGTTGTTTTTTGTTGTTGTTGTTGTCATTGGTCGTTTTATCCTTCACTCAGCAACTCTATTTTCAGTCAAAAGAATGTATAATGATATAAAATTCTTCTTTCGATTCTTGATAAACATGATGAACAAAACAACATAAGGGGGAGAAAAAAATCCTACCCACACCCAGAATAAGAACTTGACAGAAATGTGCCATAATCTATACATCTATACCAGGCGAAAATGTTTATATCGTTTTCCATTTATTCTTGTTTCACATCAACCAGGAATAGTTGTTGTTGTTGTTTTGTTTTTTTTTGAAATTTCGGTTTCGTTGATTATTACATTTTTTTCTTAGCTATCGTAGATGAAATTAAACAAAGAATGAATTTAGACAAATTAAGAGACGGGAACAAATTTTTTTCTTTTTCTTATTCAGTAAACTTCCCTTATTTAGCTGATAGTTGAGATTTTTTTGCGCTGAAATTCTTTGTCATCATCTATGACAACAGTAACAGTGTTTGTTTTGATTCAAATCATTATAAACCTTAATTATGATTTTGTAGAAAATAGGCAAAAAAACGAATCCGATTATACAGATTTATTTACAAACAGAATTTTTCCATTTTGTTTTTGTGCAATATTACTATTTATAATCAGCTAACAAAATTTTGTTCAATCTATTAAATTCTCCATATAGGATATCCTGTCTATCCTAGATCATATATTTCTGGAAAATCATCAAGATAATTCATCGGTTTTTTAAACTGTTAATCACAGTGGTTAGAAAGAAATTCCTTAAACAATCAAATTATCATACTTCAATTCATACGCCCCGTTCAGCTACAATGTGGTATGATAATTTTCTATTTAAAGAAACAAATTTTTTACAATCATCATCATCATCATTAGTGGATAAACTCAAAAATCCGTTACGAGAAAATTCGTCTTATTTTATGGCAACGGTTATAATGTGCTAATGTCAAGAACATCGAAATTTGATGTTCCCATGTTCATTTTATCACGATAGTGTTCGGGAGATGACTGAAAAAACCAAAATTAGACTTGCTTAAAGCTTGTTCCATTCGAGTACATTGACATATGATAAGCATATTAATAAAAACAAGATGGCTTTGATGAACAAGAATATAACGTAATTTTGGAGTAGTAATTGAGAAAAATCCACAGGTCAGTGAATCAAAATTTGGCAATGCTATAATTTGTCAGTTTATATTAAGTATAAATTTCATTTAATTTTCCATTGATTTAGATCATTGATTGCAATGTGTGGATGTAAAATTATTTGTGTCACAGAATAAAAAAAAAGTTTATAATCATTTTAAAAAAATCCATAATGAATTAAGGAATATTGGTATTTACAGAAAAAACAAAAAGTTTTCATTTTAGGTAAAGTTTTTTTTTGGAAAAATTAGTTAAAATAATGTACACCCAATTAATTTGGTTTGGACAATGAAAAATAGTCATTATTTGGGGGTAGAATTCGAAGCCAAGGATGAAGCTGAAGATGAATGACTCTGGTTAGTAAGTTGTTGAATATCAGCAAATGATGAATGACTATTATCATTGTTGGTGGTGGTCGTCGTCGTTGCTAATGTGGGGGTATTTGTTGTCGTAACTGAAACATTATCATATTGGGTATGTTTAAACCATTCAGCGACATCGACGTATGTTTTCGAATAATATTGATAGAATGGAAAGTTCTATAAAAGAATAATAATAATATCAAATATAATACGCACATAACATCAAATATGAACAATTTCACTTACCATAAGTTCTTTGTATTTGGGACGTTTTTCTGCTTCTTTGGTCAAACTTGAATCGATAAAAAAATGAAATAAATAATAAAATAAATTGAATTAATTTTTTAGTATATAAAACGATAGTTGAAAAAATTCAATTCGAAAATGTAAATAATGGCAACCAATAGAAATTTTGATCGATCATTGAGTAAAAATTCTATTGAAGAAATACAACAAGAATTGCTTCAAAATAATGATGCATTACGATTTCATTTCTGGGCAATGACCATCTATCAAGCATATTATAGTTGCTATATGCAGCATCATCCGAATGCTTATAATGAACGTGCAAGGATTTTTGAGCAAATGTTTACGAATAATAAAAATTGTTATAATAATATAACATTTGATCAAGTTCGATCTTATTCGGCTAGAATTGCCCGCAAATGTTTTCCACGAACACTATTGATTCAATTTATTGATTCGAAAAATGAACAAAATCAATCAAATTTATACGTCGAAATTCAAGATGAAACGGGAAACATCATAGTCAAACTGCAACGTCAATTTCAATTTGAATTAATAAGAGTTAATTTACCTGTAAGTTATTCATTTATAATTTGTAATCTATAATCATTATGATTTTTAACATTGATAGATTGAATGTAATTACAAGCTAAACAGCAAAATCATCATCAAGATCACTGATCAATATAATCAAATCATAATTGATAAATCGATTAAAGAAGGTGATATTTCAGGTTATACAGGCTACATGGAAAATCTTGGTGATCAATTTGGAATTCTACGATTAAAATGGACCATTCGTACAGATTTATTGTTAGGATGGCCATGCAATCCTAATCGATTTATTCCTCAATTGCTAATGGTGTTATTGAAAAACGAATCAATGTATTTCTATTTTTTCGAGCCAGTATTCAATGCTTTAAGTTCTAATGATAAGATCATTGTGTTGAAAAGTCTTCCATGGTTACGATTAATTAAAGGTGATCGTTGCCATATCAGACAACTAGCAAAAATTTTTATGGTATGTTGTCATGATCAAACAAACTCAGAGTCGCTACATTTGGATTTAATGATAGAGAATAGTAAGATATTCTTTCCTTCTTTGACAAGAGAACAACAAATAAATACATTTTATTATTTTGGTCAAAAATTTGAAAAATATCTTATTGGCAAAAGCAAATCACTACCGATCAAAGATCATCAACAATTGATTAACTTGATCTTTCTACTGCAAAAATTCGTTTCAACTGAAAAAAAGAAACGCAATAAGCCCACAAATTCCAATTTGAAAGATGTGTATGAATTGATTGAATTGATGCGACAAATTATGACAGACAAAAAAATTGACAAAAATGTCCGAAATTTCAGTTCCTATCTAATCTCCTTTTTTGATGAAAAAAATTAAATCTCATTTACTTACCATGCTTTAATAAATGATTTAAAGTCTTCGGAAAAACCCTTATCATCTGGTAACCGAGGTGGTTCTTGTTGAATCACAATCGATAATATTTCAAATATTGACGACCAATCTTTGTATGGGAATTGTCCGGTGGCTATTTCGATTAAAGTGATTCCCATGCTCCAAATATCCGATCGTATATCATAGGTTCCATCTGATGGTGGTTGTATTCTTTCAGGCTAACCAAAAAAAAAAAAAAAAAAAAAAAAAAAAAAAAATTTAAATTTAAAAAAAAAAAAAATTTAATAACCCCCAACCAATAAAGGGGGTTGAACCAC